TCTCAATAACTACTGAATGAATCTGGATAAAATTTTCACAAAGAGAAGATACATTGGCCTGGCTCATGAAAAAAATGTTCTCATGAATTTTTTACATAAATAAACAGGACTGGGCATAAATATACCATGAATACTCCTCCAGAATCCCCCGCTTCGCCCCTGTGGAGATTCAACGTCTGGTCAGAATCCAAAACTGAATTTGCAGCGATCGAATGTTCATTTTTCAGTTCAGAAAATATTCTAGTTTCTATTTTCGATGACCATTATCGGCTCCCAAGAGCCTAAAGAGCTCGAAATCGCAATCCATTTCCTCCACATGTTCGTTGTGATCGTATTTGGCCGCCATTTTGTACGATTTGTTCACTAAAAACGACTTAAACACTGTTTAAATCGTTGAATTGAGAAATATTTTTCGAAACATCGCCATTTCTAGGTCAACAGGAAGTCCCCACATAAGGACTAAATAAATCGGGCAATCTGATTGGATCATAAGACCGGCGGGAAAAAGTTAAGTTTTTGAAAGTTTAAATTCGACTGGAGTCGCCGGCAGTTGCCGGGGATTGTTAAGCACGGGCGACTACGCTCGCCGGTAGCATGCTAAAGGTTAACACGCCAGAAATGAACATAATATTATTCGAAGCGTATTTCGAAAATTTTGAAACCGCCATTGATGACGTCATTTGTTTGTCGACTTTTGACCAATCAGCGACCGTGTCATCTCAATACAGATTTACATTATAAGCGTATGTCATCTTTGAACCCTGGTGTTTCTCCCCCTCTGATTAGACAGTGTACCATGCTTATAGTATTCACAAACCAAATATGAACAAAATCGCTCCACTACTTTTTGAGTTAAAGTAAAATATGTTAAAATGGCGACCATTTTTCAAAATGGCGGCAAATTTTCAAAATGGCCTCCTTCTACCAAAAATGTCATTAGACAGTGTACCATGCTTATAGTATTCACAAACCAAATATGAACAAAATCGCTCCAATACTTCTTGAGTTACAGCAAAAATCGTAAAATAACGAGTAAAGGCCGCCATTTTTCAAGATGGCTGCCATGTGCTATTTCAATTTCTACATTTCTAGCTTTATCAATGTCCTATATAATTTTTTTACATTTAAAACATAATGCTATCACAGTTTTACATATTGCACCTAAATTACTGTAAAATCGGCACTAAAATGGCCGCCATTTTTAAATGAGCGGCCATTTTGAAAATCGGCTTTTTAGCAGAACTTCTACTCCCATAGGGTATATGTGTAAAAAATATGAACAAAATCGGGCCAACGGTATTTGAGTTATTGCCCGGACGGACAGACGGACGGATGGACGGACAGACGTACGTACGGACGTACGTACGTACGGACGGACGGACGGACGGACGGACGGACGGACGGAGGCGTTCCCTATATTATGCCTGTGAGAATGTTTGACCATGGTTGTATGCTTAACAAAACAAGATTTAACTGTGAACTTCTTTTCTCTTTTTTTTCAGATATACAGTCTTAAAAGTAATTATGTTCTTAAATGATAGTGACATGCACCTGACATCCACATATCGAGAGAAATGATATGCCGCATAAAATAAAGGGATGAGCAGTGATATGTAGATTTTCTATATTGATTTTGTGAAGCTACAGTCGCTATAGAGCAAATGTGACTGAGGCTTAACTAATGAATAGGGTGCCACATATAGAAATGGAATACTCATAATGATATATATATAGCCCCAACTTTTTCAGTTGTCTATCATTCCTCGAACTATCCTTTTCAATTGATTGATTTCAAATAAAAGAGAAATTCATCTATACAGTACGTATATTTCATATTCAAATCTTGTGTGCTCAGAATTACGTGAATTTTAAGACTAATCTAACAAATATACAATTTGAACAGTATTTTTGGTGTATTTTCACAACTATAAACTATTCTCTATTCGTTCTATTTGTACAAAGACATACATATATAAGTGTATCACATATTTTAAGATGAAAACTGTTGTTAACCTTTGATTGGAAGCCAAGCTTGCTATAATGCCACAATTCCACAAAGATGAAAATGAAAACTAAACTTCCATGTTGTTTGTTCATTCATTCATTTATCTCAATCACCAAATATTGCTGCAGTTATATAGTCCTAATCAAATATTTGACCCTTGGCTTATGTGATAAATCAGGTCTGAGTTATTGGGTGTATTATTCATCAAACTAAATACATTGACCTAATGTGAATGTGATAAATAGAGTCCCCAAAATATTGAGTACATAATTTATCACCAAATAATTAGCCCAGGACTCATTGTTTTAAATAAGGCCCAAATTACTGAGTATTCTATTTGGATCTCCCCAAATATTAATGTTTCATCTTCTGATGTTTAATAAGGGCAGCTTTAGATGCAAATTGTTTTTCACAGAGAGTACACTTAAAAGGCCTTTCTCCAGTATGGGTCCTATTGTGACGATTCAACTGTCCGACAGTAATAAATTTTTTCAAACACAATTGACACTGATATTGTTTTTCTCCAGTATGTGTCTTCATGTGGTAATCATAATGAGCCTTATGGGTTGTTAGCTTAGCGCATACTGGACACTTGTAAATAGATCCCCTGCCAAAACCTTTGTGGCTCTTCTGTGTAGTGAGTTGACCCCCTGGAAAATAAAAATAGCATTATGGTAAAGCCACGTTATGAGAATTTTCATGATTACAAATGAATTGAAATAGGTAATATTTCATTTAAAGCCAAGTGATGATAGAAAGCACAATTTAAAAAATTCTAAATACTTTGTTAAGATTATGTTGAAATAATTTTTATATGGTTCAGGACAGCCTTAATTCATTAGGTATCTTAAAGAGAAAATCAGATATTGTGAGCAGGCTAAACAAAAAATTGTTTCAATTTTAGAATATTCTTGGCTCATGTCATTCCTCGTCATGTCTATTTTCTAAAAATCACAAAAGTGCATACTTTATTCAAGGAAAACTAAAGATTTTTACAATAATGTATTATTGTTCTATAAGAATGGTTACCATTCTTATTATTTGGGAGAATTTAAACATTTTTCACCCATTTTTGCACCTTGAATCAATAGTGACTTCACCAATTTATAAAAATTGTGAATCTTTTGGGAGGTATTGTTTTTTACTATTTATATTGTAAGGATAAGATTGGTAGGTCAATTATACAAGTTGCTTGTAATTTTGTCACCCCTTGTAGATCTGATTCTGCCTTTAATTCTGATGTTCAATTCAAACTCACTGATATTGTACAAGCTGATAAATTACCAACAGTAACATGTTGTAATTCTAAATTCTTTTTGCTCTCATTTATTTCTTACTTTTTCAATCAAAGTTACTTCTATGGGAGATATATTCGATAACACCTAATTCTATTTAATTAACCCAAACTAATTCATTCAGCTCTTGTGACTTTAACTGTATAAACTGGTATCCACTGGCATTGTAGAACTCATGGATAATTTCTTAAATTTGCAAAAATCTAATAAGTGCTTTTCCATGGCTCTTAATATGATCATTGTCAAAAATATTGTTCACATTCATGTGGTTTCTCACCAGTATGTGTCAATTGACTTGTGAAATTCAATTTCTATCTCCTTAAAAAACAATGAATTAAAAATTGAGATCAATTGAACAAGTCAACTCATCAGTTGGTCTCATAAACTCAGCTTTTATTAAGTCATTATTGAGATTCAACAAATTAAGACTCTCTTCCCAAACATGGTACATCAGCAAAACAAATCAATGGATTTCGCACTTAACTGACCTGAATCTGTAATGAGGTCACTTTTTGATCCCATTTTGATTCAGGCATAAAAATCACATTTTTCAATTGTGCAGTTTTCTCAAAAATTTCATTGTTGTTTACAGTAAATTGGTTGACCAATTGGTTAAGAGAATGACACCATGGTCAAACATATGATATAAAAAAACAAGATTAAATGTGTATTTCACATGTACTACTTTTCTTTTTCATATAGCAATCAACATATAAACTTTAAAGTAATGAACTGATGTTCTTAAATGATAGTGACATGCACCTCACATCCATATATGATCAAACCTATATGGTAATTTGTATTTCAGTGCATCTTTTTTATATGTAATCTCAATTCATTTGGTTGACTGTAAGACTTTTCACAAAGTTTACATTTATAAGGTTTCTCGCCAGTATGGACTCTTCGATGACGTTTCAACAAATGAGTCGTGACAAATCTTTTTAAACATAAATCACATTTATGTGGCTTCTCGCCAGTATGTGTCTTCATGTGGTATTTGAGATGACTATAGTCATATAACACTTTTCCACAAACAGTACACTGAATTACTTTCTTTGGTTTGTTAATTGTCTTGATGGAATGCTTTGAACCTGAAAGAATAGAACAAAGAAACAATTAACCAACAGATAGAAAAACACATGTAAAAAATACACTGCTGAAAGAATAAAAACAATTTTTCTTTATAATTAGAGTCAGTATGAGATGACCAAACATGAATCTATTTTTTGAATATATCTTCTTGATCCATCATTTATTTGTGCTTTCCATTTAGATTTTATGAAGTAGTTGTTTTTATGTTAAAATAACAAATTGATTTTGTTTTGCAATATTTCGATTTTATTCTTTAATCTTTTTCAAGCAACTGAAAATTGTTGCTATAATTATGACATCATAGACTAAATTATGACATCATAGACTAAATTTTCAGTTGCTTGAAAAAGATTTAAAGAATAAATCGAAATATTGCAAAACAAAATCAATTTGTTAGATTTTATGAAATACATGAACAGTTCTAAAGTCTGAAGTTAATACATTTTTGAGGATTGGTAATTCAAACACAAAGCTAATCTACAAAACAGATGAATAGGGCACCAGTTAGAAACTGATAATTTATAATATGTTTATTGTTCATCATTTATTTATCATTCAATAAACTACCTCTCAAATAGTTTAATTCTGATAAAAGAGAGCTTTAAGTACATATTCAGTTTAAGGCGCTGTACCCCTAAGTATCATGAAACTGAACTGGTTGATAATTCTTTTAGATTAAATATTTGTGTGCAATGAATAATGACAAATTTTAAGACTCACATTAAAAGATATCATTGAAAGTACAACAGAGATCCACCAAAAATAGTATGAAATATTTGTACAATATTGGTAAACACACCAGAAATTAACATCATATTATTCAAAGTGTTTTACATAGTTTAGTTAATTTGCCATTTTGTTTTCGTCAGCTCCTACGTCATTTGACCTCAGCAATATATTGTGATTCAGTACATCTACATGTATTTCAAAGTTTTAAAAAGTTCACATTTATATGGATTTTGTACAATACCTTTTAATTCAATGCATCTTTTTTATATGCAATCTCAAGTCATGCTGATTTCTGTAAGACTTTTCACAAAGTTCACATTTATATGGTTTTTCTCCAGTATGGACTCTTTGATGACGTTTCAACATGTAAGTCGTTATAAATTCTTTTAAACATAATTCACATTTAAAAGGTTTCTCGCCAGTATGTGTCATTATATGGTAATTTAGGTTTCCTACTTGGAGAAATGTTTTTGGACAAAGGTGACACTTAAATGGTCGTGAAGTACTAGGCCTATGTGTTCCCATGTGGAGTTTTAGCCGCGATTGACAACTGAGCTGTTTTTGGCAAATTCCACACTTATATTTATCATGATCAACTGTGCAGCTGATTCCAGTATATATGGAATAACCTGGAAGTAGACAAAATATTAACTTATTAGGAACTTGCATTAAAAGTGTCACAATTTGAAAAATAAATCATAAGAAAAACAGTACAAGAACACAAAAGTGTACAACATGTCCCCACCAATGAAGAGACAAGATTTTAAAGACAGCAACCTTAAAATCTACCAAGCTTCCCCAAAATGTAAGACAGAAAATCCAAAATGGCTGCCTTGACATTTATCCAGAATGCCAAAAAACTAATCAGATCTAGCTTTTCATACTAAGAATCATCCCTGAAAAATTTCAAATTGATCTACCAAAGGGTTCACCTGGAAATGCGTAGACAAGACTTTACAGACAAGATTTTAGGACGGAAAATCCAAAATGGCTGCCTTGACATTTACCCAGAATGCCCAAAAACTAATCAGATCTAGATTCTCATACTAAGAATCATCCCTGAAAATTTGAAATTGATCTACCAAATGGTTCACCTGAAAACGCGTAGACAAGACTTCAAAGACAAGACTTTAGGACGGAAAATCCAAAATGGCTGCCTTGACATTTACCCAGAATGCCAAAAAACTAATCAGTTCTAGATTTTCATACTAAGAATCATCCCTGAAAATTTGAAATTGATCTACAAAACGGTTCATCTGAAAACGCGCAGACAAGACTCACAGACAAGAATTTAGGATGGAAAAATCCAAAATGGCCGACAATAATAAAGTGATTATGAGTTTTTGCTGATTCCTTATTACAAAATTATCACATATAACTACTGTTAGCAATAACATAGGCTTTTACAACAAAGTACATCTGAAAGTATTTATGAAGCTACTAAATAGTTAAAGTATGAAAACTCAAAACCACCATTAAATATGATACAAAGTATTATCGCGCACTAACTTTTCTGAAGACATTCAAAATGGCTGCCATGACTGAGCTAACAGGTCCAAAACCTAATCAGATCTAGAACGAAGTGAGCTGAACAAGATGTTAAAGTTTTAAAAGCAATTGTGAAGCCATTTTTCTTAAAGTTTGCAGACAAGGATTTTAGCATTTGACTTAAAAATGGCCGACAGGAAGTAGGTATGTAGTTAAAAATTTTTCATCCACATCTGTATGGACTCATAAGTCATCCCTGAAAATTTGAAGATGATATCTGTAGCGGTTTTGGAGAAAACTGCCGGACGTACGGACAGACGGACGGACGGACAGACAGACGGACGCGCCTAGGCCGACAATATGGCCCCACACTATGTGGTGGGGACATAATAAAATGAATGAAGGGGAACACCTCGTAAGCATTTTGAAATGTCTGATGACAAATTAATATAATATAAAGCAATTTGAAACGCCTTGAACTAGCAGATACAGTAAAATGTGAACCAAATGAGCCAAAAAGTCACTCAACCTTTTGATTGTATTATGTTTTGTATCAAAGAACATTTGATCAATAAGCTGCCAAGTTTATCAATAATATACCAATTTTCCTTGTTTTTCTGATTTTCAAGCACAAATAAGTTTTCAAGTACAACCAATACAAAATCTCTTATAATGCTTACTTGTATCAACTCTTGGGAGATAACTGAGATCCAATTAACATTGTTAGATGACACAATTTGTCATACTTGATAAAATGAACATCATTTGCAATGGTATTTATTGTTGAAAATCTATATTTAGCTTAAATGTTTGAATCACAAATATACAAGCCATTACTGGGTATGTTTACAGTTTACATTTGTTGATCAGTTCATAACTCTGATTCTCCACATTAAATAAACTAGTTTAAAGTCCATGGAATGGCTTCATATTATGGTATTGAATCAAGTGTTTTTTCAACTCGAGGCGACTTCTGCACATCGTATCACATTTATGACACTTAAAGGGCATCTCTCCGGTATGTATCATTCTATGACGATTGAGCAGTGTAACTGTTCTAAATCTTTTCAAACACAATTCACATTGGTGTGGTTTTTCGCCAGTGTGTGTCATCATGTGATATCTAAGGTGACTTCCATTGTGAAGTATTTTATTACAGATGTTGCAAATGTGACGGTTACTTTGATCCTGTTGCTTGTCTATCTTCACTGCATGTTCTGGAAATAAAGAAATTGATATTGGCAGTTTCAGAAAATTAAAAAATATTTTGAGGATAATAAATTGGAATAAGTCTGGGATTCATAATTTTCAAGCACTGATAAGAGGTCTAATTATCAACAATTGCTGATGAAGTTAATTTCATTATTGGGAAGGGGTAATTATTTTATTAGCTAAGAGGGTTGATTTTTAAACATTCAAGTGAAACGCAAATTGTGGAAACTAAGATTGCAGATTTCTTTCTCTATTCTCAGTGTGCTGTAGAGTTCCATAGATTAAATTTTTGTTCATAAACCTCACTGATCTCTTCAGATTCCTTTCTAAATCCAAATTAAAGCTATTTTGGTAAAACATCTCAATACATTTCATTTTGACAGGGTACAAAAAGATTCTAAAATTTTGGGCCAGCCTCAATGATCTGTTTCTTGGATACTACACATGAGTATTAAACTAGAAATTACAATGATTTTGATATTAAAGTGGTCAGTTATGATAAATAAATCCACAATCCACAACTATATCTATATATATTATAAAATAGATTAAGTTTATTCCGTTTAAAAGCAACATAATATCTATAAGAATACCTATATGGTGCATCTCATTTTTAACCACAAGAACTACTTGATGTGTGATAATAATATAAATGCAAAAGTTCTATGCATTCCAAAAAAGTGAATACCTATCCCATTTGTTTCATATGGATTTGGTCAGAGTATGAACATGTGACATTTGCTGATTTGGCCACTTTGCAAACAGATTCTATGAAGACTGAAGAGTTCATTCACAATTAACATAAAAGTCTCTCACAAAAATCGTATAGTGTGATTCTTCTCCAAATTGAGGTCAGTACAAAAAGCACAATATATGTTAGAATTATTATGGTAACAATTTTGTGTCTTTCTTAAGATGCAATAACTTGGAAAAGCCTCTAAATTCTTTGCAACATATTTCACACTTGTATAGCTTCTCTCCAGTAAGACTCCCTCATATGGCATTTACAATGGTCCCTCCAATTAATATATTTAATATATATGAGCAAGTGTTGCATATCAACACATTATATTTGGTGTGCTATTTTTTGTCTATTTACAGATATCTCTATGTGTCAACTTGTGTCGTTCAAGCATAAATCTTCGAGAAAATCTTTTTTCACATATATCACATTGAAAAGGTTTTTCACCAGTGTGAATCATTTTATGTCGTTTCAATTCACTGATTCCTCTAAATTCTTTAAAACATGTTTCACATTTGTATGGCCTCTCTCCAGTATGTGTCCTCATGTGATAATCATAGTGACTCTTATGTATAAGAGTTTTTTGACAAATTTCACATGAAAGAGTCTTGAATATTCTCCCTGTGGACCGACCTGGAAAAGAAAAAACAAATTAATTCATATTCATCAAAGTTAAATGTCATTTTGTATTATTTACGATATTCAGGCAGAACCTGTGATAAAATCTTACCAATCTGCTCTTTCACTTAAGTTTTTCATGACAGCAATTTAATATTATAATGTTATCAATACATGTACTTATGAATGTCAAAAACCTAGTTTCAATAACCGTCCTTTATTTCCATGTAATTCCTTTTGAAGTTTTATAAATTGGATTGAGTTCAATTTAGGACATGTGAATGGCATTATATTCTATTTTATGAGGACAAGTTATTTTTTGAAATAAGATGCAATACTGCATTCCTCAGAAATATTATATATTAAATCTAGCTTACATTTCAATTACAAGAACACAAACGTGTACAAAATGTCCCCACCAAGTGGTGATCCCGTGAAATTGTTATCCTGAAAATGAGTAGACAAGACTTTACCAACACAATTTGAGGACGGAAAATCCAAAGTGGCCACCTTAAAATTTACCCAGAATGCCAAAAATTTAGTCAGTTCTAGATTTTCATACTAAGAACCACCCCTGAAAATTTGAAATTGATCCGTCACACAGTTAACCAGAAAACATGTAAACAAGACTTTACAGACAAGATTTCAGGATGGAAAATCCAAAATGGCTGCCTTGACATTTACCCAGAATGTCAAAAAACTAATCTGTTTGTAGATTTTCATACTAGAATCATCCCTGAAAATATGAAATTGATCTACCAAACGGTTCACCTGAAAACGGGTAGACAAGACTTTACAGACAAGATTTTAGGACAGAAAATCCAAAATGGCTGCCTTAACATTTACGCAGAATGCAAAAAAAGTAATCAGATGTAGATTTTCATACAAAGAATCATCCCTGAAAATTTGAAATTGATCTATCAAACCGTTCTCCTAAAAACGCGTAGACAAGACTTTACAGGCAAGATTTTAAGACGGAAAATCCAAAATGGCTGCCTTGACATTTACCCAGAATGCAAAAAAACTAATCAGTTCTAGATTTTCATACTAAGAATCATTCCTGAAAATTTGAAATTGATCTACGAAACGGTTCACCTGAAAACGAGTAGACAAGACTTTACAGACAAGATTTTAGGACGGAAATCCAAAATGGCTGCCTTGACATTTACCCAGAATGCCAAAAAACTAATGAGATCTAGATTTTTATACTAAGAATCATCCCTGAAAATTTGAAATTGATCCACCAAACGGTTCACCTGAAAACGCGCAGACAAGACTTCACAGACAAGATTTTAGGACCGAAAAATCCAAAATGGCCGACAATAAAAAAGTCCTTATGAGTTTTTGCTGATTTCTTTTTACAAAATTATCACATATAACTACTGTTAACAATAAAGTAGGCTTTTACAGCAAAGTACATCTGAAATTATTTATAAAGCTACTAAATAGTTAAAGTATGAAAACTCAAAAACACCATTCAATATGATACAAAGTATTATCGCGCGCTAACTTTTCTTAAGACATTCAAAATGGCTGACATGACTAAGCTAGCAGGTCCAAAACCTAATCAGATCTAGAATGAAGTGAGTTGAACAAGATGTTAAAGTTTTAAAAGCAACTGTGAAGCAGTTTTTCTTAAAGTTTGCAGACAAGGATTTTAGCATTTGACTTCAAAATGGCCGACAGGAAGTAGGTATCGAGTTAATTTTTTTTCATCCACATCTGTATGCACTCATAAGTTATCCCTGAAAATTTGAAGGTGATATCTGTAGCGGTTTTGGAGAAAACTGCCGGACGTACGGACAGACGGACAGACAGACGGACAGACAGACGGACAGACAGACGGACGGACGGACGCGCCTAGGCCGACAATATGGCCCCACACTATGTGGTGGGGACATAAAAAATGTGCAAAATGTTTTTGGACCAATCAAAAATCTTTTCACATCATAAAAGTTAATGGAGCTAATCGGCTAGTCTCAATCTATTGGGGGATTCAACTCTTATATGACTAAATTAATTTTCACTGTCAGAACCTTAACTTTAAATTATAGTGATCTCTTCAGCATCCAGTTATGATCCTTAACAGGCTTGCAACTGGCAAACACAGGCTGGTATCGAAAGATTGGTCTGCTATGACGGAGCATGCTATTTTCATAGAAACACTAAGAATACTTCAGAACAATTATTTTTTAACTCATATGTTTCGTTATATCAAAGAAATTTACTTACTCCATGCAATGGATATATCATTTGCGGGTAACCTTCACTTCTGTTTGAAGTCCAATAACGTTGGGAGTAAAAGCTATTGAAAACGGCGCCAGAGTATCAAACTCTATAATGTACCTTTTCTTATCTAACTTTTTCATGATATAGTGACACGATAATATTAACAAATGTTTTCAGCATAACTCTGAATGTATTAATGAAATATTGATGTATTGGGTCTTTTTAATTTTTAATAAAAATAATTTTACATTTTTTGTAAGCTGTGACGAAGCAGTTTCACTTTTCACATTTGCAACTGCTCCATCACAGCGGACAAAAGATTTAAACATTATTTTTTATAAAAGAATTAAAAAGACCAAATACATCAACATCTCATTAATACCTTCATTGGAATGCTGAAAACAGGTAAATACTATCATGTCACTATATCGTGCCATTAAAAATTTAACAAGAAATGGTACATTTTGGAGTATTATACTCTGGAGCCATTTTCAATAGCTTTTACTTCAAGCATTATTAGACTTCAAACAGAAGTGAAGGTTACCCGCAAATGATATATCCATTGCATGGAATAAGTAATTTTCTTTGGTATAACAAAACATACGAGTTAAAAATAAATTATTGAAAAATAACATGCTCCATCACAGCGGACAAATATGTGAATTTATCTGCCATACCCACCAACAACAAATATGTATGCACAAGCACCACACAGAAAGGACCAAAAACTGAACACAGCAACAAAAAGAAAAACATGCACCTGTTCAAAAGCTATTCTACCTTTAATTATCATTAGGTCTAGCATGCTTTAATAGATGTCCTCTCAAGTGAGCTGCTTGCCGATAACGTTTCTTGCAAATCTCACACTCAAACGGTTTCTCGCCAGTATGGGTCCTCATGTGATAAGTATAGTTGCTTTTGTTACTCGACTGCTTATTGCAGATTTTACATATAAAGTCAGATGGAGTTTTGCTTTCCAATGTAAAAGTGCCATACCCAAAGCCATACAAAACTGAAAAATATAAAACAAGATTTATTTTATATTTCATTGAGATATTTGTAAATGGTACTCTGTGGTATAAGCATGGTGTATATGATACCATCACCACAAGATGATCTAAATAAGATGGTCTGCAAAATAGATATTCATTTTAAGAAAGAATGGATCCTTTTGCATCAAACAATTGACTTATACATCTATAGTCATCTTGTATCTCAGACAATAGCACCCTTTATTTTATTTTTACCGTATAACCTTGAAATCCATATCCTGGAGGAATTATGGTTTTGAGTGCTCTGTACAATTTAAGGCTATCAGAACGTTTTTTTAAAATCAGGGTAATGTATTCAAAAATGGTAAATACTGCATTTTAGAATTTTTTTAAAAAGTTTGAGTGTGAAATATATAGACAATTTAGGTTGCCAATAATATTACTTATGATGTTGCAGAGACTTTCCCAACATTTGATTTTGTTTAATGGACCACCCAACAATGGATTTGTTTTTATTTATATTTATTCAACTAAATCTGATATATGATCAGTATGACAGAAATACAAATATTGAAACATAATCGCCATATGGATATCACAAGTATATAAAAGTGGCCCTCTTTGTATTTTACACTGCTCAGTAATACCTGGTATAATGTCACTTGTATTTGCAATACTTTGTTTTGGCTTAATCCATAATATATGACAAAAACTTAACAAATCTAGTGTCAGTTTAAGATGAAACTCCAGATACATAGAAAAATAGAATGATTGAACTTCTGATGTCCAGAGTTAATTAATATAACATGACCAAAGTTTATAAATCTAGAGTCAGTTTAAGGTGAATCTTCCAATATTCTGAATAATAATATGACATCAAAGTTCATGAATCTAAGATTTGCTAATATGAATCTTCCTATGGCGCTTTAAGTGTGCCAATCCTCTGAACTCTTTTAAACACAGCTCACACTTGTATGGTTTCTCGCCAGTATGTGTCCTCATGTGATAATTGTAATTGCCTTTATTTAATATGCGCTTATCGCATAACTTGCAGTAAAACTGATTAATTGGTGTAATCTCCACTGATGTTTTCGGGAACAGACTTGCACTGCTCAATAGGTATTTCTGGACTGACTCTGAAAATAGAAAAACAGTTAATTTTATTAATGCACCTGTACACAGTTCAGAATATATTATGTAGTTTATATATTTTGTGAACATCATCTAAGTGCTACTTTTTCTCCATGAGCTGAAATATCTAAATTGGTAAAACTAAAAATACTTGTAAGTATTTTCTGGAGTGTGATTTCAATGATTTCTGCTTACAAGATTCCCTCTACATCTATCTTCTAACATTTTTCGTTAATGGTAATTTAATACTGATGTGATTATAATGAGACAAAACATGTGTTAGGATTTGTTAACAGTCAAAATCTGCAACAATTGAACAAATATATGTGTATTATGCTTACTCATATTTATTTAGTTCACTGTATATTTCATAAATAATATAAGGAAAGTTGTATTTAAACAGTTTCTGGCACAAATATGACTTGTCATTCTTGGAAACAATACTCAGATATTATGAGTTCCTACTATTGTTTCTTTTTTTGGTTACACATAAACAAAACATTTTGCTGTCCAACCCGGAGATATTTCGTCTATGGCGTCATAATTGTACCTCGAGATATCTCGGGGTGCTGTCCAGTAATTGTCACATAATCTGTACCAGTTATCTTACAAAATATTCTAGTGGTCACTTGGGGAATCTAGTAGGGTGCAATTGAAGTATTTTGTCATTGGCTTCACAAATGGCATATAACTTAGCACATAGGGTGTTGATACAGTCTATGTTATGCTGATGTGAAAACATGCAAATTTGCTTAATTTTTCATCAAAATTGCCAGTCACCAGCAGAAAACCTCCAAAAATAGCTTTGGCCAGCAATGAGTTAAGTATTAGTAAACTACAAAAGGGAATTATTTGCAGTTCCCAACTGTTAAGGAATTAGGATCTCTGATACAATCTATAGATATTTGTTTTCACTTGTTTAGAATCATCTCTGAATATATAATCCATTGGTATTATCCATAAATTCAATAAATAAATAAATTTATGATAGAATCTATTTAACTATCATTCTATCATCTGGACTGCTTCTTGTGGATCTTCAGATGTCTCGTAAGATGTGCCATTTGTCTAAAGCGTTTCATGCACATCTCACACTGGAATGGTTTCTCGCCAGTATGGGTCCTCATATGATAATTTAAATGTCCAGAATGAGATAACTGCTTGTTACATATATGACAAATATGTTGTTTGCTTGCTTCTGACGCTGATGAGTTCTTTGTTGGTGTACTAAGCTGGTCTATATATCTTCGCATGTAGCTTTTATCAAGTTGAAATGCTGGAAATAGAGAATCACCAAATTACTCTTAGCTAAAACATACATATAACCATTATACTAAACTTATATTGGATTGAATCAAGCTGGATCATTGGATACAGGAGGCATATGTGTATATGAAAAAAAACATGGGAAAGAAATTACTGATTTTTATGGTGCATCAATGGATCAAGTACATTTTTTATCAACAGAAAATATTTCCTTTTTAAGGGTAGACTTTCAATAGATTAGCATTTTCAGTGTACCGGATAGCCCTATAATCTTTACTTTTGAGGTTGAGAAGAGCCAAGTATATTATGTTATAAAAAGAACAACATTAAAGCATTATAAGAGGTTTATTTGTTAAAGATATCAAGCTTACAAGAAACTAAGAAACACATAATTCTTGCTACAAATTAAATCCCTTGTATTTATTTAGTTTCCATTTTCCTCAAATGTCGTCATGATTGTTTATATCCAAGTAGTGATTCAATCTTCCAATCCTGTAAAAACTCAAACCAAACAGTTTTTCTCAAACCACGAAGTACACTGAACTGAAGTTATTTACATGCTTTTGTATTTGAAATCTTGAAATCATGCACTTTGACATCTCCAAGTGTTCAATAGAGGTGTCCTGGTTCAATATTAGCAAGAATTAAAACACTAGTGATCTCCTTTCCCAGTTTCGGCTCCTACACTCTTGAAAGAAAAGATCATTCTTCATTCTTGCCTACATCCAATCAGAATATGAAGTCAAAATATAAAGGCATTTCATTTTCTGTTAAAGTCACCAGGATTTATTTATCACTTTGAATCCCACAAAATATGCATTTCAGTTCATTAAGATCATAGGCATCAATAGTTTGATATAATCTCTATAGTCAGAGTGCAGTATAGTCGGGCTTAACATATCAGGGCACTCCTTTATATTTAGAATGTATCTTCCTATGACGGTTCAGATCAGCTGCCTGACGAAACCCTTTGAGGCAAATTTCACACTTATATGGCTTCTCGCCAGTGTGGGCTCTCATGTGGTAGTCAAAGTGCTGTTTCTGTTGCATTTGCTTGTGGCATATTTCACATTCGTATTGGCCAGATGTATTCTTAGGTGTTGATGTCCCAGTCCCATGAGGCACTATTGGTTGTTTCCCTAATACTTGGACTGGAAAAGCGTTAGTAATTTGTGTCAACAGGATATTTGGAAATGGCTGGTGTTGCTGTCCTGGAAGCAAACAGAACATAAAGCATTAAAGTATGAGGATTCATGAAATATATTTTATTGTTATGATCATTGGTTAAGGTTGGGGGAAGAATAAACAGAGTATTTATAAGAATATCTATCTTACACATAAACATATATGCTAAATAAATCGCTGAATGAATCCCAGAATGTATTCAAGATAGGACTGGTGGTATGGGTTTTGAACATGTTGCCAAGTACATAAATTCGCCAAATTTTAAAATAACATGTGTTTTGGTCCTCATTTGTTAGCTATTAATTTCTTGGGCTCTCTCAACTCTCATCACATTTACTTTATAATATTTTAAATAATTTTTTTTGTATCCATTTAAAAAGCCTATATTTCATATTTGACACAGGAACACATTGAATAAATTCTACATATTTATATTTCAGTCTTTAGTCACTTCAGCTATCTATAATTCTATATCATATGTTTTTGTCTCTTATGCTTGTTCAAATTGCTTGAATTTCTGAATGCTTTCAAGCACAATTCACATTTAAAGGGCTTCTCGCCAGTATGCATCCTCATGTGGTATTTATAATGTTGTTGTTGAATCATACGCTTATCACAGATCTCACACACATATTTCCCTTGTTCTTGCGAGTAAGATTTTGAGAGATTTTGCCTATTAGTGTTCATTGAGGAGGGCTCTTGAGTTGAAATATAGTGTGGGTCTCGAGAATGGACATTTTGGGGTCTTTGCAATGAAGGGCTTGTATCTACTGATCCATATCCTGTTTCTGAATGTGTCATGGTTTGTGGATGTGATATGGCACCAGACAAGGTGTAGTTCTGCCTCAGATTAAAGCCACCTGAAAAGAAAAGAACACTTCATTAGTTTTGCTTATTTATTATTCATTAAAATGGATGTACAGTAAGATTCAGATGCTGGTTGAGGGCATTTGTTTTTTAAGGGAATCATAGACTTGAGTGACCTGAGCAGAGGTCCCATGCCCAAAAGGCATCAGCATTTGAAATTTGGACAAAATCTGAGTAGTGCTATATGAGAAATCAGAAATTGTATTGGTAGAAATTGTAAGGTAGCCATTTTGAAATTAGCAGCAGAACTGAAAATTCCTTCTTGAGCCAAGTCACTAAGGCATCAGCATATAAAATCTAAACAAAATCCCACTACTGGTATCTGAGTTATTATAGATTATATTTCCTTCTCAAGCAGAGGTTCTATGCCCATGACATTATTTGAGTTATCAAAGATAACCGTTTTTATGAAAAAACAGCAGCCATTTTGAATTGAACATATTGAATAATTTCTATTTTATTTATATTTCAGTCTTGAACATTTCAGCTCTCTATATCCTACTAGTATGTGTTTTTCGCTTATGCTGGTTCAAATTACTTGAATTTCTGAATGCTTTTAAGCATAATTCACATTTAAATGGCTTCTCGCCAGTATGCATCCTCATGTGGTATTTATAATGCTGTTGTTGGACCATACGCTTATCACAGATTTCACAAACATATTTTCCTTGTTCTTGTGAGTACGATTTTGAGAGATTTTGCCTATTAGTGTTCATCATAGATGGGTCTTGAGTTGAAAGATAATATGGGTATCTTGAATTAACATCTTTGGGTCCTTGCAATGAAGGGCTTGTATCTGCTGGTCCATATCTTTCTAAATGCGCCATGGTTTGTGAATGTTGTCTGGCATAGATCTGCTGCCTTGTGCTAAAATGCTCTGAAAAAGCAAAGGGCAATTCATTAGTTTTTTTTCATTTAATCCTATTAACGAATGAACAGCAACAATCAACAGTTGTAGTAGTTGTCCATTTCAACCTCAAGCAGTTTTTTTTGTTTCTTATCTCATTTCTAATTTATTCCATAGAACATACAAATAAAATACAATACCTACATTTTTCAACATTGTCGGTAATATACAACAACAATATATATCAAAGTGGAAATAACAAAATACAATAGATAAGGTACATAATATAAATGGTGGGAAGGTGAGATGTTTAATCTAAAATATAGAACTGCTAATGGGAGAGGATATTCAATAATGCCTTGATTGTCTTAGAATATTCAAAATTGGTCCCTCAAGCAGAGGTCCTATTCCTATGACATTAACATATATGAATTATCATTTAAAAGTAGCCATTTTTAATTGATCAGGCATATTGGAAATTCCTTTAAACAGAGGTTCTCTGTATACAGAACTCTATATATCCCTTAGACAACTGATAAATTGTTGGCCAATCCAACTGCTGGTACTTGAGAGTTTGACCTGAACAGATGACAGACAGATGGTTCCTCTATATAGTGATATACCATTGGATATTTGTTCATTGGGACAATTTGACAATGCACTCGTCTTCCAAGTTGTTAAGGAACAGATCTTGAACACTTTCAGATTTAAGTCAACTAACACCAGATCTAAGCAAAACATCAATTTATTTTATATACAATGATAGAGCAACACTAAAAATGCATAAAACAGAAAATTAAGAGAGAAATAAACATATTGCGGAGCTTATTATCACCACCTTTTTGATAATCTAGCTTTATAAATAAATTTTAGCTTTTCAATGTTATATATTTCAAATTCACTGTATGCTTGTTTTCATATGAACTTTCTTCTTATGTCTATATAGATTGCTAGAGTTCCTGAAGCCTTTAAGGCAAAGTTCACATTTAAATGGTTTCGCTCCAGTATGAGTCAACATGTGGTATTTAAAGTGTTCCCTTTGTGTCATGGTCTTACTGCAGATTTCACACACATAATAACTGCAACCTTTTACATGTTGAGGGTGTATAGAAGGACGACTTTGTTTCTGTGATTCTGCAGCAACCCAAATGTTGGTGTATTGTATAAATGTAGGTTGTCAACTGAAAAATAAATATTCAGATTTATTAACCAATTCAAAATATTAAATATAGTTTACACTGATGTGATGTTCACATACTACAATATCATCAGCAACTCCAGTTAATGACTGAAATGAACATAAGCATAAATTGCTACTTTTATGTATAGATGTATTTTCACACATGTTTTACAGTACATTTATATTAAAAAAATGAACATTTATACCCATCAACCTAAAACTGCAGTGAACATGAACTAACAATACTCATAATCATTAACTAATAAACTTGGTGTAATTATCAAAATGTCTTCAAATGTCTGCAAGTAATCAGAGATGATCCACGTAAATATCATCAATCATCAAAAATGTTTAGATCTAGCATTAAATATCTCCAAGGCTGCAAAAGTGGGAGAATTAGGGAGTTATTTCCACATAATGTCAATTTAAAGCTTTCATGTAAGTTTGAAACTTAAATGATGTCAGTTTGAACATATAAAATTGCCCATGTAATTAACCATGCACTCATTTGACTCTGCATTCTTCAGGTCATACACAATATATAATTTCTTTGTAACAAAAATAGATGAATCTACATCCTTTGCAGTTATTCCTCTAAATATTGTCTACTTTGAAAAATGGGACTGTCGATGTTGCTTCAGATTGCTAGGATTCCTGAATTTCTTCAAACACAAATCACATTCATATGGTTTCTCTCCAGTATGGGTCCTCATATGATATGTATAATGGGCCTTGTGGGCTAGATGTTTATTGCAAATTCCACATATGTACTTTCCCTGTCCTTGACTGAAGCTGGGAGTTGTACTTAGATTTCTTCTGGCTTGGGTTGGCAAAGTACTTCTGTGTTGCGTTGTGTTTGCGTATGTTGGATTATAAAAAGTACCAGATATCATTTCCACTGAAAATAGACAATATAAAGTCTATTAAGAATTATCTTTTGTATAAATGGACCATATGGGAACTAAAAAGATGTTTTAACTTTGTATCAGTTAGGCCGTAAGAATTAGTTTCTTTGTTTTGCGTCCCCTTGCTTGCATGATTTTGAGTAAATCAGAAAAAAACAAACACATCCAAATAGCAACCACAAGGGTCTAAAAGTAACATCGCATTTCATTCAATCAGAATCAGACGAAATGGCGGATAAATTGATGTGCGTCAAAATTGACAGTGTTATTGATTACTTGGGCATACATTGTGTATTTTTTATTTTTACCATTGAATAATACCTATATTTAAATATATTGTATAAATGTATAGATCTGTGTTTGTATCACTGCAAATTGGTATGTCATTCCTTTTAATGCCCATAAAATATATACATTTCTCAGCAAACAAGTTTGTGTTTTTTTGAGTTAGTGTTTGTTTTCCTTGTACCCTTGCATGATTCGGATTTTGCCAGGACGCAAAACAGAGAATCTAATTCTTATGGCCTTAATGGAAATCATGATCTTGACAGTCCTTAAACATATCTTTTAGTTGTACATTTTAGTTTACTCCGCTAGATATTCTAAATATAACACATGTTATATGCACATTGTTTCAGAACATAATCCATGATTAGTGATTACTTAGCATATATCAAGCTTCATGGTCATTAAATTATGTTACTTTCAAAACTACAACTTTCAATATTGAACTCTCTGATCGCTCGGGCATATTGGATATATTTACAATGTCAGTTAATCGCACTTATGTCTATAACTGTAATAATGATATCATAGCCAAAAGATGGTGTGGTTTACTGAAGACAGGTCTATTTTGCTATTCTAATGTTCACCGTTGAAGAAATATTATGAAACAAAAAATTATATTCTTTGAAATGATGTTATTTATTTAACAAGAAAAGTTCTCCATAACTGAACATTATAAGGCACATCAATGGGCCATGTGATTTTAATTGAGAATATTTCTATATTTTGCCCCAGTCTATGTTGAGTAATGTAACTATAACTAAGAGAAAATAGTCACTAATTAGTGCTAAGAGTATCTGCTATAGATATCCAATGATTTCAATTAAAACCTGTCCTATTTCTTGACTTTGCTATGTATCTGTTGATGTTGTTTCAAATTGCTTTGATTTCTAAACTCCTTCAAGCAAAGGTTACATTTAAATGGCTTCTCGCCAGTATGGATCCTCATGTGATATTTGTAGTGGTCTTTCCTGGTCAAGTGTTTGTTACAAATCTCACATATGAAGACCCTGCCAGATTCTTGAGATGTTGTACGGTGCAGAGTTATACTTGAAGGGAATGAATATTGCTCCATAAAGTCTTGAACTGAAAAATAAATGAAGCATTGATTAGATTTAGTAGGAATTTGTTAATCTTTTCTATATTGAACTATATATATAAAAGTAAAGGGACAGTAAGCCTCATGTAGGAACAGTGAAGATTAACCTAAACAAGATCATGTTAGTTTTAAATATTGCTTTATTACACATATTTTGGCAAGTCCTACAGTTTCCCCAAAAATAAATAATATATGTGTAGTCATCACTCGATTAATTTTTTAATATGCTACATGACAACTAATTTACATTTATTTCAGTTCTTTGAGGCGTTTCTACATTAGTATATCACCATATGTCACATAAGTTTATATGGTTCCATTTTTGATATCTATGATGTTGATGGATGATGTTTTTCTGTATGTTGCACATGTATTTTGTGCTTTGCTTTGACATGTTTATTCAGGGCACTTGCTTGACTGAATCCTCTCAAACACAATTCACACTTGTATGGCTTCTCGCCAGTATGTGTCCTCATGTGGTATTCATAGTGAAATTTTTTCACCATGTGTTTATTGCAAATATTGCAAACATATGCTGGTGAAGTTTGTTGCTTTTGTTGTAGCAACCTCTGTTTTTGTTGTAGCAACCGTTGTTGTTGCTGTGGTAACCAGGCTTGCTTTGTTCCCCGGGGCAGTGTCAACTGTAAATTTGGAGCTCCTTGGTAGACATTGGGGGAGCTATTGTATGTGACTGAAATGGAAATTATAAAAATAAATCAGCATGATTCAATCTTTATACCTTTCACCATCTTGTTGTTTAAGTGCATGCACCATATCTAATTTTAAGGTTCTAAGTAAAACAAAGGCTTTTCAAGTAATATACTAAATGGGGAAGGTATCATACTTGTATCTTTCAATGGTTTGCTTAGTGGGCTATATCTTTAATGATAGAAACACTTAGATGTATGCTTTACAAAATTATTTATTTGTCAACCTATAGTTTTTAAACATGTATAAGTCATACAAATTTTACTTCTGAAAATCACATTTTTTTATAGGAACTGTCCCGTAGAACTTGATTGATCAAAATACATTTCTAATTTCAAACTGTCCTCTTAAAGACTTATTGCTTTTGGTTATGTGCAAATCCATGTACACGTTTCTGATGCCTCTTCAGATCTGATGGTTGTCTGAATTCTTTCAGGCAAAGTGGACATTTATGTGGTTTTTCACCAGTATGTGTCTTCATATGATAACTATAATGGTCTTTCCTTGTCATGACTTTATGACAAACACTACACACATATCTCTGTATATTTGACCCCTTAAATGCCCCATGTCCAAAACTTTGTGCACTTTGGTTATCAGAATCTCGTAATTGCAGCATATTGTCTTCTACTCCATAGTACTCGTACTGTTGTGCTGAAAGATAAAAAGTCAAATATTTAGTCAGATGAGATGAATACATTTTATTGAAACTTGATACACATGAATGTTCAAGAACTAACTCAGACATGTACTTAAAGGTAGTATCTGATCTAACATCAATTTAGACATGTTATTAAAGGGAGTATCATATCTAGCATCTAGTTAGAAACTTCTTTACAGAAATGTTTTCAGACTATTTCGGGCTCATATGTCATCAAGCCTATTTCTAACAATCCCCAAAGTGCATACTTTATTCCAGGAAAACTAAAGAATTTTTACAATAATGTACACTTTTCTTATTTTCATGGTTACAATATCTGACATATTGTTATAGTCTTCAACTTTTTTGTGGGTGGCAGATGGCATTCAGTGTCTGTAAGAAATGGCAGGTTGTGACATTTTGCATGTGAATGCTAGTTATTATTTGAGAGAATTTAAAAAAAAATTCTCTATTTTTGCACTTATCTTAAACAACTTCACCAATCTGTAACATATCATGAATCTTTTTGGAAATATATTGAGATTGTAAGGAATACATTGGTCATTGGTCAGTTGTACATATTGCTTGTAATTTTATCACTGTACTAGTAATTTGTTTACTGGACTGCACCCCTTAATGATAATAGTGAGAAAACTCAAATTTAATATAAAATTTATAAAATTGTTTTATTCATCAACTTCAGATTTTAAGCATGCATGAAGTTAGTCCAATAGAAAAAAGTATACACATCCAAAAAAGCTTGAGGAACGAATACATTTACAACGCCTCTTCAAATTAGATGTTTGTTCAAATTCTTCAGCCAAAGTAGTCACATGTTTCTGGTTTTCTCCAGTATGAGTCCTCGTGTGATGATTGGCTCATGTGACAATGGATTTCTTCTAATGTGTCACCTTTATATGATATTTAAGGTTAGTTAAGGATGCATATTGTTTTTCACATAAGTTGCACTTATAATGTTTCTCTCCAGTATGACTTCTGTGATGACGATTTAACTGTCCACCAGTAATGAACGTTTTCTGACACAAGTTGCATTTATGTGGCTTTTCACCAGTATGCGTCTTCATGTGATAATTATAATGATCCTTTCTTGCCATGACTTTATTACAAACATTACACACATATCTCTGTATGGCATTTAACCGCTTGAAGGTCCCCTCTCCAAAACTTTGCGCACTTTGGTTATTAGAATCGAGTAATTGCTGCATATTGTCTTCTTCCTCATAGTTCTCATACTGTTGTACTGAAACATAAAATCAAATATTTAGACAGATGTCAGAGAAGTCCACATTTGATCAAGCAATGGGCTTTATAGTTAGTTACATGCTTGGTGGGTAATGACTGGGAACATTGTATCTCAGCACATTAAAATAACAGTATATAGCAAAGTGGCCTATATAACACCAAACCATAGATGGCTCTGAATAGTTCTTGTACCTAGTTGGGATAAACCTTGAATTTATGTGATCGTCTGTGTCTGGTTACATCATAAGTATGTCTGAAACCTCTATTGCATATATCACATTTGAACGGTTTCTCCTTAGAATGGATTAGTTCATGTCGTCTCAACGATGAAAGTATCATAAAATCTTTCCTACATAATTTACACTTATATGGCTTCTCTCCAGTATGTGTCTTTATGTGGTAATTGTAACTGACCCTTGTGTTACTAACATGGTTACAAATCTCACAAACATATTTTCCATATTCCGGCATCCCTTTTATTAAAGCATGTGTCCCTATCACAGACTCCATTTTCTCTTTCTCTAAGTTTTGTTCAGTTTTAATATCTGCAGACTGGTTGACACTCTCCCTAAGAGAATGTGTACCTGAAAGAAGAAATAAAAGATAATGAATTTTTATAAAAAAAAGTAAAGAGGACTGTAACGTAATAAAGTATTTGTTCAATCAAACTACAGATTTTACCCAAATGATATCAGGTTTCACTTATATGCTGTAATCATTCTGTGTTTTAACATAAGTTAGTACTTCAATTTGCTGAATGAATTGCTTCTAACAAGACAAGATAACATAACAAACTCCCTGAAATATCATGTGAAGTCCCAGTTTCAGTCTCCAGTATGAAATTTTTTTAACTCTTCATATTTCTAGCAAGCTTCTTTTTTGAAAAAAAAGAAAAACAAAAATAATCTGAAAACAATAATATATTCCACATAAAAACCAAAAATTGTTGTCAGCCAAAGAGAGTTACTGAGTTTTACTGATATTTGGAACAACATAGGATTATACTGAAAAGTATGTATATTTTACGTATTTTGAAGTAAATATCCTCCTTCTTGAATGTCTGCATCTCATGCCATAACGTGTTCATTAACAGAAATATAACATCGGTTAACCAAGTTGGCAAATGTAGTTGATTCAAACAACTGGGTTATTGACTTTAGTGTGTATCTTTTTGTGTTTTTTCAAATCTCCAAATTGTCTGAACCCTTTTAAACACAGATCCATTTATATGGTTTTTCTCCAGTGTGGGTCCTCATATGATATAAGTAGTTATATTTATGGCCTATCCGTTTATTGCAAATATGACACACATAATCTGTTGATGAATGGCTGGTTTTATTCATGGTTTTGTATCCTGGTCTAGTTTGGTACTGCACATTCCAAAAACCTGGAATTAAAAATAGTATCTTATCAATTGTTGATATCAAAGGATCAGAAAATGCTCTAATATAGCATTGATACAAAAAATAAACTGAAAAAGATGCTGCAATATCTTCCCAGGTTTCAAAGTCACTATCAGAGTATAATATTTATTATACCTTTATCATTACATGCATATAGTTTATTGACTCCTAAATGTTTAATAAAAATATTTATTTATTTTCATCATGCTACATCTGTATATATTTCACAGCATATCATCTGTACTTAAAGAATTATTGTGCCATGCCTTTCACTTGTTCAAGCTTTTACAGAAAGTACCTGTTTATAGTCATAATAACAAACGAAAGTCTATGGTGATGTAGTTTTCAAACAGTTGGGCTATCAAACTTTGTGTGTGTCCTTTTGTGTCTTTTCAGATCTGTTAATTGTCTAAATCCTTTCAAACACAAATCACATTTATATGGTTTTTCTCCAGTATGGGTCCTCATGTGATATAAGTAGTTGTATTTATGACTGTTCTGTTTATTGCAAATATGACACACATAATTTGTTGATGAATTGCTGGTTTTATTTGTGGCTTTGTATCCTTGTATAGTTTGGTACTGCATATTCCGAAAGTCTGGAATTAAAAATAGTATCTTATCAATTGATGGTAATCTTAGATACATATATAAGAATTATAAAATGGTTTACAAAGTTGTTAGTAACATCAGATGACGCAATGAAATATGAACTGAAAAGTGTTCACATAAATTTCCTAAATTCCTGGAATCAAAATTAGAATCAACTGTAATCATCCATGAATTATAAAATGCTTTATAAAGTTGTGAGGAAAACAAGCTGACACAAGTCTGATTAACAAGTGCATTTACAAATGATATCAAAATGCCTATTTTCCAAGATATAAGCTACATACAAAATCCTTCTGAAATAATTCTGATTTGTAAGATTTTCTCTCCAGTATGTATCATCCACATTCAACATCAACAGTGTTATTACTGTCAGGTATGCTAATTCCCGAGCCTGTTTCTCTTTAGGAAAGTGAAGATAACCAGTGTCTTGAAATATCTATATCTGATGTTAAACTGCTTGAATGTGTGGAGCCTATGTATTTGCCAAGTACTGTACTTATACTTTCCATACTCTCAGGGACACATACTGGGGAGTCATCAGTTCCTCGAAATGTCTATAGCTGATCACATTTTATGTCTGTGACGTTGATGCTGCTTCAAATTGCCCAAATTTCTGATGATTCACACTTGAATGGTTTCTCTCCAGTGTGGGTCATCAAATGATATTGAAAATGGTGCTTATGGTGAAATACTTTTTCCAGTTTTTTGTTTAGAAGTCTTTCGAAAAGTAGTCAGTTTATTTGCTGAAGATCGGGTTGTTAAATTCCTCTTTCATTTTCAATTATTGTTTTGTCACTGGCATCATTGTGTTGTACTCCAATAATATCTCATCAATGAAATCATGTTCTTTAATGTGTCTTCTTGTGTTCAAACAAACAACTAATTCCTCCTACATAATTCACCTTTAAATGGCTTCTCTCCAGTATGTGTCTTTAAGTGGTAATTGTAACTGACCCTTGTGTTACTAACATGGTTACAAATCTCACAAACATATTTTCCATATTCCTGTGTCCCTTTTATTAAAGCATGTGTCCCTATCACCGACTCCATATGTTGTATTTCAATAAAAGCTCATGGATGATATCACTTTCTATAATGCGTTTTCCTGTGCTTGTTCAGATCACCATTTGCTCTGAATCTTTTGAGACAAATCTCACACTTGTGTGGTTTCTCTCCAGTATGGATCCTCATATGGTAATCATAATGAAACTTCTTTAACATTCTCTTATTACAAATCTCACAGATATAATCTGTCTGTATATGTTGCATTTTCTGGATACTCTTTTGGTAGTCCACTGGATTTAGAGTCCATACTGGAAATACAATATGAAAATATTTTGTAAATCTACAATATTTTAAGTCTTCGCTGGATATGGAAATCTCTTTTGGATTTTGGTGACTTTCCTTCACTTTGTCTTTACAAATGATGTTACTATGGTGGTCTTCCTAAACAAGTTACTGAACTATTTTCAACAATGAATAATGTCATCACAAACCTTTCATTCCTAGAAATAGAGTAACTGTACTCATAGTAACTTTTTCAAACATCCATCATTCCAATGCATTTATATACACTATGGCTTGAATGCATTCAAATGAAGATGTTGATTCAAAATTGAGAAATGCTTGATATAACTGATTATTGCTAGCAATTTGAATCTTCTATGACCTTTCTTGAACAAATATTCCGATGAAGCATATTAGTAGATTTTTGTTAATTGTGACTGGTTATCAATCAATTTTGTGAATATTCAGTTAAAACAGCTGCATTTGGTAGATGTTTGTGCTTACAGTCTATGTTGATTTTAATATCCAGCATAATTATATAAATATCCCTTTGAAGTTGGAACAAATCTCAAACTAAAGGTGCTTCTCTCCAGAATGGATATTTTTAATATGTTGATTTAAATTTCCATTCTACGCTTCTTCAAAGCTAACATCACTTTCTACAATGTAGGTCCTCATAATGATTGTCAAAGCAAGCCAAAATGTTACTCTGGAAAAAACTATATCCCATTGTGTCATGGATTGAACCATCACCTCTCTTTCATTTTAGTACTGAGCATTATCAAGTGCTCTCTTTGCCAGCCTTCATTTAGTACCTTGCACCATTCATCAAGAGTTCTCTTTACATTAAGGTGGCAAGTTTCAGCTTCTTTCATTTTAGTACTGTATATCTCATCAAGTGCTCTCTTTACATAAGGTGGCAAGTGTCAGCTTCTTTCATTTTAGTACTGTGCATTATTAAGTGCTCTCTTTACATTAAGGTGGCAATGTCAACTTTCATATTAGTAATGCGCATCATCAAGTGCTCTTTACATTAAGGTAGCAAATGTCAGCTTTCATTTTAGTACTATGCATCATCAAGTGCTCTCTTTACATTAAGGTGGCAAATGTCAGCTTTCATTTTAGTACTATGCATCATCAAGTGCTCTCTTTACATTAAGGTGGCAATGTCAACTTTCATTTTAGTAATATGCATCATCAAATGCTCTCTTTACATTAAGGTGGCAAATGTCAGCTTTCATTTTAGTACTTTGCATCATCAAGTGCTCTCTTTACATTAAGGTGGCAATGTCAACTTTCATTTTAGTAATGCGCATCATCGAGTGCTCTTTACATTAAGGTGGCAAATGTCCGCTTTAATTTTAGTACTATGCATCATCAAGTGCTCTCTTTACATTAAGGTGGCAAATGTCAGCTTTAATTTTAGTACTATGCATCATCAAGTGCTCTCTTTACATTAAGGTGGCAAATGTCAGCTTTCATTTAAGTACTATGCATCATCAAGTGCTCTCTTTACATTAAGGTGGCAAATGTCAGCTTTAGTTTTAGTACTGTGCATAATCAAATGCTCTCTTTACATTAAGGTGGCAAATGTCAGCTTTAGTTTTAGTACTGTGCATAATCAAGTGCTCTCTTTACATTAGATGGCAAATTTCAGCAATGTACATCATCAAATGCTCTATATCTTTTCAGAGATCCTCTCACCAGATTTCATGGTTTGAAATTCACAGCTGCCTGACTGGGCAATCACGTTTGGCATTGGACGTTGAAAATAAGTTGCCCATTGGGCATTGTGGGCAATGGACTGAATGCCAATACTGTAAATTGGAGCAATTATGTTTTAGACATCAGTGTCTGTTGGATTTAATCCTTCTGGATAAGTAAATTTATTTGATTCTACAGTTGGATGAACATCTTACGACTAGCAACTGTTCAGTACATTATGTTTTATATGCCATCCAGTTTACTTTAAATGTATTGTAGTCCTTTTTTATATACCATCCAGTTTACTTTAAATATATTGTAGTCCTGTTTTATATGCCATTCAGTTTACTTTAAATGTATTGTAGTCCTGTTTTATATGCCATCCAGTTTACTTTAAATGTATTGTAGTCCTGTTTTATATGCCATCCAGTTTACTTTAAATATATTGTAGTCCTGTTTTATATGCCATCCAGTTTACTTTAAATATATTGTAGTCCTGTTTTATATGCCATCCAGTTTCCTTTAAATATATTGTAGTCCTGTTTTATATGCCATTCAGTTTACACTAAATGTATTGTAGTCCTGTTTTATATGCCATCCAGTTTACTTTAAATGTATTGTAGTCCTGTTTTATATGCCATCCAGTTTACTTTAAATATATTGTAGTCCTGTTTTATATGCCATTCAGTTTACTTTAAATGTATTGTAGTCCTGTTTTATATGCCATCCAGTTTACTTTAAATGTATTGTAGTCCTGTTTTATATGCCATCCAGTTTACTTTAAATGTATTGTAGTCCTGTTTTATATGCCATCCAGTTTACTTTAAATGTATTGTAGTCCTGTTTTAGATGCCATCCAGTTTACTTTAAATGTATTGTAGTCCTGTTTTATATGCCATCCAGTTTACTTTAAATGTATTGTAGTCCTGTTTTAGATGCCATCCAGTTTACTTTAAATATATTGTACTGTTCCATTGTGGATCCATTTTCTCCATACTACATTATGAAATACATTGCATTTATATGTTATATTGCCAAGCAATTGCTGCTGAAGCACATCTTAATATGTCCGTGGCCTGAAAAAGCATGCAAACCTGGTACTTCTCAAAAGAACATAAACTAAAGTTTGCTAATAGGATATACAGTAAGATATACTTGATATCCTTGACCAAACAGCACATAACATATTTTATATGTCAAATTGCAAATAAATCAAATTTCTTTAAAACACTTGTTTTCAGCAAAAGCCCTGCTGGAATAGCATACATTTAGATAAACTAGACAACAAAAACAGCTATGATCTGTTTGGTCATAAGATGTAACACTTTGTTACTTCTGAAACTACTTGTCGAAAACAAAACTTTAAATCCTAATAAGTCATAAAAGTCATTTTAACTCCTGTATGTTTACAATGTGTGAATTACAGAGGTAGAAGATATTCTCTGCTGAATTCCAGTGAATGTTATTATATCATACCATGAACTATTTTCAATTTATAAATATATTTTAGATTTAACAATATTTATATATGAAGCATGCAGATTTAACTTTATGCTACAATTATTTTACATAAATTATTAGCTGCAAAATTACAAACCCTTCTGTCTTCAATATTACAAAAATTATATGGGGCTGTTTTGAATTCTGATGGACTCAGAGATGTTTAAAAGCGCAATTATTTATTAATTTTAACAATTTTAGTAAATGTAGGTTTTATTTAGAGCAGGGTGACCCCCGAAATATTTCAATTTAAATGCTCATCTAAGTCTATTGATGATAGTTATTTTTTCAAGTCTAGAACTTTTCCTTGATCTAATAATGTACTAGGCATTTTAGCATAAATTTGAGCCTGTTTAGTTAAAGATAAACCCCTATAAACCTTTCATAAACATCATCATACAATCATATTCATGGGATCTTTATAATGTAGAATAATCATATAAAATAACTTAAGCATGCAGGTCAGCATTATATAAATGTTATTCTAAATTTTCAAGCTCATCAAATTATTTACTTTTTTTATACAGGATTACAGGGTGACCCAAAAAATCGAACCCTTCTTTCTCAATTATGATGGAATCTTCAGATTGTTTTTTAGATTTTCAATACAAGAAAAAGAGGTGTATCCACATAACAACCTTAACCTTGCGATTTATTTATAGAGATAACAATTCTGTCCAGCTCTCCCTCAAGTAAAAAGTTCAAAATATCCAAATCGTCTGAACTTTGGATTTCTATTTTTGCCTTTTCATAAACAATTTCTTGACTGCTTTCATGAATTTATACTAATTACCCAATCTTAATAAAAAATAACTTGCATTAATTTGGTTCTTTGATAAATATTGATGGATAAAGTTTCCATATTTGCATTTTAGCATGCCTTGATGGAAAACATGATTTCTCTGAATCTCAAAGTTGATGGTATGAACAATATCACTGCATCTTGTAATGAAAGCCTAATCTAAACAATACAATCCATAAAGATTCTATCATAAACAAGGAAATTATTTCAAAATAAGTTCAATTTTGGTATCACCCTGTATAAATGGTACATGTGCAAATCAGAACATTTAGGGCTGAAAATTAAATAATTTTGTCAGTTGGTCATCGCTGAATGATTGAAAACTGTAAAGCAATTTAGAATTCTACTATAGCTATGGTTTAAAAGTTGTTGATTTCACCTCTCAATTTGCTAAAATAGCAAAAAATCAAAAGTTAATCAGCACTACCATTCAACAGCTGTATTAATTCTAAATTTTAATCTGATGAGTGTTTACTAAAATTTTGATGTCAAAATATATTGAAAAATATCTTTAGAAATGAAAATGGGTGGTTTGTAATTTACCAAACATGCCAAAAATGTAAGTTTTTGATCCCAGATTTTCATACCAAGAGACATCCTTGAAAATTTCAAACTAATCTGTCAGGCAATTTGTTTCTAAATCTGAAGACAACAAAAGTGAGATGCTACCACCCACCCACTAGTTTAGCTGAACATTAATTTAAACTAAATTGATTGACAATTTTCTTGCTAGTTTGACAAGATACTTGTGTCCTACTATACTGTATATTTGGTGTAAAATGGCTCAAGGAAACTAGAATATTATTGGAAAATAGGCAAACAATTTATTTTATTAGAACACGAGTATCTTGTCAAAAGTTTTTTTTGGAAAATATAAGTCTTAGAAAAACAGTATACTAACGATAAAAACATGATTTCAAACTTTGCACAGGGGCTTTAACGAGGTGTATAAATAAGCAGCACTTTAGGCCACCTTAAAGATTAATGGAAGATTGACACAATCTACTTTGGAGTAAAGCTGGGGAAAATTCACAATATAGGCTTGTATTATATAGATGAGGACGGGACAAATCTATTGACCTTCTTTATCTACATAAATGTAGGATATTAGCATGATTTTAAACTAGATATCTAATCATCAATACCAATGTTGAAGAAGTTTTATGATTGAATGGGGGAATTCTATTTTCAGCCCTAAATTCTACCAAAATACTCAATATTTTTGTAATTTTTAATCTATTTTTTAATTCTTTAAAAGGGTTTGTAATTTATATCAACTAAGACCAACTCAACATATCAGCAAACATTTTAGAATGTTGAATGGGAATGTTAATGCATTTTTTCTGGTACTGTCTCCTCATGTTCCCCCTTCAATTTCCCCTTGTTTTAATGTTGCCCTCTGTGCTTTGATGTTTCAATGATGTTTGTATCATAACAAAAGAAATTAATTGCTACTCTTTTTGAGTCTGCATGTTTTATGTTCGTCCTTCTGTTTTCATGGTTCAATGTTATAATTTGTGCTTTCATATTTAAATGTTGCCTATTATGATTTCATATATGGATCCCTTTGCGTTTTCATGTTTAAATGTTGCCCTTTTGTGCTTTTTATGTCCCCACCACATAGTGTGGGGCCATATTGTCGGCCTAGGCGCGTCCGTCCGTCCGTCTGTCTGTCCGTCTGTCTGTCCGTCTGTCTGTCCGTCTGTCCGTACGTCCGGCAGTTTTCTCCAAAACCGCTACAGATATCACCTTCAAATTTTCAGGGATAACTTATGAGTGCATACAGATGTGGATGAAAAAAAATTAACTCGATACCTACTTCCTGTCGGCCATTTTGAAGTCGAATGCTAAAATCCTTGTCTGCAAACTTTAAGAAAAACTGCTTCACAGTTGCTTTTAAAACTTTAACATCTTGTTCAGCTCACTTCATTCTAGATCTGATTAGGTTTTGGACCTGCTAGCTCAGTCATGTCAGCCATTTTGAATGTCTTAAGAAAAGTTAGCGCGCGATAATACTTTGTATCATATTGAATGGTGTTTTTGAGTTTTCATACTTTAACTATTTAGTAGCTTTATAAATAATTTCAGATGTACTTTGCTGTACAAGCCTACTTTATTGTTAACAGTAGTTATATGTGATAATTTTGTAAAAAGAAATCAGCAAAAACTCATAAGGACTTTTTTATTGTCGGCCATTTTGGATTTTTCGGTCCTAAAATCTTGTCTGTGAAGTCTTGTCTGCGCGTTTTCAGGTGAACCGTTTGGTGGATCAATTTCAAATTTTCAGGGATGATTCTTAGTATAAAAATCTAGATCTCATTAGTTTTTTGGCATTCTGGGTAAATGTCAAGGCAGCCATTTTGGATTTTCCGTCCTAAAATCTTGTCTGTAAAGTCTTGTCTACTCGTTTTCAGGTGAACTGTTTCGTAGATCAATTTCAAATTTTCAGGAATGATTCTTAGTATGAAAATCTAGAACTGATTAGTTTTTTTGCATTCTGGGTAAATGTCAAGGCAGCCATTTTGGATTTTCCGTCTTAAAATCTTGCCTGTAAAGTCTTGTCTACGCGTTTTTAGGAGAACGGTTTGATAGATCAATTTCAAATTTTCAGGGATGATTCTTTGTATGAAAATCTACATCTGATTACTTTTTTTGCATTCTGCGTAAATGTTAAGGCAGCCATTTTGGATTTTCTGTCCTAAAATCTTGTCTGTAAAGTCTTGTCTACCCGTTTTCAGGTGAACCGTTTGGTAGATCAATTTCATATTTTCAGGGATGATTCTTAGTATGAAAATCTACAAACTGATTAGTTTTTTGACATTCTTGGTAAATGTCAAGGCAGCCATTTTGGATTTTCCATCCTGAAATCTTGTCTGTAAAGTCTTGTTTACATGTTTTCTGGTTAACTGTGTGACGGATCAATTTCAAATTTTCAGGGGTGGTTCTTAGTATGAAAATCTAGAACTGACTAAATTTTTGGCATTCTGGGTAAATTTTAAGGTGGCCACTTTGGATTTTCCGTCCTCAAATTGTGTTGGTAAAGTCTTGTCTACTCATTTTCAGGATAACCATTTCACGGGATCACCACTTGGTGGGGACATTTTGTACACATTTGTGTTCTTGTATGTTTTAATGTTGCTCTGTGTTTTTCTTTTTTATGTTTAATGTTGTCCTTTGGTTTTTTTTGTTTCAATGTTACTTTTTGTGTTATCTGTTCAAATGCTGCCCTTCGTGTTTTGATGTTTTAATGTTGCGCTTTGTGCATTATGTTTTAATGTTGCCCTTTATGCATACATTTCACCCTTTGTATTTTCATATTTCAATATTGCCCTTTGTGTTTTATGTCTTAATATTGCCCTTTGTGTTTTTCATATTTTAGACTGCCTCTTGTCAGTGCAGTGTTCATATTTTACTTAATGTTGACCCTTTGTTTCCATATTTCAATGTTGCCCTATATGCTTTAATTTTTAAGATTTATTCATTGCGTTTTTTATGTTTCAATACTCAGCCCTTTCACTTGCATGGATTAATTTTGCAAATTTTGTTTTCTCATATAACATATATCATTTCAATCAGTGTTTTACATTGTAACCCCATGTGTGTATATATAACTCTATTTGTTTAAGATGTATTGATAACATGAATCTTGTAATGTTGTGTGTATGTGTTGTGTTAGTTTGACTGATATATTGAATTGGTTCAGAAAAGGCAAATGATTCTCACCTGAACTCTGATCAGCCATACTGTTATCTGCCATGTTGTCTTGTGAGGTATCTAATGTGTTGTCTCCCATCCAGCTTGCTCCTGCAGTTGAATCTTCATCATAACCCCCTCCCCCATCCTCTTCCTCATCATCATCATCCCCTAGTTCAATAGTTATAGGTTCTTCTTTTTCTTGCTTAATGTTTATATTGTTCGTGTTTTGATTATCAGTAGCACCGGGGGTTTGGTCAAGTTTAGGTTGTTTTTCTGTGGAATGTTCAGGAGTGTCTTGTTGCGTGTCATCAGAAAGAGATCGTTTGATGCGTCTAGGGGAAGACGGAGGCTCTTCTGAAAACAAATTAAAACTAATGAACAAATTTGAGAATAATATAAAGAAAAGCAAACAGTTAATATTAGTTATGAAATGAAAAATATGAATAAATTAATATAAAGTTGCTAACATTCTGAGGAAACGCTAAAACAAATTCCAATTTCCCCTAATATTAATATTAGTTATGAAATGAAAAATATGAATTTGTTAACATTCTGAGGAAACGCTAAAAATAAATTCCAATTTCCCCATACCTTTTAATCTATCATCATTGGGAAGTATTTTGCAATAAAAAATGGTATGAAATGATTTTTAACTCAATCTTCCATTTGATTGACCCTTTAACATGTTACCATCACTACCTCAAATTTTAGAATGTTATTACCTTTTACAGTGACACCTTCTGACTGGCCCAGTGGTCCACCTGGAGCAACTTGGGTAGCAGATGGCTCAGCAGGTGAATAATAAGGACTTTGGGTAACAGTAGGAGTATTACCCATTGGGCTCTGTGGTGTTCTATTATTGTCTCTCATTGGGCTTTGAGGAATTTTAGGTCTTATTGGTGCTGGCTTCTGTCGCTGTGAGGTTATGGGACCTGGCCTCCTTTGGTTCGGATTTGGAAATGTGTCTGATGGATATTGCCGAGGAGATTGCTGTGGGCCCCCTGTATAATAACTGTCTGTTGGTATTTGTGAGGGAGAGGCTGACCAGACTGGTTGAGCAGGTGTCTGGGGTTCGTTAGGTTTAACTATTGTTCTGTGCATTTTAACTACTATTTCTTTAGCTTCATCACCGGGGGATACACATATTATTCCATCTATTTCAAGAGATTTATTGAACACTACGTTCTGCGTGCAAAGTTTCAGTACAGCGTCTTGTATCATTTGTGTCAACATAGCATTTGTCGAACCCATGATGGTTGGTCTTTGCTCTCTGTAGCACTTGGCAGACTCGCTTGTTCTCTTAGGTCTAAATGAGCCTGAAATGAGTACAGAATATAACTTGTATTACTTGAGATGTAGCTTATAAGAGATGTATTGTTTTTGCAGTAATTTAACAGTCTATGTCAATAAGGCCATAAGAAGTAGATTATTTGTTTTGCGTCCTGGTAAAATTCAAATCATGCAAGGGTACAAGGAAAACAAACACAAACTCAAGAACAAGAAAAAACACAAACTTGTTTGCTGAAAATTTATTCATTTTATGTGCATAAAAAGGGATGACATACCAATTTGCAGTGATTACAAACACATATCTATATATTTTATACAATATGTATATTAAAACATAGCTATTATTCAAGGGTAAAAAAATAAGAAAATACAAAATGTATGCCAAAGTAATCAATAACACTGTCAATTTTGACGCACAACAAATCATCCGCCATTTTGTCTGATTCTTATTGAACGAAAAGTGATGGTAATTTCAGACCCCTGTGATTGCTATTTCAATGTGTTTGTTTTTCCTGATTTACTCAAAATTGTGCAAGCAAGGGGACGCAAAACAAAGAATCTACATGTACTTCTTATGGCCTAATCTGCAAAAGTCTAATAAGCCTATAGATCTATAAAGCATTATTATGTTGGAACAGGTCCAGAGAAGAGCAGCCAGGTTTGTAACCAAATGTCACTCGAGGGAACCAGGCTGCGTCACCAAAGCTCTTCAAGACCTACAGTGGGAGCCACTGAAGGAGCGTCGAGAGGCTGCTAGAGTTTTCCTCTTCTACAAAGGAAAGCAGAACCTAGCAGCCATCGATGTGCCTCCATACTTCCGCCAACAGATCAATACCAACACTAGGTTGTATCATCCTTCTAAGGTCATACAACCATCACCTAGAACGGATGCATACAAATTTAGCTATTTCCCTAGGACAATAGCTAAATGGAACACTCTACCTGGTGACATCTTAGACTCTGACAGTCTAAGTAGTTTTAAATCATCATACTATGCCTATGTCAATAACTGCAATTAAATAGGTGTGTTTTTAATATAGATCTATGTTTTAATGTAAAAGGTCCCCAGTGCACAGCAACAAGCCTGCACTACTGGTAAAGAGGGGTGATGTCAACGCGGTAGCCTGACAGTCGCCCCAGGGTATTTCAACATAAAGGGACTTCCTAGGGGGGTACAGGGGCCAACCAGGAAGGTTCCTTTCAATTTTAAAATGAGTTGTAAACCATAGATCTATTTTTAAATGTTAAGGTCAGGGTGCATGATGGGAAATTTTCTGCATTCCTCAATTGAGTCACATGTTATTTTTCAAACAAGAATCACTCCTTCCCTTCATTGTCTATATCTTCCAGTTTTGCACAATGAGTGCACTTATGTGCCTAGAAAAGACTTGTGAGAAGAATGTTTTGATTAAGTGTATAAAAAACAAAAAAATTCAGTGAAAAAAATCAGAAAATTTTCAGAATTTTTTTTCACTGAATTTTCTCATTTTTTATACATGTTACAAAACAAACCTTCTCACAAGGCTTTTCTAGGCACAGAAGTGCACTCTTTGTGCAAACTTGGAAGATGTAGACAATGTGGGGAAGGAGTTATTCAAGTTTGAAAAATAACATGTGACTCAATTGAGTAATGCAGAAAATTTCCCAACATGCACCCTGTCCTTAATGTTTTAAATTATATTCTATTCAAATTCTATCACTGTTAAATTATATATCTGCTTTATATGGGCTTATTACAAAGTCATCACCATCAATCTACCTTTAGTAATAGAAGAGAAAAGTCCGAAAGCTCTTTGGAAATATAAACACTTCCGGTAAATATTCTGACATTTATCCTTCAAACTGTGACATTTATGCTTATATTTCGACATATATATGATTCTTACATACCAATACGATCAAAAAGGTTACTAACATACCAAATGAAAGGTGATTTCCTGGTCAAACTTGCAAAAGTTGGTCCAAACTCACACTCGATCCCTCCACTCCCTCCAATACGCATGTGCAGCGATGTTAAAAATAAGGCAGTGACTGGAGAGCCTACATTTTAAGGTTCTTTAGCACTTCGGCCAAAGAGCCTTAAAGGTAATGTATGTACAAGCCACTCTAGTATATTTAAATGGTATAGAGATAATATGTTATGAAGCATCAGATTTTGGATTATATGTACAGATAAAAGAAAATTGTTTCTACAGTATAATGGTAAGGATATTTCATGTGCAACTTGGATTAGAGCATTTAAGTGCAAAGTAGATACCAAACTCTTAATTATTCATTGGAAAACATTACACAACGTATATCCATGTAATGCTAGGTTCGCGTTAACGCCGTTTTTCGCGTTTTTTACGCAGTTAATTTCATCTTCACGCAAAACTGCAACACATCTTACGTATCGTGTACGCAAAAATCATATCCCCCAAATATACCGATGAAATAATACCAAAAACAACCAAAAAACAAAAATTAAAAACTTAAGCACGCTCTCTAACAGCGTAACATAACGATCAATCTGATTCGTGCATAATATTTGTGTTCCGGTTATTAAGCCAATCAAAATTCTTGTAGCAAACGTATGCGGCTAAACAGGGTATAGCTGCAGAATTTTTTCCGCAGGACCGTTCGTGTGAATTGATCGCTTATTTTATAATCTGCACTGTACAGCCGTGAGGAATCAACTTGTTCATGGTAAATGGAGGTAATCAACCCTAATATAGATGGTCACCATGTTAGATTCTTTTTAAATATTTCGAATGGCCACTTGAATCGGTGGGACTGCATTCAAATAACCATGGCTATTTGATGCCTACCGACTGCAGCAATCTGATGCAAGCACCATACCTGGATGTCATAAGGGGATTCCCCGTCCATAGCCAAACCGCCGTTCTGTGCCGATTAACTTTTTTGATCGGGGATTCAATACCATAAAAAAAATCCTAAAACACTCAGGAATTTATTGAGGCAGGTTATTTGTGTAAAACTCGCGTCAAAAATTGATAATAATAAGTGCCGTTCCACATCACCACACTTCAGGGTGGGCGTGGCACATCGAGAAGGCTACTACAGATGTTCATGACTCCTTGATTTATGTTTTTTCATGATATTAGAATTTGAGCTACAGTTTAGTCTCGAGAGGTAAATTCTAACAATATTGGGGTGTTTGGGAGAGGGAGATTCCATGGATGGTACCTTATGGGGGTACTTAGCCATGGAAGGTAAGTTACAGGGACTTTGTGGAGGCCTCAGAAGAAGGTAAACAGGAATGACTTGCAATGCATGAGAACATGCGGGGACATAAACAAATTTTTTTTACCACAAAAGCCCACTGAAGCGATTTTCAAAAAGTACCCCAAAATAATTATCTGTACCCCATTTTTTGAAGTGACCTGGGTATGAAGTACTCAAAATTACTAAGGCCTAGCGCAATCACTGTAATGAGATTTTAAATGGTTTTAGAATTAGAGATATTTCTTTTTAAAATTGTAATGTAATTGACAATGTTAAACATAATTTTTATGAGTGTACAAAAATAAGGGATATATGGAATTTTTTTGATAATATCACTTTTGAACAAATTATAGGAATAAATAAGTATAAGAATTATAAAGAAGTTTTAATAACCAGGAGGGAAATACAAATTTTCAATAGAGACAAAACTGGAAGTATACATGCATATTTTGAAAATGAAAAACTGTACAGAAATTAAACAATGTAACTGGGTCTATGTATAATTATATTATTTAAATATGTTTTATTATTGAAATATAGATTTTACAAAAAGAAAACACACTCTAGTTTTGTGTTTATGGCGTTCGCCTAATACTCCCACGGCGCAGGTTCGATTCCATGTTGGTACAATTTTTTTCATTATGAAGTTTGTTCTCTGAGGTCCGGATATTATGTACACAATTTTTTAAAAATTCATGGGCTCGCTCCAACGCTCAACCATCCATGTTTAATGAAATTAATCACTTGTATTGGCTTTACTATATTCACAAGCTTACAGCATACGGGGAATCCCATTTGAAGGTGGCAAAAAGTATGAAGGAGACTTTGGGATGAAGAAAATGATCTTGTTGAATTCTAGATACAGCACATCATGATGCAGTTTATTGGGAATGTAGGGACATCAGCCCGGGGACATCAGAGAATACACTTCCAAATCTATTGCCTATTAGATTCCCATGCCGATTTTTAGGATTTTCAAATGACAAGAGGCACAAAATATTTTTTCATTTTTTTGCAAAAACTTCCCCTTCAAAAGTCCTTCATTTGTATCAACGTTTTTTAGGCTAGCCTCCAATTGGGCATCACTAAATGTGACCTCAACACCATTCTCCCAAGGGCCTATTCTAAACATCAAAATCTTTACTGATTAGTAAAATTGAACAAGTATATGACTGCTCCAAGTTGCCGCACCACGAAGGTTACTGAACCTTTAAAAAGCCAAATTTAGACTGAGGATTGAAAAGGTTCTAAGAACTTTTTTTCGGTAGACCGGAAGTAAATTTACGAGTCGAGTAAAAAGTGATAATGTTCTTTTTATGAAGTGGGGAAGTCAAAACAGTTCTTATAGGAAGTCAAAGTAAGCATTCAAGGATCATTTAGAAGCATTTAAAATCAAATCCACTGCAAAAGTGAAATGAATAAAATCGTTGTATGTTTCCTTCTTCGTTTTCTTCGCGGACCTCAGAGAAGACACTTCCGGTTTAATAATCGGTGAGTTTATCGATCAAAAAATATATTTTTATGAATATCTCCAGTATCTGCTTAATATAGTATGTTAATTTGTGTTGATTGTTAAATTACAAAACAGGTTGAGTAAAAATATGTCAAAATCGTTTGATCTCGTCCCAGAAGCAATATTTTGTCATTTCCATCACTTAGAATTCCTTTAAGGCTGGCTCTCTAGCAAAATTGGCAATCAAAATGCTAAAGACCCTATTTAAGGCTTTCTAGCTGAAATGCCAAAGAACCTTAAAATTTAAGGCTCTTTAGCCAAATGGGTTACCAAAATGCTAAACAGGCTAAAATTTTAGGCTCTCCAGTCACTGCCTTATTTTTTACATCGGGCTGCGCATGCGTATTGGAGAGAGTGGATGGATCGGTAAATATCGTGACAAACAGCTTTTGAACTTCTCTCTTCTATTACTAAAGGTAAAGTATACCATTGATAGTGCTGACTGTGGCTTATTAGCCTTTTGCTATTATTGACATACACATAGACAAAGCATATAATAAGGACAGACAGGAGCACCAGTGATTGCCCTAAAGAAACGCATAGATGCTTGAGATTGCGATCACTTGAAATTTAAGTAAAACAGGGAGAGCGACCTGAAATAACATTTGCACCCACTAAAAATGTGAAAATCATGAAACCTATAAATTAGTTCAAGAATTGACCCGCCATCTATCAACATAAAATGCCCAGGCCGCCAACGTTGACCTACATTTTCAAACCTATAATTACATGGCGATCCAGGTCATATACCAACTTATTTTTTGTCCTGTATATCCTTGATATATTCATCTAAATAACAGATGCAATGGCAATATATAGAAATGCATACTTACCTAGAAAACGGACAAAACGAAGAGTGTAATTTATTCTTCTATTGTGTGGCTTTTGTGCATGCGCCTAATGACACGCCCCGAAGAAATTTATTTGGTGAAACAATGACTTCAATTACCGATTAAATCAAACACGATTGAACAGAAAAAATCTTTGAATGTATGAAGACTCAAACTGGTCATTATGATGTCATATATCTCATCTTATATGCATTTCGTCGTCGTTTCTTAATTGCCTCAAAAACGATCACTTGGTGTCTCATTTCAAAACGAGGCCTGTTGAGCTCGACGTTTTTTAAGAAAATCCTCCCATCAAGAAAAGGTGAAACATACGTTAATCTGCTATAGTTATGTTCGAATCGAGTATGCAACATGTAGAAAAATATATAGTGGTGTAATAATCAACAAAGTTTCATAGTTTATTAGATGTTAATGAAGAGAAATACTTCAATATTGTGACGATTTTTTGAAAATTCATTGTAATGATTCACATTCAGTTTAGCCCTAATTTTTCTCCTAGGCATAGGCTTGGTAGCCTACCATATTAGGTACACAGGGAAGTGACCCAACCTAATAGACACTATTCTACTGGGAAAATGATGGCATGTTTTGTTCTCTAACTATTGTTTTGTATTGTCTTTATTCTTGTAGGCTACATAAATATACAAAGATGGGTTCTACAAATGCAATGCTCACACAACTGATACAAGACGCTGTGTTGAAATTATGCACGCAGAATGTAGTGTTCAATAAATCTTTGGAGATCGATGGGATTATATGTGTATCTCCTGGTGATGAAGCTAAAGAGATTGTTGTAAAAATGCACCGAACAATAATGAAACCAAATCCAGTGCAAGAGACATTTAACAATGCATCTGATTGGTCATCTAATATGTACTCCAATAGTCGATCTCCTAGACAACCACAAGATCCTCCCCCTTTCCGACAACGCCCACCTATTCAACAACAGAGACTACCAAAAGTTAGAAACAATATAGAAAATACAATGTCAACCCCAGATCAAAATACTTCAACCACTTTTAATACATCTCACCAAGCTACAGGTGTTCCATCAGCAACCTTAGACACCCCAGGTGGAGTGGTGGGAACTTCTGAAAATGTCCCTTGTATAAAAGGTATAATTTCAGTATTACTCGAGGTACATGTATATTGTTGAAAACTGTAGAACTGTTCTGAAATTTTGTTTATTTTTACCTCCTGATATATTCTTAATTTGATGCTTCACTTGATTAATACTCAATGCTATTGTATTTCAGAGGAACCAGCATTTACTTCTTCCCCAAAAAGCTTAAAACGATCTATCTCCGGATCTGAAGATCAAGACGCTCCCGACCATTCTGCTGATAAACAACGCAAACTTGAACAAAATACTGACACTACTGATAACCAAAACATGGAAAATATAAACATTAAGCAAGAAAAAGAAGAACCTATAACTATTGAACTAGGGGATGATGATGATGAGGAAGAGGATGGGGGAGGGGGTTATGATGAAGATTCAACTGCGGGAGCAAGCTGGATGGGAGACAACACATTAGATACCTCACAAGACAACATGGCTGACCAGAGTTCAGGTGAGAAACTTTGATTTTAATTATTGCCAAGTTAGAATATCTGCAATATACCAGGCACACACAACATAACACCTGATACACCTTACAACTCACACAACCATTCATATGCTATATACAACCACTTCACAATCCTATTTACCTTTTTAGTCTATGATGTATTCATAATGTTAAGGAAATATGTATTGTTTTGCCCCTCCCTATTTATGATAGTTTAGTTTATTTAAAAACTAGGGCGAGAATCAGTGCACTTTAAAGGCATATAATGGTGATAGATATATCTTGATTTTTAGTTTTGGAATATCTCAGAAAATGCATAATTAATAGAAGAACAACAGTAATCTAGGGCGTAGGGGTGTAACGTCAACACCATTTTGGGGTAACTTTGACATGTGGGGTAACTTCGACACCTTGTTGTTTACTTGCTCTAATTTCCGATCGAGGGGGAAGCCATGTTTTTTTCTCGCATGGATCAAGATCTCGCGAGAAAAGTGTTTAGAATATTATGCCACATACAGGGTGTCCAGAATTATGTCACATTAGAAGGTTTTGTCACATACTGGCATCCAGAAGATAACATTAAAGACAGTTGGTCCAGAAAGCTATATCCCATACAGGGGTTCAGCATTTTTTATTAGCATGTATATAATAGGGGGCCCACGATTCAATGTTGAGTTTTCAATTTTTGTAGCTCATGTAATTTCGGTAATTTGTCGAATAGCAAAGAAAAGAAAAAGACGAACATTTCGAACTAATTAAAAAGGAATATTACGGATGTTTGCATGGCTTGGTCTCTTACTTGACTACTAAAGATGTTAAAAAGTAAAGGTGGATTAATTTAATCATTGTTTGTCGAAGATATTAATAAATTTGTTTAATGTTCAGGTTTTTATCAAAGCTGTGAATTGACCACAATTCTAAATTAAGTAGGTGCGCATATTTTAATATGCGGGTCATGGCGTGTCATGAGTCCGAAAAAAAATAAACAAACAAAAAACTGTTCGACAGCGGAGATTTTGTTCATTTCTAGACCAAAATAAGGCATGTGTAGACTTAGATCTCTTTCAGAACGATAATCGAAATCAGCGATATTATAGCCACGAGATCGATTCGCTCGGATCGCTACGAAACGAGCCGATTAATCGTGGGACTCCTAGTATATAAGTGGGTCTAGATGGTTGTGCTACATTCAGAAAAAAATTTGAAAAAAATATTGTCAAGAAAATTATGTCAAACATAAGGTGTCGTCACATACAGGGGATTCAGAAGACTGTTACATAAAGGAGGTGTTGTAGCATGTAGACATCCAGAAAATTATTGTACTCAACTGCTCAATACACCTTTTAAATATGCAGATATTTTATCTTGGTGTTATGTTGAGAAATAACACATAAATATTATAAAAAATTATTCCACTGTTGACAACATTCTTAATGTTTGAGGTGTTTCCTTCTGATTTTCATTTGTCTCCTTTTTAATAACTTTTTAATTTTTTTACATCAAACTTCTAAATTGAGAGCTGTTTGGGATTGAAGATAGTCTGTATTATTCTTTGGGATTCTTTGGGATCTTAAAATGAAAAACAGTAATGCATTGATCTCTGGGCATTCTGGGAAACATCTGTCTGATTATGTTATGATTTTCTGGCAGATTGAAGGGCTAATTTCTATAATTTTTCTGAATTTCTTTGAAATAACTAACGTGATCTATAAATCTAAACCTGGTTTGATTTTTGGTAAATTACATGAACTTTAGACAATATTTTAGCATTGTATTTATAGAAAAATCAAATGACCTAATCATGCTTGGTGAAATATCAGTCAAAGTTTGTTCTGCACCTCAAGTCCTTTTTGTCTTGTCTATTGTGCAATATTTTTCTCTCTGTGTCTATTTTTCAGAAACCTCATTTAGATTGTTGTCACTGCTAATTTAGGCAGGCATATCAAATTAGATAACATATTATTAGTGTTATTTCTCAACTTAATTCAAACTTGAAAGTAAAATTTCATGTAACTTTAGCTTAACCATTGAAAATAGCTTAGTGATTAAACATTCAATTTGAAATTTAGCATGGTCTTATGATTCCAATGTGATAAAAAAACACTGTCAGAGTTGAATTATTAAAAGATGGCGCTATAGGTGTTCTCTATTAAGATGTGAATGATGGAGAACCTGTGGAGTGTATGAAATTCAAAAAAACAAAAAGCATACAGTAAAACCCTTTTGAACCAAACAAATTTTCCAACTATCTAGTTTTCAATCAAATGTAAATTTTGTCGATTGAAAACCTTGAGATTATTTGATGAGCCAATGGTGGTATTCATATTAACAGGGTTTTGCTGTATCTGCACCACTTTTATGTGACACAAATTCCTGATACTGAGTTACACTTGTAAATACTGTGGGCTGAATTCAATGGCGATAGAGGCATTGTAGTAGTCAACTAGGTCAAACTAAAATACAAAATATTAATAGGTATAGCCTGATATTTTGTACTGTAATCATCAGATATACTAATTAGGAAACATAATAACAAGGTAATACACAGAGTTTATATTAGTTACGTGATACTGGACGGCAGTATTTCAGTAATTACTAGAATGAGTGAAATGAGAGGTTCCCATTTGTAGGCCCCGTGATGTTGGAAATGAAATATAAGATCAGTATTCACGCTAGCTGGAGTCCATACAATGATATGATCAGAATGTCATGTCATCATTTTATTCTGGAATTTATTTGACTTCACGTTTTTACTGACAGCTACCAGAGTGACCAGTAGAACCAACATCATTCCTTTTTAGGTAGTAACAGATTGATGATGATTTTTGTATTCCAGTTTTTATTGATCATTAAGCTTGTTCAAACACATACTTCTCTCAGAGATCTCAAGTAAACCAAGCTGTAAAACTTATTGGATTTTAATGTGATCAAGTTCTGAAGAGAATCGGGATTTGCATTGGATCAAGATTTGAAGATGATCATGAGTTAAAGGTGACCATGCAAGATCTGAATGTGATCAGAATTTAAAGGTGACCACGAAGATCTGAATGTGATCAGGATTTAAAGGTGATAGAGATGTGAAGGAGGCAATGGTTTCTTTTAAATGAGAAAGGAGAATGTTCATAAATTTATGATCGGTTTAACAAGAACATATTGATCTTATGTTTGTCGTAACTTGCCCCAATGCCAAGGCTATTTATACAATACATAATTAAGAATTTAAAAAGATCAAGATCTGAGTGTGATCTGGATTTGATTGTTATCAATATATGAATAAGATTAGGATCTGAAAGTGATCATGATCCCAAGGTGATAAGGATCTGTATGATCAAGATCTTCACCAATATAATAAATCTGATGCTCCAATGGTTGCTTGAAAAAGTGAGCATTTTATTAGGATGGTACTTAGATGATGAGTTTGTGGACACTTCAAATGATGTGATTAATACAGAAATAGATGGCAGACAATGATACAGAGGTTCAGACAGTGGCGCATATAAACTTGGAACATTATACAAGTATTTTATGAGAATGATAGATGGTATGAGGTTGCGGATACTACATATGGACACTACATATGGACACTACATATAGTAGGGAAGCTACAGATGATGTGCATACAATATTGAAAACACAGTAGGAAAAGAAATGTTTAAGATCACAACACAATATGTTAAGGAAACTCCCAGCATTCGAAAAAACTATGGTCTTATGAACAGAGAAACGGAAGCATATAAATCTTGTAATTACTTAAAATACACAGCCAATATAATTGGGCACCGTCTCAGCATCGAAAAAATTTGGCGCTGTTCCAGCACTGTTTCGACACCGTTCCGGCACCGAAACCATTTGACACCAAAATTTACCACCGGACTAGTCAGTACATTTGGTGCCAAAACGGCACCGACATTTGGCACCGAAATGGCGTCGAAAATCTGAAAAAAAGTCTGAAATATATGGGATATTTTCTATTGAGTGGACATACAGTAACGTGCAGCATTATCATTATATAGTTCTTCGGGATAGAACAAGAATTTATATACAATATCATCAAAAAAGTGGACAAACCAACACTGATGCTTTACCAGCTCATGTTTTGCAGATTTACGAAAAAAAAAATTGTAGATATATGCAGCCCTCACTGAATATGATTACCCATCTCAAATAAACAAAGAATTCAATGCAGACATTGTTCCAAGACATTTTGGCGCTTTATTGAATCTCATGTGGCTAATACTGCTATCTGTATGACATACATGTACATTCTACTGTGTAAATATTGGCACTTGTTATGCATAGATATTATAGCATCCTTTGGGCATCTCAAAAAAAGACTGGCTTTGTAAACTGTTCAGTGGTCATCGGTTGGTGTTTGCCGATGCTAAAGGAATTGATATTATATTTGTAGAAAAACAACCAGAGGATGTGAAACATAAGCCATTCAAACCTTCAGCAAACCAATTTACATGCGGTTATTGCACAGAGAAGTTTCCAGCTTTTGGAGATATTGCAAGGCATATTATAGCTACTAATACCAAATTAACACATAAAGCTGAGAAAGAGTCGGAAAAAGGTCCAATTGAAAAGGATGCTAACATACCAGGGATCCAAGAAAGGAATTCTTGCTTGTCTGCTGAAAACCATGATTTGGATAAATTTAATCTGAACAAAGATTCAAAACTTGGCATGAGTCCTAATATTACACTAAGTAAGTTCTTTGCTTTTAAGTGCTGTACAAGACAGTGTTAGAGCGCTAATCTATATAGAGTAGAACAAGAAGGAAGGGGTGTTACTACTGTAGATTTGGTAGAGGACACCAATGCTTTATTTATATAAAAAATTCTCCCAAATTAAATTCTTTGCTAGAAATTTTTATTGCTATCGGTTTTACCAATTTTAAAATAAATTAGGAACATAAAAAGAAAGGCAATGTGAGCTATTAAAGCAATTGATTATATTTTGCAGAGAAACAGCCAGAGGATGTAAAACCTCGGCTATGCAAACCTACAACACACCAGTTTGCATGCAGTCATTGCTCAGAGAAGTTTAAAACTTTTGGAGCTATTGAAAGACATATTAATGCTGCTCATATCAAATCAACACATGATGCTTAGAAGAGTCTGGAAATGAATCCAATGCAACAAAAAGTCACGAAAAGGACACAAATCAGGAACTCAGCAGATGACCATAAGTTGGATAGATATATTTTAATTAAATATCTTAACAAAGAACCAGTCAGCATTAATATAACTCCTAGTAAGTTGAACAATTTTAATCAAAAGGACTCGTGAGATATGTGTGGTGCATGCTGGGATTTGTGACAAAATATTTGGTACTGATTATGTTGCCAGCAAACATATATCGAGTATATACCAAGGCAGGCTCTTTTTTTGTAAAAAATGTGGAGATACATATGCCAAGGTAGAATGTGTAAGAAAACATCTAAAAAATACAATGGACCGCCAAATCAATTGTAAGGAACATTGTGATCAGGTTTATTTTGGTTTATGAACAAAAATGTTTTAAATGTTGAAAGAGGAAATATGTTTGAAGTGAAGACATATTGGTACAAGATATGCTGAAATTAGAAAAATGTGTGAGAATAGAAGACATTGAAGTGGACATGCTGAAACAGGGACACATTGAAATGGACGTGCTGAAACGGACACATTGAAATGGACATGCTGAAACAGGGACACATTGAAATGGATATGCTGAAATAGGGACACATTGAAATGGATATGCTGAAATAGGGACACATTGAAATGGGCATGCTGAAACAGGGACACATTGAAATGGATATGCTGAAATAGGGACACATTGAAATGGATATGCTGAAATAGGGACACATTGAAATGGACATGCTGAAACAGGGACACATTGAAATGGACATGCTGAAATAGGGACACATTGAAATGGACATGCTAAAATAGGGACACATTGAAATGGACATGCTGAAACAGGGACACATCTAAATGGACATGCTGAAACATGGACACATTGAAATGGACATGCTGAAACAGGGACACATTGAAATGGACATGCTGAAATAGGGACACATTGAAATGGACGTGCTGAAACAGACACATTGAAATGGACATGCTGTAACATGGACATTGAAATGGACATGCTGAAACAGGGACACATTAAAATGGAGAACATGTCAAAATAGGAGATAATGGATAAATGCTGATATACCTTCTTGTCGGCATTTAATGCCAACCATGTAGCGATGAACATGTACATGAATTTTAATAAATAATAAATTGTAAGAAATATGAATATATCATCATTATTTTTTCCAAAAATGCAACATAATATATTAAATATTCAAGATTTGGTATCTATTATAGATAGTTAAAGTGTTGAAGCTAAAATCAGAGATATAGAGACTGATAAAACTGCAACATTAAAAATATAATCCTTTCAGATGACATTTTATTAAATGAAGAGTTTATAATAATCTAATATGAATTTGAATTTTACTCAATATGTTTTTGCCAATAATCAGGCCAAGATAAAAATGTTCAGGAGAAAAACATTAAATTCTTTTTATTTTGTTGAATAAGGTATGATTAGTTTTTTGATTTTAAAAAACAAGCACAAGAAGTTCTAAGACAACCAGCATGGGATGTAACTGGATAAAAAAATACTGAACAGGATGCAATTTTTGTCAGGTGTGTTAGACATAATATCTTTGTGGATAAAATCATTTTGGAATATTATAAGAGATTTGATTGATAGATGATGATATCAAACACATGCGTGGATATATGAGATTTTTTAGAGGGAAGAATTTGAAAGCTGAAAAATAGTCAACTCAGCATAGTCCTGCAGCCAAATGATAATATAACCAAAAGGTTGTGTAGAAGTAAAATATTTCTAGCTTATGATTTTTTTTTAAATTGTAAGCAGCAAAGAAAGACAATGTGAGGTAGTAAAGCAATTCATTATATTTTGCAGAAAAATGGCCTGAGGATGTCAAACATAAGCTTTACAAACCATTCACAAACCAATTTACATGCAGTCATTGCTTTGAGCAGTTTCCAACTTTTGGAGCCATTAAAAGACACATAAGTGTTCATACCAAATCACCAAATGAAGCTATGAAAGAGCCTGAAGATGAGTCCAGCGAGAAAGACACAGCAAAGGGTCATGAAAAGGAGACAAAACTGGAAAGCTCTGGGAACTCAGTAGATGATCATGAAATAGATAAAGGTATTTCAATTGAGTATCTAAACAATGATCAATTGTTAGCCAAAACACATCTAGTAAATCAAAACTGGTCCATGTATATATATATGGTACATGCGACTGCATACATGTATGTAATAAACTTATCTCATATCTGTTACATTTGTTTTTGCAGGTAAAAAGCACCAGTGTAAATTATGTAACAAAACGTTTGGTTTTGCAAGTAGTGCCAGTAGACATAAAAAGACTGCTCACCAAGGGACGCGTTATCATTGTACAAAATGTGGCAACCAATATTCCAGACAAGATGGGTTAATAAGACATATGAGAAGAGAACACCTGAGTAAACATTGACTATGAAACTGGTTAATAAACATGTTAAAAGAGGAATATGTTGGAATATAAAACAATGAAATATAGACATGCTGAAATTGGACCAGTAAACCAGTAAATGTTGAAATAAGGGAATTGTTGAAATAGTGACACATTGAACTAAAGAACGTATTAAAAGAATAGGCCTACTTGCTGAAAAACATGGCATCCATGTTAAAATGAGAAAAGTGATGAAACAGGAAATGTTGGAATTTTGATATTGGAGACACATTGAAATCAGGACACATTGAGATTTTTATTTCTGATATGAAAAGAAAGTCACCAAGAATGAAGGAATACCCTGAGTCACTCATATAAAAGGCTTTTACACAAAAATCAAAAAAGTCAATTTTACATCTTAGCCATTATAGCATTCTATAAGCTAGGTACATGAATAGAGGACATTATTATCATCCTGAATATAGCATAGTACACTACTGTATATCATGTATCATAGAATTTTAGCAATAAAGTGTAAATATATTTTTAAAATGAACATTTTGGCCTGTCGCCCTCTATATAATTGGCATGTTGACCAGCTGATCACTAACAATAGTTTTCTCAGTGAATCCCTTATATTTGTAGTATGCTGAAATAGATTTTTAATTATAAAAATGGTAAGTTAAGTAGGAATGTTAAGCGAGACATCAATTAATCATGAAACAAAATCTACTTTGTTCCTACTCATTTACAGTATTTTCAAAGAAATGCAGTTTGAGGTACTTAACAATTGATGTTATATTTTGCAGAAAAGCAGCCAGAGGATGTAAAACCTGAGATATGCAAACCGTTCGCAAGCCAATTTGAATGCAGGCATTCCTCAGAGAAGTTTCCAACTTTTGGAGATATTGAAAGACATGTCATTGCTGCTCATACCAAGGACGTCCTTGCTCATACCAAATCACCAGATAAAACTAAGAAAGAGAACAATTCCAAGGAGAAAAGACCAGCTAAGAATCACAAAAAGGAGACAAAACTGAAAAACTTCAAGAACTCCGCAGATATTCCTAAGATAGATGAATATATTTCAGTTAAATATCTTAACAAAGAACGTTTCCCTGCCAGCATTAATATAACACCCAGTAAGTTGAACAATTTTAATCAGAATGACTTCTGAGATATGGATGATGTATTCACTTAACATGGGGATATGAACCATTGACTTAACATGGGGATACCCATATAATTATCACAGGGATATCATGAAATCATTATCTCAAAAGAACATTGAGTCTCATCCAGTAAAATTAAGTTACTGGGTTTACACATTTTCGGGTTCTTAAACAGGAAACCTTTCTGAAAATCTTGGTGGGCCCTAATACAGTAATATGTGGTACATGCAGTTGCATACAGAACCAACTAATTACACTACTATTATTTGTAATTCCAAGTAAAAGTAATTTAAACTGAATGGGCAATGTGACCCCACAGTTTTACTGGATCAGATATTGTATCTTCTGTATAGCACCATGCTTGTAATGTAAGAAGCCAGTCGTTAACCAGTGCAATGTTTGTTACATTGTAAAACAACTTTCATAAATATATGTCTATCCATGCATGGTATTGTACTTCATTTTAATTTGTTTTGCAGGTAAGGATTATCAATGTGGAGTGTGTGAAGAAACATTTGCTTGTGATTCTAATGTTAAACGACATGTATTGAATGTTCACCAAGGGAGGCGTTTTTGTTGCGAAAAATGTGGACAAGGATATACCAAACGAGCATCTTTAGTAAGACATATCAAAAAATACCATCTTAGTAATCATTGACTCTGAAACTGATGATAATAAACATTGTAATCAGGTTTATTGTGATTATGTGGACAAAATGATTGACATTGTTGAGAGGAAATATGTTGGAATTGAAAACATGGATATGCTGGAATAAGACACAGAAAACGGAGAAATGTTGAAATTAAGACATTTTGAAATTGAAGACATATTGAAACAGAGACATGTTGAACAAGATATTTATTTCTGATATGAAAAGAAAGTCATCAATAATGAAGGAAATTACCCAGTCACTCATCCAAAAGACTTTTGCATAATTGTCATCTTCCTAGATGTTCCTATATCATTCAAAAGGCCTTATGTTCTTGATTAAATGTTAAGTACATATCATGTGTTATAGAACTTAATAAAAAATGTAAATATATTCTTAAATGTAATTCAAATATATGACCTCAAATTATATTCTGGCCATTTCCAAAGACCTCAATAGTTCGCGATTTTGGTCTTTTAACATTGAACAGAATAAAATTTTTAGTCTTATATTACGCCATAAATCATAAAATCTCAGTCTTTATTCCTTAAATCCTTAAATGTACAATTATTTTTTGAACTATGTGAAATAAAGTGAATTGCTTCAATTTAAGGAGAAATGTTATTTTACTCTCATGTAGAAATAATAAAACACCTGGTTGTATATTGCAAATGAATTGGGAGAGCTTTATTTCTGACCTAACATTCCTAGTTTCACATGAAAGCTGAATCATTCTAAAAGTAGCACAACTACATTGCTTTTTTTATATGAGTTAGATGTTACCTATTATTGCGATTAACTTTTGTCCAAAAAATTTGAAATATTAACGTATTGTTCTAAAATAAAATGAGGAATGTGTGGTCCAACAATACGAGAGATGTATTAACCCTTGTAAAATTGCATTTTTGCAGATGGGCCCAAAAATAAAATTTTATGAGACATCAGTTTTTTTTTAAATGTTCATCTTCCAAAATACCTCCAATATTACATTCATCCACAGGTTTTCAGTTTATCATCCCAACAAATTAGTATTTTTCTAGTTATAGAGAGCAGATCACCCTGTTAGCATTCAAGTGAAGCTTTGCACCCAAAATATTTGACTATGTTTTGTGTTATTTGGTTTTTCTCGTGGTACTTACTTGTGGTTGCTTTCATACAACTCTTCTTTGTACAGTATTCTAAATCTTCTGTGGATTGGAATGATAAATATAGCGAATACAGAGGGTATCAAATACATGTGCACATATAAGGAGGGATAAAACGGGATATAATTGATAAATATAGGTTTTCTAGTGGTAAGAAACAAAAGTTTAAAAAATAGTCAACCCATCATAATTCTGCAGACAAATATAACATTACCAAAACTTCTTTACTTGAAAGACACTTGAGATGATCTAGCTATTCATCTTAAATGGTTGTTTAGAAGGCATACCTGCCAACCTAAGACCAAAATTTTGCGGTAGATTTTTTTAAAATTGCTGTATTTTTGCGGTAGATTTTTTCAAAATACGGTAGTTTTTGCGGTATTTTTCAACAAAATTGCGGTAGTTTTTGCGGTAGATTTTAGAAAAAAACTGTAGTTTTTGCGGTAGATTTTTAAAAAAACGGTAGTTTTTGCGGTAGATTTAAAAAATACGGTAGTTTTTGCGGTAGATTTTAAAAAAATACTGTAGTTTCAGAGGTTTGGGGTAGATTTTTGAAAAAAGTGTAATTTTGCGGTAGAAATTTGAAAAAAGCGGTAGTTTTGCGGAAGATTTAGAAAAAATGCGGTAGTTTTACGGTAGATTTTGAAAATTGCAGTAGATTTACGGTAATTTTTTGAAAAACTGGTACTTTTGCGGAAGATTTGCCAAAATGCGGTATTTTTCAGTAGATTTTGAAAAATGTGGTAGTTAAACCTTTATACAATGCGGTTTTCTATATTAATACAATGTTTACGTGGTCATATTGTTGTTGTTATTGTGAATGCACCTGAGAATTATATGAAACTATTATTTTCAAGGAAAAATAAATATACTATTTTCAAGAATAGATAGAGACTAAACACTTTTTATTCTTCATTTGCCTACAATGGACAGACAGCAACTTTGGATTTTAATGTTTCAGCAAAATGTACATATACAACTCTTTTACAATAAATCTAGATTGATTCAAAATACGAACACAAGATTCATATCTCGTGTTTGTCTGGCACAAATAGAAAATAAGTACAGATAAATTGTCTTTCAAAAATAATCTGTTATGAGCATTTGCTGAAACCTTTCCCCTGAGACATCGTTCAGATTCGGATATCACAATACTTTTATAATAAACCAGAACTCAAGGCTTTATTTTTTAATTATGTATTTGTTACTGATAATGTGTTCTGATGAAAAATACAACATTTAATCGTTCTGTAAAGAAATTGATTAAACTATGTATAATATATATGTGGCGTTCATTACTGATCATAACAAATCAAACTACGCATATTTCATACGCTAAATATGCATACGCATTTCCACTCATTTATTTAGATGAAGCGCAACTAAAATTATATTTTTGTTGCATTCGGAATAAAGATCTGTGTTAACTACAATAAAAATCATGGCAGAAAGAATTCCTTCTAGCTAGTAGTAGTTGGTGTTTGGACTGATTACACGCAAGCTTACTTAGATAAATGCGCAATAACCTGATAACCACAGACCTGCCGATACCTATTTATATTCGGGTTGGTGAAGGAATATTACAGGGACAGTACAGGAAGACTTCAATTTTCAGCATTTCCCAATAACAATAACGGGAAATTTTACGGTAGTTTGAACAAAAATACTGTTGATTTTAGCAGAAATACGGCTGATTTACGAAAATTTACGGTAGATTTTCAAAAATTTACGGTAGATTTTACGGCCGTTCTCATGGAATAAACAAGTTTTTTAAAAAGAAAATTTACGGTAGATTACGAAAAAAATACGGTAGATTTTTTTACGGGCGTTTTTACGGGAAAAAAATGGTATTTTTTTACGGTAGTTTGTCATTTTTTTACGGAAAAACGAAAAATTTACGGTAGATTCCCGTAAAAATACGGTAGGTTGGCAGGTATGGAAGGAAAAGTTTCTAGTCCATGAAATTATAAACTTTTTGAACTTAGACTTAGAACATGTAAAATGAATAAGCAACATCCAGAAGAAAGGCAATACGAGCTAGTTTAGCAATTGATTTTATTTTGTAGAAAAACGGCCAGGCGACGTAAAATATGAGCCATACAAACCTACAACTCACCAGTTTGCATGCAGTCATTGCAAAGGGAAGTTCCAAACTTTAGGAGAAATTGAGAGACATTTTGTAGCTGCTCATGCTAACTCACCAGATGAAGCTAAGAATGAGTCTGGAAATCAACAAAATAAAAAGGATGAAAATGTGTCAGAGATCCAGCAAAGGAATCCTCGCTTCTCAGCTGACGACTGTGATAAAGATATTGCAGTCGAATATCTGAACAATGATTTTGTACTAGGCATGAGTCCTAAAATAACACCGAGTAAGTTTACTGTTTTTTAAGCTTTTCAAAATTTTGCTGTACTTTATTTTATGTCTCTAAAGACTCGTATCATATATTGACTAAATACAACCCTTTTGAAGCTAATGGTATCCTAACATTCTAGGTCATCCTTGTCAAATAATTTTGGTCACTTTCAACAGACTCATTAAAAAAAATCTTTCTATTTGACATTACACAATCAAATCCCAGCAAATTTAAAACCCAGGAATTTAAAACTACTGCAATTCTTCAGTTTGTTTTAGTTATACATTTTGAGACAAGATTCATGCAAATATAGGCCTAAATGAAATCAACTTATTCACCATTATATTTTTGCAGGCAAAAGACTCCAGTGTTGTTTCTGCAGTAAAACATTTGTCAAACTTAGTGAGCTGAATCAGCATGTTTTGATAATCCACCGAGGAAGGCGCTTTGTTTGTAAAAAGTGTGGCAGAAGATATTCAAGGAAAAACAAAATGAAAAGTCACATCATTAAACACCATCAGAAGTAGATACCATCAAAGTAGAGATCGTCTAAGTGTATTGACAATACCATAATATAAAACGAAGAATATGTGGTCCAACCAATCTCCCAGTCTATTACATTACACTTTTTATTAGTCATTATTATCTACAAGATAAAAAATGAGCTAAAACGGGTGTCGACTTTTGGTTGCAACCCAAGATACTTCAAGAAAAGCCGAAGATTGTCGAAGATTTTCTTTGCAAACGTAGTTGGCCGAGGGTACCACGAATGTGAGGGGATGTCTCTAATTGGTCAAAAAGAGAGGCTTGGCATTCTCTGTCAGATTGAATCGGCAAAGTTTGGTTGTATGGCTTACCTTCGGTTGTATGGCCCAACCTCGATTGAATGGAAAAGATGTTGTCCCGAACTAAAACTAGACTAATGCATCAATTGAGTGCAATAATACAATGTAGTTGTGAAATACAAATACAGCATAAAGGTGTAAAAGTTTCAGTTTGATGTATCATTGTCAAAATATTAATCCAATGAATGACATTGACAATGTCAGGACTGCCTTCAAAATTAAATTGTCCACAGGTGTCAACCTAAAGTTGACTGCCAAAGAAGTGGTAGAGAAGAATGTACTTATTTTTCTTACATAGTTTAGCCAATTGAAATATATTTCACCACTGAAGAAATAGTTGACTTTTAGTTTATTTTCCCAACAAATTGGTATTGCTGCCATTTTCTTAAACCAAAACATTTTAATTCAATTCTGACATTTTTGATTTACACACTGAAGTGGTTCATTAGAATCTAATGCTTACTTGGAGTTTGAAATGTCATACAAAATGTTTACTGATGCCATACATTAAAATGGCTGCTATCGTTTGGAGAGAAAGTGCATGATTTGATTTTAGAATTATATGATGAAATTACCTTTATCCTATGCCAAGTAGAGTTTTAGGGAGATAAGTTGGTAAGATATATCCCGTATCCTGATTTTGAGGTTTCCATATCCAGAATCTCCATATCTCCCGCTTCGGTGCATATCTTCCCGCTTCCGGTGCATATCTTCCCGCTTCCGGTAATGCAATAAAATGACTTGATTTTTTATTTTTACACCTTGTACTATTGAAATGGCCATATGCCCCTGAAAACTCTACTTGGTATAGGATAATGCAATTATGTACGGCCGGTTTGGATATTGGGTTCATCCCTCATGAGATATGCACATCTACCTTCAGTCCCTATGGTCCCTCAGGTAGATATGCATATCTCCCTCTGGATAAACCCCATATCCAAAACCTCCCAGTACATAACCCTTATTTATCTTATCTTATATTTGCCGATTGAAATAATTTTAGTGTAAGACAAAAGTTATATGGCCCAGTGAAGCCATATATTAGCTTATTACATTACAGTGTTCTGTCATACAAAATAAAAGGACAGTCTTCTGTCAAACAAAATGACAGGCCAGTGTTCTGTCATACAAAATGACAGGTTAGTGTTCTGTCATACAAAATGACAGATTAGTGTTCTGTCATAAAAAATGACAGGTTAGTGTTCTGTCATACAAAATGACAGGTTAGTGTTCTGTCATACAAAATGACAGGTTAGTGTTCTGTCATACAAAATGACAGGCCAGTGTTCTGTCATACAAAATGACAGGCCAGTCTTATGTCATACAAGTGACTGGACAGTGTTCTGTCATACTTGCTCAATTTTCAGTATGAAAAGCTTGAGTTAGGGTACAAATGAATAAAGAAAAAACAGAATAAGTCGGTAACAACTTTAGTTCAACTTTTTCTTTTCAGCTTTTTTTGTATTTTTGTGATTTGTATTGTATAGACCTCAGAGATCAATGTGCATGCAGCAGAAGCTCTTAAGATTTATGTTTGATGATTTACATTGAAATGCTGAGTAATTTACAGTTCTGACAATGGATACAAAGAGATTTCTAAATCTTATTTTCTTATGTTTCAGCCACTTACACCAACTATACCCACCCAACTGTAAACACATTATCCCTACAACAGGACAAATACAGTGATCGTTACTGCAATATATGTGATCGTAAAATCTCAAGCATAAGCCAGTACAAAGTTCACATGAGGATCCATACTGGCGAGAGACCATATAAATGTGGAGTTTGCCTGAAAACATTTCGACAGTCTTCTCATGTTTATAGACATATGCGGGACACACATAAAATAAAAGATGTGAAAATTACTAAGAATTGATACATTTGTGGAACACTTGCAAAACAAAAAAGATATAGGTGTATAATAGAAAACCTCTGTTAGTGGAACACTTCTGCTAGCAGTAGAACACCTCAGTGGAACACCTCCCAAGTAGAACCAAAGGTGTTCCTTTTATTCCATTAGACAGGTGTTACTGTAGTAATCACGCGGTCCTAACTACGACTGCTAATTTTAATTTTTGACCTACCAGGTGCTTGAAAATTAAGGATTGCGAGTCTCATACTGCACCGTTTTTCTTCAAACTTATACCATTAAAAGCAGAACAAAATTGCCTTTCTGTCGGTGCATTACTTAATTGTAAAGAGTCCCTCGTTCTAGCAGCGTTTTGGTCCCCAGCTGTTAGAAGGCCTTCTTACAGCTGGGGACCAAAATGCCGCTGGAAGTAGGGACTCTGTTGAAGAGAATAATGTACCATCAGAAAGGGATTTTTGTTATGCTTTGAATGGAACAAGTTTGAAGAAATACGGTGCAGTATGAGACTCGTAATCCTTGATTTTCAAACATCCGGTAGGTCAAAAATTCAAATTCAATTTTATAAATAAACTATCTGGGTAACATACAAGAACATAATAACATACATTTGGGTCATTTTACCAATGAAAAAAGTTAGATAGATGACTCTCTGTTTATAGCTTTTTACATTTTGCACGTGAAATAAGTTCTGTCTTGATAAAGTTTAAAAAATGAATTGTCTTTGAACTTTGTCTCATTCACCTAGCCTATATCCAATTAGACTACAGGGTGAGCCAAATAAAGGTAACCCAAACAAATGTTAATAACTCAGTCATCCAGCACAATACAATCAGTTCCTTGGCTCACCCTGTATATTTTCAGAAGATATGATCTACAGTAGGTAGCTATTTTGTTTTGTATTGTATTTGTATTCATTTGTATGCAAACTATCATGAAAGGCCATGCAAGATTCATTTGAGATGGTGAAGATCTTAGTAGCCAAGTTTATCACCTTTGCTAGAATACTTGTTACTTTTAGTCCTATTAACTATGTAAAATTACAAAAGAAGCCACTTTTCTTGAGCTGTAATTTTAATAAATTAACGATATAGATTTTAGATTAATTCATATGATGTTCATGTTATTAATGTAAAGAAGGGTTTCCAATACCATATTGTGCTAGTGTTTGGTATCTGTAAAAATCTGAATTCAGGGATTTCCTTATTATATACATGAATTTTTCACAAAAGAGCTCAGCTTATTAATGACTACAGATAATGTTAGCAAATCACAATAGCAGAAGTTCAGAAGATGTAAATGCTTGATACATGTATCAACTTGAAAAAAATTGAATGTCATATTTTTTCAATTTCAGTTCTGTCCGAGATGGGCATCTTTGGAACTGTTCCTAATGTCATAAAGCCTAAGGGCAGAACTACTGCTGACATGTTGCTAGGGAACACACAATCTAAATCACCAAGACAACAAACAAACAGTGGAACATCTGAACAGCCAATGAATGTTATGTTACCTGGAAATTCACTAGACATATCTCTGCTTGGTTCTCAGATAGACGTAGCGCAATATATGCCAGTTGATTTCCTAGAGAAATACACATCACCAAGTAGTCCAAAACAGTCCCCACGGAGATTGCAATGTGAAGTTTGTTGCAAGGAATTTGCCCAAATGGCAACGCTGGTCAACCATCGTAGGATACATACTGGTGAAAAGCCTTTCCAGTGTGAAATGTGTCTTAAAACATTCAGGCAGAGGGCAACACTGCACAATCACAGGAAAACACACTTGAAAATGAACCCCAGTGAGGATAATACAGCAAAGGAGCTTGTAAAGCAAGAACATGATATGCCCAAGTGAATTTTAAATGAAAGTAGAAACATGTATTCAATTATTATCCCATCGAACGAAGTTCGGAGGGATATAGGGAACGCCTCCGTCCGTGTTAAACTAGTGTTAAACAAGGAAAATGAGAAGGATACAGAAACAACTTTTCTGGACATACAAATGAAAATAGTAAATAAACAAATCACTACAAAACTATACGACAAAAGGGAAAACTTCAATTTCCAAATAGTCTCATATCCTGATCTATCTGGAAATATTCCTAGAAACCAATCTTATGGAATATTTATATCACAAATAATAAGGATTTCAAGAATCTGCAGTCAACTGGAAGATGCAACAAACAGAGTTACCAGCCTGGGAAATAAACTACAATGTCAAGGCTACAGGAGCAACATACTAAATTCGTATACTAAGAAAGCTATAACAAGAAATAAATGGATATGTACTAAATACAATATGCAGGAGAATATCATCATGAAGGACTGGAAAATTAATGAGAGAAGAGAACATTAACAAATGAATACGAAACAGTATCTTCTCCGCAAAGAGGGTAAACTAAGAGGACAAATCAGCATAAGACCAACAGTAAGGGGAAGGGGAGAGTTTTCCGGCCGGATCAAAACGTTTAACCCACCTATGCGCAGTCTCAAGTCTGTGGACCCTGAAGAAAGATAAGTAACATCGCAATCAAATCAAGACAAAGAAAGAAGAAAATGAATGAAGAAACCAATGCAGCAACAACAAATGACGTCCGTCCGTACGTACGTACGTCCGTCTGTCCGTCCGTCCGGGCAATAACTCAAATACCGTTGGCCCGATTTTGTTCATATTTTGTACACATATACCCTATGGGGGTAGAAGTTCTGCTCGAAAGCTGATTTTCAAAATGGCCACTCAATTCAAAATGGAGGCCATTTTAGTGCCGATTTTACAGTAATTTAGGTACAATATGTAAAACTGTAATAGCAATATGTTTTAAGTGTAAAAAAATTATAAAGGACATTAATAAAGCTACAAATGTAGATATTAAAAAAGCACATGGCAGCCATCTTGAAAAATGGCGGCCTTTACTCGTTATTTTACGATTTTTGCTGTAACTCGAAAAGTAGTCGAGCGATTTTGTTCATATTTGGTATGTGAATACTATAAGCATGGTACACTGTCCTATGACACTTTTGGTAGAAGGCGGCCATTTTGGAAAAAAATTTGAAAAATGGCCGTCATTTTAACATATTTTACTATAACTGGAAAAGTAGTGGAGCGATTTTGTTCATATTTGGTATGTGAATACTATAAGCATGGCACACTGTCCTATGACACTTTTGGTAGAAGGCGGCCATTTTGAAAAATGGCCGCCATTTTAACATATTTTACTATAACTCGAAAAGTAGTGAAGCAATTTTGTTCAAATTTGGTATGTGAATACTATAAGCATGGCACATTGTCTAATGACACTTTGGGTAGTAGGCGGCCATTTTGAAAAATGACCACCATTTTTACGTTTTTACTATAACTTGAAAAGTAGTGAAGCGATTTTGTTCATATTTGATATGTGAATACTCACGAGCCTTGCACACTGTCTCATGACACTTGGATAGTAGGCGGCCATTTTAAAAAATAGCTGTCATTTTTACATTTTTTACTTATTTCACAAGTACATGTGTGCGATATTTCAAAAATTTTATAGGTGGCTACTAAAAGCATATTATTTCTTCTGATGACAACTTGGCTAACCATTTTGAAAATGGTGGCCTTTCTGGTGTGTTGTTTTATGATATTTGCTATATATTTCGTTTGTAAAAATGCCAGCCATTTCTGTTCGATGGGATTCGCTACGCTTTGGCGTTGCCGTTGTTCTGGTTCAACTATTATTTATTGTTACAGTCTTTACAAATAGAATTGTAACAAAATTGTATAGAAATGGTGAAATCGATTCAGATAAGAATAAATTCAATATATTGATATATTCAATAATGTTACTTATTTAGATTAGTGGGAAAGGAATGGTTGAATCTAAACTTTGATTAGAACTTTAGTGTAGAGAAGATGATAGACATTGTACAAGATGTATTTTAAGAATTTACGTTGATTACATTTGTGCCAGCAGTCAATATCTGTAATATTAGCTCCATATATTTATCAATGAATGCTTCAATGCCTATAGAAAGCTTCAGATTCTGACAATGAATTATGTGACTCAAAACTCTTAAACTTGCACTTGTTACTTGTAAAGAAGACATTGTCAGACTCACTTGATAGTTAAAATATAAATCCTGATAAGGGAACAGAAGATCTTTTTGAAACTACATATCTTTTATTGTGAGAAATCATAGATTCAGGAAATTTATTTGAGCATTCATCTGAACAATTGTGAGGATAAAACTAGGCCTATTGCATTAAAATTGTGTAGTTAATTGTATCCCCACGCCATCAACTCTACCTACAAAGTTTGGACCAAGCAAGAAGTTTCTTGTATGTCATAACAAATACATCCAGTTCAGGGGATGATAGTTTTCACCATCCCAAAGGCCTCCTAAAGAACCTGAGGCAATTCATGAACACAGGTACCTTATTTGTATGTATATTTGAATACAGAATATGAGTTTTATTAAAGTATACATTTTATTTTCAGATCCTAGACACGATTCGATAAACCTAAATCAAGGCCACTTGGAGGTTGGAACTGTGATGCATCATGGGACAGATCATTTACAAAGCATGATGGGATTAAAAAGGTTTCTGTGTCAGGTGTGCAATAGGAGCTTCAACAGGGCCAATGTATACAATCAACATATGAGGATCCATACTGGAGAGAAGCCTTACCAGTGTGAATTGTGTCTAAAATCATTCAGACAGTTGGCAACTTTCAACAGACATAGAAAAATACACTTCCGGAACAAGGAACAGAATTGATGTCTATCTGACAATGATTTAAGTAATTTCACACAACATTAAAACATATATACTGTAGTTTAGTAGGTGTTTCCTCTTGGTGGGTAACCCAGTATTATAATCCTTTTTAGATGTTTGTCTTATACTCATTGTTTATGTGACATGCAGGCAAGGCAGTTATATTGCTCTTAGTTTCTTTTCTTTTGTAATATTTACCTAAATAAAAGATGGAAAAATAGAATATTTTAGATAATTATGACTTATGTTCTTCTTAAAGAAAACATGACAAATGGGTTTTGATAGACCAAGGTACAGGGTGACTCAAAAATGTAACCCCATAATTTTGGTATGTCCATAGGAATATATTGAATTTTCTTATACAGATAGATTACGTGTAAAACAGTGATGTATTTATAAGGCCTCAATGTGATTCATACAAAAATATTTTTTTGTATTGTTACTAGTGCAGAGATTTTGGTCATCTGTTTTTGCTATTATTCGAGTCATTCCTGGACTGCTTGCTTACATATTATCTCAAATCTAAAAATTCAAAACTTTTCGAGGTTGTATAAGTACATCACTGTGTTGTGCATTGAACATGTAAGAAAATGCAGTATGATCTGAGGAACTAATTCCAAAATTAGGGTGTACCATTTTTTATGTTACCCTGTAAATTAATGGAGATATTTCCATTGTTGACCGTCTACAAGAGAGAATCAGATCAGAGACTAAAAACTTCCTTTCGATGAAACATGGCATAACCTTCACAATTAGAGCTAGTTTTTTATTTTGATAAGGAAAGTTTCAAATTTACTTACATTTACAGGGTCAAAATTTTAATATGTTACTCTGAAAAAGCATAATTCAGTCTCCAAATGCTAATGAATTAACTATTTTCTAAAACTAAAAACATTTGCAAATCCCTCAGTGATATGCACTAGATCTAGAATGTGATCTCCGGATGAATCCATACTGGAGAGAACGCTAAATATGCCCTATATAAAGAATATGATCTAAAGATGGATCCATACTGGCGAGAATGCTTCATATGCACTTTATCAAGAATTTGATCTCAATATGGATCCATACTGATGAGAACGCTTAATATGCACTATATAAAGAATATTACCTCAAGATGAATCCATACTGGAGAAAATCCTTAATATGCACTATATCAAGAATATGATTTCTATGATCTCCTGATGAATCCATACTGGAGATAACGCTTAATATGATCTCAAGGGATCTATACTGGAGAGAATGCTTCATATGTTCTCATATTCACTAGATCAAGAATATGATCTCTAGAGGCACCAGAGATAACAATTGGAGTTGGAGCAACAAAAACAAAAAACAATGAACGCTTTCCAGAGTATCCTCTGTAAGCAGGGTGCCAATGCCATATATCATTCACTCTGTTCCTTTTCCCAAAGAGACTGTGTTTATGTTGTCTGGTGCCATCTGCTTAGAGAATGTAGACTGTATTATGATAATGATGTCTCAATATCCTTCAAAGTAACCAAATAATTATTACACTTAAATACAAAGTTGTTAAAGTTTTATTGTGTTTTAGATATAAAGAGATATTCAGGACATTGCCTATATAGGAGAAAATACATAAAACCATGTTCATTTTACATTTAGGTTCATATTATTTGTTTTTTTATTATTTTGTGTTAAATTAGGCTAGTTTATTGGTCCTTGTTCAGTAATTGAAATTAAGAAAACAAAAATTTTGAAACAAAAAAGAAAATGTTTGTTATTGAATTAAAGATGCAAAATTTAAATTGCACTTTTCAAAATGTTCATATATACCACCCAAATTGTTCTATATGTACACATACTCCAAGACATGTGACTCTTCATTAGATAATATTTATTATTAACCATCAAATTTTTCTCATTTCAGATGGTCCTGACAACTACCAGCACCTGTACATATATGGAAATAGCAGCCATCAGCGACCAGATAAATACATGCTCTTAGGAGATCAGATAAAACCAAGCCAACGGCTCAAGGAGTTCAGATGCGAGACTTGTATGAAAACATTCACTTTGAAAAATAATCTCCATCAACATATGAAGATCCACACTGGTGTAAAACGGCATGTGTGCCCAGTATGTAGTAGAGGCTTTCAGAGATCAACCCATTTGAAAGGACATTTGCTTAGAGTCCATCCTGAGTTTAATTCAGAGGGTCATTGTCAAAGACCACTTGACTCTTGATGCTGAAAACTTCATTTGAATATATACCATATATGGTATGTTTGGATCCGTGTGCATGCTCTGAGCTAAAGGTTTATTCTGGTTTTAATGCAGAGGATCATTTTTAACTGTTTAAAGGTGCATATATATATTACTGTATTAAAATTGATACTGATTTTAATGTATGTTATTTTAAAGAAAACCTGATTCCTGATGCTTTAAAGGTGCAACAATTAGTGCAGAGGAGCCATTCAATGATCACGGACCAGTGTCAAAAAATATCTAGGTTTGGATATTTCATCAAGACTTACATCTATTTTTATTATCTACAAAGAAACCCCCTAGATAAACATTATTTCAGCTGATATTCCTCTTGAAACATGATGGATCTTAAAAATGAAAAAGCGGATTTCCCCTTTTTCAAGCTTTGAACTGAATTTACACTTCTTAATGCTGAAATTGATAGGTTATCCATACATTTTAAGAAAATAGGTATGTCAAAGAAGATGTTAAGCCAAATGTTGCCTTGATAGCTCAGAAAAAGTTAAAATTTTCCTTTTTTCTCTCTACAGGCCTTGTTGCCCCTTTAAAGTATCTGTTTAAAGGGGCATTTACTGCATTAAAGGCCCCATGCAAAGTTCAAAAATTTACTTAACATCGTTCAAAATCAACTTTTTGAAATTAAATTGAAATGTTTCACATATCACATTTTGATTACATTTGGTAAAACAGTAAGTCAGCATTGTTTAAACTATATATGGGGCCATTGAGAGTTATACTGGTTTTGGTTGATGCGGACTGCGGAGGTGCAACTGTCTATATGAATCATTAGAGAGTTCACTATATTTTCTGTTTGAGGAATGCCTTGATAGATTGCCTCTCAGGCTTGAAGTCAGGTTTTGCCAATGGGGGAGGTAACTTTTAGAAAAATTCCAGGGGGATTCACATTTGACCATTTTGGCCAATTTGTAGTGCAGTGGAGCATTTGCAATGACAATTGAGCCCCTACATTCTATTTTTGTTTAGTTTACATCACCTGTGAAAGGTGTTTCTAAAGCACAGGCTGGATGTTTTGTGTGATATGTATCACAGGCCTGTAGCTACTAGCTAGGGGATTTGCAAGCAACTCCCTGGCCAAAAATGTGTTCAAAATCATACAATTTTCACCATTCTGAGCTTTTTTTGGGTAATTATGGTCCAATGTGAATCCATCTTCTAATATTTCCTTGAGATGTTTGAGTCAGTGATCATTATTTTGAATATGACACTCGATAAGAGTTGTTCAGGAACACAGGTTTTACTGTGCTATAGTTTTAGAAAATACTTAAATAATCATTGTAATTTTAGAATGTTTTGTATAACAATTTTATCAGATTTTACTAATTAATACAAGGATGATGGTAGAATTGTAATTTCTATGTTATTCTAGTAGTATTTATACCAAATATAATACATTAACATGAAATAATATAATTATTATTGGTATTTTACATTAATTGTTTGTTTTCTGATCCTTTTCTGTTAGCAATTAATACACAGACCTCTATGTCTTAATGAATGTGGATAACATCTTTAAATATTTCCTTGGATGTAAATACTGAATATGATTGCATCGTTTTCAAGTATGATTTTGCTTCCTTAAAAGAGAGTCATCTTCACTCTGTGTTTGCAATAATTATTTGTTATGGCCTTAACCAATCAGAATATGAAGAATAAGCTTGTATTCGCGAATGCAACTAACGCCTGTCGGCTAGCAGATTAACCTACTTTTTCATGACAAACTCATTTAAATATGAATGGAATAGTTGCAGGTACTATTCATATTTAAATGAGTTGCCCATAAAATAGCAGGTCAATCTGGTAGCCGACAGGCGTTAGTGGCATTTGCGAATACAAACTTAGGTTGATTAAATCCAGCTACCCAAATCAAAAAAGCATTTAATGAAATTTATGCTTTCATAAGTGCCTGACATTTCACTTCATTCTCATATTTCATAAACAGACCATTAAAAGCCATGATAATTCTTTTGGGGTAAGATCATTATGAAAACTGTATATTTATTTCTATTAGATATTTATTGTGTTAGATCCTAGTGATATGAAGTTGTTCACTGCTCAAAAATAAAGAAAAATGCATTAGAAATACAAAATACCCCTAGATATGAATTAATCAAAATCTATAGAGAGTGAACAATTTTAACATTCACATTGCAGCAGTTATCCAGAATTGCGAAGCATGGATTGAGCATCATCAATAATGATCTCATGTAACTTCTGCAAGATTTAAAATTGGGTGACCTTTCTGGTACCCACATAAACTTTAGACCTTCATCTAAAACATGTAAGAATATTAGTCTCAATGCAAGTAGCAGAGATCTGGATTATTACAAGGGTTCACTTCTTTGGACTCTATTATTTCAGGAACAGAATTAGGTACTAGAGAGTCTCTATCCAGAGATAGCATTACATTATTTAAATTGATGAAAATAATTTCATTTAGCTAGGTTCTTATGCATGTCAAAAAAGTTTCTAGTTTGTTAAATTTTATTCATCTCTGATCCTGTTCAGAATCTTGTCTTTTGCAATATATGTATGTGGAAAGAATTCAATCATTGCTTCCCATGATGTATAATGTCCCAAGTAAAATTATTTTAATTCAAATGATGTTTTTCATTTCCAGGTAGTGGTATATCATTCCAAGACTACGGTATGCTGTCCAGTCTGCTCCAGGGTCGTAAGCATTTTAACTGTAACATATGCGATAAATCCTACACAGATTCAAGCTCATTGAATCGCCACAAGCGTCGCGTTCATGCAACCAGCCCACGGGCACGTGAAAGGTACCAGTGTGAGCTGTGTTTGAAATATCTGGCTAATAAAACCATACTGGCGATACATCAAAGGATCCACACTGGTGAAAAGTATAAATGTGGGATGTGTAGTAAGGAGTACAGTGACCCTGGATCACTTAGGAGACACAAAAGACAGGCTAAACACAATATAGTTGTTAAAAATGAAGAACAGTTTTAAAATATGAATATATTTGAGAAATTCATAATAGGAATATTGTAGAATTTATAATTTATTGAATAAGACATTTTGATGATACAGATTGCTGTAGTCCTGTGTTACAATTGTAATATTTTGTCTTTTCTGTTCAAGTTTTTGAAGACATGTATATATTTATTTAAAAAAGGATACTTATGTCATATAACTTTTTAACTAAAGTAGGACTGCAAAATATTTGCATTCATGAAAACTGTATATATGTGTATTTAAATATTAAATATTCTGGAATAAAACATATATAAACCTTAAGTTAGATATTGTTTTCATTTTCAAAAATCATAATCTGAATTTCAAATATTCTCTTTCAAAAACAGTTTATTATTCCCTTATGTATGAACATGGATTAGTTAAGCTAATGATGAAAAATATATGTACATAAAACTCTTCAAATAATTCTGAGATGTTGCCAAGCAAACCTCATAAGGTTAAACAGATGGTCATATGGAAAGGTGAAGGTCACAGGTCCACAGTCAAATATGATTATTATGTCACCACCACAGGTCCAGTAGTGGTGACATATTGTTATGGTCTCCAACTTTTTTGTGGATGGTGTTCAGTGGTTGGTGTTTGGTGTCTGTAATGAATGGCAGCTGGTGACATTTTGCAATGCCTTGTTATATTTATATTCGGACTATGTTGAACAATGTCTGTATTTAATTACACACTTATTTGATCATTTGAAATGGCTAATCAGATGATGCTGGTGGCGTTTGTTGTGTTACTCACATTATAATGATGTCACAGATTCATCATTTACAAATGGATATGTTCCATCAAAATCAGCATATCAAGGTTTCTTCTTTTTTGTGAAGGTTCCATAATTTGGGACTATATCCAGCAAAAACCTTGGAAAAGTCAGATACACTGACTCATTAAATTAGTGGTGGATCCAGGAACCAACAAAGGGGGGCCCAAATTTCCTGTCAGAGAAAACATCCGCGCTTGCCTTTTTTGGGGCCCAATTTTTTTTTCTGGGCCCAACTTAGGGGGGGGGGAGGGGCCGGGCCCGGGCCCCGGATCCACCACTGTTAAATATCCATTTACAAATATCATATACTTCACCATTTGCATGCTCCTACTCCCAAGTAGAAAAGATAAACACTATAGAGAGAACATCAAAATGTCATTGTACAGACAACTGGACAAGACAAGACAGAACAATTAGAACCAAAAAAATCCCAGTTCAAGACCAAGCTTATCATAGAATAACAATATTTAATCAACAAGATCTTTATTGTATTTCTAGGTATTTGGCAGCAGAACTTTGGTGTTCACAGTGATACAGACTACAGACCCCAAGGCATCATTGATCACACTAATTTCAACAGAATGCGCACTGATACGTTATCAACAAGCCAGACCACTCATCACCGGTGTGGAATTTGCATGAAGACATTTGGTACAAGTGCTACATTAAGAGTTCATCAAAATATCCATACTGGCAAGAGGAAACATTGCGGTGTGTGCAAAAAGTCATTCAGCGATCCTGGTAGCTTTAGCAGGCATAAAAAGAATTTTGGACATTTTTAGTTGTTATTTTTGGCATGTGGAACATTAAGGAGAATTCACAAGGTATAACCTCCAAGTTTATTTACATGTTGCTCTGCCACAAGTAGGAACATTGTCAATATACGAGGGTTGATCCAAAAGTTCCGAACCAATTGCTCTAAAAATCTTAATATTTTATGAATATTGTTCATATTTGGCCACAACCACCCCATATATACACGGGATGTCATCGCCTGATTTGGTCAATGTTAGGGAGCAGGTCGTTTTTACAATAAATTTCAATATTTTCACACAAAATATTTTTTTACTGAAAAACTGCTCATTCGCAGAGAAAATGTACTAGCACATGCAATGACAATGTCAATCACGCTTCTGTACGAAATTCGGCGGAAGTCTTTTATAATCTAATACGAAGTTACTAAAAAAGGCGCGAACGAACGCCCTACACTCAAAATGATCGTTTTTCCATTATAACTTTTTAACGTAATTTAACGAAGGCTTCTAATTATTATCCAAGATAGTCTAAATACCGATTAAAATATTTCTTACTTCAAACAGATACGCCGTCTTTTATTCAATTTTTTAAAAAATAATAAAAAATAACTCTTGTCAATGTTAGGGAGCAGTCAATGTTAGGGGGCAAAATGATTTTATCAGAATATTAAAAATGTAGCAAATGGCCATTTAAAATATGTATGGCATTTATAAACTAAACAATATTGTTTGAATGATTATTTTAAACCCCTTGCCTTAACAAAATTTAACAAAATCGATAAAAAAAATTGTTTTGCATTTTTGTTATCTTCAGAAAATGGACTCTCAAAGATTTTTGACGAAGGAAAGTTAATTATTATCATGGATAATCTCAGTACATATTGAAATATTTCTTACTTCAAACAGGTACACCTTTCTTTAATTTTTTTTAAATAATAAAAAATAAGTATGATCAATGTGGCGGAGCAAACAATGCAGTGGGGCGAAATGGTTTTATCAGAATATCAGAGTAATTGGCCTTTACAAACATGTATGTCATTTATAAACTAGACAAGATTGTATGATTGTTTTATACCCCTTGGTATAAACCTTACAAGCATACAGTATTGCTCAGCACAATATACACAATTTAACCAGATACAATAATTACATGACATCTCCCTTTATTCATGATATTGTATTTAAATAAATGAGCTCATCTTTGTATATAAATTATTGATTTGAAATAGACCGGTAACACTTAAAGAAAGTCTAAAACTTTGTCCAATCATATTTTAGAAATGTTAGAATAATAAAACATTTTGGGACTTCACACATTTTCAACCCAAATATAGACATAAATTGAGCTGATTGTCTTTCAAGTATAGCTCAGCAAGCAGCACAAAAATTGAATATTAGGAAAAAATACCGTCACTTCTCTTGAACAACTAAAAATTCTTTCCAAAGTGTTATTTTTTCACCAATTACTAATTTGCAAATTAATCTGAAATGTCAAGTCCAATTTTCACTGAATCCTTTATTTTCGAGAAATCAGTTTTATAGTGTGTACGAATCGGTCTTTGTCCAGGGGCTACTCCTCTTGGTTGAGGCATTTTGAAGGTTTGTTCTTTGTATCCCCTTCTTCTTTCTTCCGTGTCAAAAAAATGGTCCATGCAACATAATTAGTATAGGTAAGGCACAAGAGATGAGCTGAGAATATCCTTCTCAAATACCACTTGTATGTATAATCAATTAAAGTTCTATTTAAAGATCATACCTTGGTTGAATAATATCAAATTTCAAGCGTTCTTTTGGCCTTCTGGACGTGCTGGAACTCCTGGCATCTAAGACCGGCTCTCTATAGACCCCCTTTCTTGGAAAGAATGAACATGTTCATTCTCGATGGGGCAAGATGGGACTCCGTGGGATTTTGCCCCATCCTGCCCCATCGAATCCCATCGAGTCCAACGTGGGACCTCATGGGACTCGATGGGGCAAGATTATATGCAAGTTGGGGCAAAATCCGACGGAGTCCCATTGATTCCCACGGACTTCATGGGGCAAAATCCCAAAAGGTCCCACTAGGTCCCACGCCATGTTAAGTCTATGGAGGTCCCAACTTGTCCCATTGGTGTATACCGGGCTTTAGAGTATCATTAGCAAGTGGTACACATATAACAGAGATCGGTTATATACTGCATTGTCTGAGTATTGACAAATTGAAGTATACGTGTAAAAATCTACTATCATACATGTAACTGCGCAATGAGCCCTTCATAGCGTTTGTGCCAGCTATCAGGTGATACCCGGTCGTAAAGATAAGTGCGAGACTAACTCTCTTACTTTAATACTAGGAAAATATCAAATCATAGAACTGAAGGATGTCGGAGATTTCTCAAGCCTATATATCAGTTCAGATAATTTATCATCCACAATTTAGGATTGTGAACTGATGACATCATCAAAAAGTGTATATAACGATACATCCATTCATTTACAGTAAGAGGTCAACGAATAAAGAAGGAATGGTTCGCATCTAAATATTTCTAAAACGAACGTAAACAGGATTTAGCTGAAAATAAAAAATGCAAAATAACCTTTTCAATGATTTTCTTACAATTTTAACGCTTTCCTCCCCAAAGGGTATCAAATAATCATACAAACAAAATTGTTCAGTTTATAAATGCCATACATATTTTAAATGGCCATTTGCTACATTTTTAATATTCTGATAAAATCATTTTGCTCCCTAACATTGACTGCTCCCTAACATTGACAAGAGTTATTTTTTATTATTTTTTAAAAAATTGAATAAAAGACGGCGTATCTGTTTGAAGTAAGAAATATTTTAATCGGTATTTAGACTATCTTGGATAATAATTAAAAGCCTTCGTTAAATTACGTTAAAAAGTTATAATGGAAAAACGATCATTTTGAGTGTAGGGCGTTCGCGCCTTTTTTAGTAACTTCGTATTAGATTATAAAAGACTTCCGCCGAATTTCGTACAGAAGCGTGATTGACATTGTCATTGCATGTGCTAGTACATTTTCTCTGCGAATGAGCAGTTTTTCAGTAAAAAAATATTTTGTGTGAAAATATTGAAATTTATTGTAAAAACGACCTGCTCCCTAACATTGACCAAATCAGGCGATGACATCCCGTGATATAGTTGTTTCATTTTGTGTAAAAATAAGCAATAAAGTGAAAAGATTTATGGATACTCTGTATTAGTGTATACCTACAAGCATTAGGCAATGCTTGGTATGGTCAAATGTTGTGAATACAGCCCAGTAGTGCACTTTTACTTTATATTGCCTGTGAAGATAACAAAAACCTTTAATCCTATAAACAGCAGACTTTGAAAGAAGGAAACTTGTAATTGAAAAAATTAATTGGCAATTTTGTTGAGGGAAGGTTGTCAATCTGAAAGTAATTACATGTATATAAATGACAACTTCAAAACAATTGTCTCAATTGGTCCCCAATTTTATGGTATTCGAAAATATGCAAGAGTTTTATTATAAGTTAATAGACAACCATAAAGATTTCTATCAGTTTCTTACTATAGCTAATTTGAAAACAGAATTGGGAGATGTTATGAGTGACAGAATGTTAGATGACTGACAGTGGCGTAGCGTCATATACGCATAAAACGCCATAGCGTACTCTCAAAGTTTAGAGAAAAGTGAATTTTTGATATTGAAATGACCCACGTTTAATATTCTGAAGTAATGGCCTAACAATCCATATTATTTTTTCGTAGTCGGAATTTCGTATTTTAAAACGCCCCAGAACGCTTCAAATGCAATCTAATTTTTTCAAATTTTCTTGGGGGAAAGACCCCCCTCAAAGCTCGTTCGCTTCGCTCACTCGTGGCGTACACTCATAAAATACCCACGCTATGCCACTGACTGAGATAAAATAAAAATAATATGATCCAATAACAGAATATTTGTTAGTCCAGTATTTGATAGAATAAACAAAAGCAAAATAACTAGAGTTTCAGCTTTATTTATTGGAGTGGCATCATCAATGCATCCAAAACAAGTGATGAATATCAGTCATTCTAAAGACACATTTGGTATTTACAATTATTACACACTGATATTTATAAGCCTAACCAATCATAGCCTTGCCCAAGTCGGTCTCTTTTACTTATTTTGATTTCTATTATGACAAGATCAGATAAGTAAAAAAATTCTGACTTGGGCAAGGCTAAACTAATCAATAAAATATGAAATATTGATAGTTGAGATGAAATAAAAAAATTTGGTCCAAGAAATTAAATGTTAGACTTAGCAGATCTTATGTACATTAAATGGTCAAATGAATAGATTTGTTTAAAAAAAACTTCATTTTGAAAATGTGCACATTTCAAGTGATTTTTGGCCTACATTGTCAAATCAACTCTCAGGATTTGTCTAAAAATGAACCCTCCTTGGCAAATCTGGCTATAGGCCCTTAGTAGGATTAGCCAATGTGAATCAAAGTATGAAACTATAATAAAAATTGTGTATTTTCAGATTTTGGATCCGACTACCAGCAACCGGGAGCATCATATGTCATTACACAGTCCAGTGATACTCATCTATTTGATGCTTCAGTGAACAGTAGTCCATCTATGGATAGTAGCAACTACATAATGGACAGTAGCAGCCATGGAACGGTCAACATGTATGATTCACAGAGAATAGACATTGGTCATCAATGCAGTATATGTTTGAAGAAATTCACTAGTAATAAAACACTAAGGGTCCACAGCAACATACATGCTGGTAAAAAGACATACTGTAATAAATGTAACAAGGCATTCTCAGATCCTGCTAGTCTTAGGAGACATAGAAAGAACTTTAACCATTTCTAGTAATATATATTTACAGTACCATCCATAATGGTAAAAAGACATACTGTAATAAATGTAACAAGGCATTCTCAGATCCTGCTAGTCTTAGGAGACATAGAAAGAACTTTAACCATTTCTAGTAATATATATTTACATACAGTAACATCCATAATGGTAAAAAGACATACTGTAATAAATGTGACAAGGCATTCTCAGATCCTGCTAGTCTTAGGAGACATAGAAAGAACTTTAACCATTTCTAGTTATATATATTTACATACAGTAACATCCATAATGGTAAAAAGACATACTGTAATAAATGTGACAAGGCATTCTCAGATCCTGCTAGTCTTAGGAGACATAGAAAGAACTTAAACCATTTCTAGTAATGTATATTTACATACAGTAACATCCATAATGGTAAAAAGACATACTGTAATAAATGTAACAAGGCATTCTCAGATCCTGCTAGTCTTAGGAGACATAGAAAGAACTTTAACCATTTCTAGTAATATATATTTACATACAGTAACATTTGTGATGGTAAAAATACATACTGTAATAAATGTGACAAGGCTTTCTCAGATCCTGCTAGTCTTAGGAGACATAGAAAGAACTTTAACCATTTCTAGTAATATATATTTACATACAGTAACATTCATGATGGTAAAAAGACATACTGTAATAAATGTGACAAGGCTTTCTCAGATCCTGCTAGTCTTAGGAGACATAGAAAGAACTTTAACCATTTCTAGTAATATATATTTACATACAGTAACATTCATGATGGTAAAAAGACATACTGTAATAAATGTGACAAGGCTTTCTCAGATCCTGCTAGTCTTAGGAGACATAGAAAGAACTTTAACCATTTCTAGTAATATATATTTACATACAGTAACATTTGTGATGGTAAAAATACATACTGTAATAAATGTGACAAGGCTTTCTCAGATCCTGCTAGTCTTAGGAGACATAGAAAGAACTTTAACCATTTCTAGTAATATATATTTACATACAGTAACATTCATGATGGTAAAAAGACATACTGTAATAAATGTGACAAGGCTTTCTCAGATCCCGCTAGTCTTAGGAGACATAGAAAGAACTTTAACCATTTCTAGTAATATATATTTACATACAGTAACATTTGTGATGGTAAAAATACATACTGTAATAAATGTGACAAGGCTTTCTCAGATCCTGCTAGTCTTAGGAGACATAGAAAGAACTTTAACCATTTCTAGTAATATATATTTACATACAGTAACATTTGTGATGGTAAAAATACATACTGTAATAAATGTAACAAGGCTTTCTCAGATCCTGCTAGTCTTAGGAGACATAGAAAGAACTTTAACCATTTCTAGTAATATATATTTACATACAAGCAGTCAAACGATCATGTTGTTATAACATGGGTTACATAATACTGTAATATACTTAAATAATACTTTTTGTTAATTTGTAGAACTTTGAGATAAATTTTGAAATTATAGAATGCAATGTTTGTTCATTTGGTTCATTATACATTTATTTCAATTATATTGCCGTAAAAAAAGTTACACAGGTCGCTGCCTAGCGCAATGTGCATTACAAGCTAGCCCTGTAATGTTTGTGTACTATTACTATTAGTGATTTCAAATTGATATATTTTGTTTGGTGGGGTTTGCTACACTTGGCAGTTTCTGTTTCTAGTTTTATTATTATATTCCAATCATTGTTCATGATATTTGTTTGGAATGATAATTTTAACATAATAGACAAACCAGGAAAGATCGTTATTTTCAATGGTTACAATGTTATGGCTATTTTGCAAAACATGCTCCAAATGCCAAAACATAACAAAATCACCCAATATGAACCCCCAGAATTTTACCTTTTGGACTAGGTAAGGTGTATATGAGCAAGCCTAGAAGCATCAGAGAGTTGAGACAAGAGATTATAAAAGGGAAATCAGAGCCATTACACAAGATATCTGTGAGTGTGTTGTCAGAAAACTTCACCCGATGTGTTCAAGTTTGCCCATAATGACAAGGGTGACATTTTGAGCATGTTTTATAAAGTGGCCATAAAATCGTGACTATTTGGAATAGACCAATGACGCTAACTAGAACAAAATAACATTGAACAAGATTCAATTGTGCCAAATGTGACTTTAATCACTGTAACGATATGTAGTGATTGTGTTATTGTGTTACCCATAATGCATCGCAACTCCCATGATGCAATATTCACATGTAATAAACCGGGTGTTGAAACCACAGAAAATGTCATGTTAGATCATTATAATCACATACTGGATGACCGAATTATGAAAAAGTTATTAGGAAAACAGAGGTTGATGACTTTGAAGTTTCTACTATATTTTGAGGTTATGAATATTGGCTATCAATTTCTAATTTTTTTTTTCTTCAACAGGTATTGTTATGACTTCAGTATGAATGATATGTCCCTTGGTCTTCTGGTCTTGGATTGTGATATTGGTTCTTGAATGGTGGGGGGAAAGGGGGTATTAGACATTGTTTCTTTTCACATTAGATCATGGTTTTGGACTATATGTGGTTTGTTTTTCTTGACTGGTATGCACTTAGAGTTTCCTTTGTGTGGTTTTCATATGCTCATTCTGAAGTCATTTTATCCTGAAGTTGGCCTTGTTAAGAAAAGTCTCAAACAATTGTTTTCTTTTACAGACAATTTTTTCATTTCAAATTAGATAATACACATGATGTGGCTTTGTATAAAAAGCCTTGGACCCACATATGTGGGTCATGATACAGACTTTTAAGGGTTAATTTTTTTAATTTAGTTTCAATTATGGAGATTTTCTAAATGAAACTCTGTTTCACTTTATTTAATCAAAGCATAAGTAACATGAGTAACAATGATTTTAGTCTCAAGGATCGTAAATTCAGTCCAAAACACGAGTGTTACTGTGGTCCTGGATGATGATCTGGTTCCAAATTGAATGATGTGGAAAGTAGTAACCACCATAAAGACAAAGATGTACTCTAAGTGCTAAATGTGGAAATTGGCTGATCCAGAAGTTAACCAGGTGGGGGTGGGCAAACCAAATTTTTGGGGCCCAAAACTTCCGTTGAATTACTCAGAAAATAAAAAAAAAGATTTTAGTGTAGATTCCTTCTATCGCAAAAAAAGCATTTCAATTTCGCAATTTTGATGAAGGATAAAATAGCAAAGATAAACAATTTTGCAATTCTAGCCTTATTTTATGATTATGCAAATGTTAGATCAATAAGACATACACATAGGCCCATGAGTGCAGAATTCCATTTGGCAAATCCATAATTATATAAAACTAAATTAAGAATTTTAACCCTGAAAAAATCTGTTTCACGACCCACGTACGTGGGTACGAGGTAAAAATTTTTTTTATACAAAGCCCATATGATAGTGTAGGATTTAATAACTAAACAAAGAGTTTTGACCAAATTCTATTTTGTCAACCAAGAATTATGTGAAGTTTCCCAATTGACATGATTCATACTTGATTCACTTTCTCCAACATTCAATTATTGGTAGTGTAAGGCTCTATTGTATACTTTCTGTATTTTCAGGAGGATTGCAAGGGGCTAATTATCAATCTGTAGGAGCCTTCATTGAGAAACAGGCTTCTTTCCATAACACAGCATACCAGAGACCACACTCAATGCATGACAGCCATGCACCAATGCATGATGTCAATGCAACAAGAAGAGGCACACATATAGTGGCTCACCACCCTGACCATGAGGCAAACTATAACACACATGGGCCTGTGAATAGAAGACTTGATGCATCCAATACTCAACTCATTGCAAGGGAAAACACTAACTCAACTGTTCTCAACAGTGCAGTCTCTTCAGATCACTTTCAATGCGAGATATGTATGAAGAAATTTGCAAGTAATATAACACTGAATATACATAGAAATATACATACTGGTAAAAAGAAGAGTTGTAAAATATGTAATAAGTCATTTACAGACCCTGGAAACCTAAGTAGACATAAGAAGAGATATAATCATTTTTGAATGGATGCGAGGACATATCTTAAAAGGTGATATTGTCTTGCTGTAATCATTAAACCATCCCTTTAAAGCAACGACAACTCATTATAATCATAAGATCATCTATTAAAGGGTTATGACAACTTATCATAGTTGTTAAAACATCTCTCTAAGGATGATTACTTATTATAGTTATTAGAACATCTCTTAAAGGGTGATGACAACTTGTTATAATCATGAAACCATCTCTTGATAGATGATTACAATTTATTATAGTCATTGGACAATCACTTAAAGGATGATTACAATTTATTATAGTCATTGGACAATCACTTAAAGGATGATTGCAATTTATTATAGCCATTGGACAATCTCTTAAAGGATGATGACAACTTATTATAGTCATTGGACAATCTCTTAAAGGGTTCCGATTAGCATCCCGTATAAAAACAATATGGCGGCTCCAGGCGAATCAACTGGATCAGTCCATTTTTAAGAAATAAGGGGAGTTCTGTAAAATCCAGTTTATTGAAATTGTCTTTGAGATAAACACTAGGGCAGAGCATTTGTACTGAAAGGAGCGTTTTCAGTACAAATATGTACTGAAAAATGTACTGAATTTTTAAGTATATTTTTCAGTATAAATATGTACTGAAAAATATACTTAAAATTTCAGTGCAAATTTCAGTATAAATATGTACTGAAAAATATACTGAAATTTTAAGTACATTTTTCAGTATATATTTATACTGAAAAATATACTGAATTTTAAGTGTGATTTTAAGTGCAAATATGTACTTAAAAATATACTGAAATTTAAGTGTGATTTTAAGTGCAAATATGTACTGAAAAATATACTGAAATTTAAGGGCATATTTAAGTGTAAATTTATACTGAAAAATATACTTAGATTTTGAATAACGACATCTTCCTGACTTTGACATCTATACCATGGATTTTGCTATACTCGAACAAATGAGGTTCTATGTTCATGTTATATATTTTAATTTTGATATCAATTAATTAATTTGCTCAAGCAATATGAGTGGAAATCTCATGAAAAACTTATTTTTAAGACTGAGAAAATATGTACCTTTAATGTTTTTGAATTTTAGAACTTAATAAGGTAGAATGTATCTAGAAACCTCAAAAGGTATGGAATACACATGTTATGTACGATCAGTTTTAAATAAAGGGTTTATCCCTCAGGAAATATGGGTATCCAAAACCTCCCAGTACATAACCCTTATATATGTGGTTTGATCGGGCTAAAAAGAAATTTATTGATGGAGAAAATGCAATCAGATATTATTACAGGATGCGTCTTAAATGATTAAATCCAAAAACATAACTTATTAAAAGGAAAACACTTGATTACAGTAAACCTAGCCTCTCCAGTTTGATTAGATTCTGCTTTAAAGGATGTGTCTAAAGAAACTTTATTAATCCATTAACAAAACAAAATATTTTGACAAGGCAAAACAAACCTGATTACAGAGAGACTCTTTTAAGTTTGGTTAAAGTCTGCTGTAAAGGAAGCATCCAAAATAATTTCATAATGTAATAGCATTCCTGCTGGGGGGGGGGGGGGTTTCAGGGGTCCAAGCGAACCCCCCCCCCCCCCCAGCCAAAAATTCTTTTAAAATCATGCACTTTTTCACCATTCTAAGAACTTTTTGAGTGATTTAGGCCATTTTTAATAAATCCATAAACAAAACTTCTAAAAAGGAAATCACTTGATTACAGTAAACCTAGCCTCTCCAGTTTGATTAGAGTCTGCTTTAATGGATGTGTCTAAAGAAACTTTATTAATCCACTAACAAAACAAAATATTTTGACAAGGCATAACAAACCTTAGATTACAGAGAGACTCTTTTAAGTTTGGTTAAAGTCTGCTGAAAAGGAAGCATCCAAAATAATTTCATAATGTAATAGCATTCCTGCTGGGGGGGGGGGGGTTCAGGGGTCCAAGCGAACCCCCCCCCCCCCCCCCGGCAAAAAATTCTTTTAAAAAGAACTTTTTGAGTGATTTAGAGTTTATAAAGTATGCCTTACATTTACGTTTTTTCTTATTTCCATTATTGGGCACAAATATTTCTCATTGCATATATTTATACTTAAAATTATCCTTTTTCAGTATATTTTTCAGTACAATTTTATACTGACTTTTGCACTTAAATTTCAGTACATTTTTCAGTATATATTTGTACTTAAATTTATCCTTAAATTTTCAGTGCATTTTTCAGTATATTTTTGCACTTAAATTTGTCCTTAAAATTCAGTACATTTTTCAGTACATATTTATACTTAAATTCGTACTTAAAATTCAGTATATTTTTCAGTACATGAATTTGTACTGAAAAATATACTGAAAAAATTCAGTGCATTTTTCAGTACAAAAATGTACTTAAATTTGTACTGAAACAAAACTAGTACATTTTTCAGTACATATTTGTACTGAAAACGCTCCTTTCAGTACAAATGCTCTGCCCTAGTGAAAGTAATCCGTTTATAATGATTTTGAAAACGTTATCCAAAGAGTGATTGCGTTCAAATAATACATGTACAACAGCCAATATAAATTCTTGTATTAGAAACCGGGCTGTCTTGCTTTGTTTCATTTGTAGGACATTTCATATGCCAAGCTGTGTGCTATTACGTTATGGGGAAATTTAGATGCCAATTTTTCCTTATTATACACAAATAGAAGATCCTGAAACTTCACCCATAAATGTGGAATTGATTTGTCAAAATAAAAATCACCCTTTTATAAATGTGTGACGATCTATAATATACTTATGCTATATAACAGTTAGAGGTGTTGACACAACGACCTCGAACCTGTGTACCCTTGAGTATTATTCCGGGATCGGGCCTTTTATACTAAACGGTGAGCAACACCAGAAACGAGCGTTCGATTTGCTAAACGATATGCGTCACCCTTTAAAGGATGATGACAACTTATGGTTATTGGACAATCTCCTAAAGGATGATTACAATTTATTATAGTCATTGGACAATCTCTTAAAGGATGATTGCAATTTATTATAGTCATTGGACAATCACTTAAAGGATGATTACAATTTATTATAGTCATTGGACAATCACTTAAAGGATGCTTGCAACTTATTATAGTCATTGGATAATCTCTTAAAGGATGATTACAATTTATTGTAGTCATTGGACAATCTCTTAAAGGATAATAACAACTTATTATAGTCTTTGGAAAATCACTTAAGGGATGATTACAACTTATTATAGTCATTGGATAATCTCTTAAAGGATGATGACAACTTATTGTAGTCATTGGACAATCTCTTAAAGGATAACAACAACTTATTATAGTCATTAGACCATCCCCTAAAGGATAATGACAACTCATTGAAGTCATAAGACCATCTCTTAAAGGATAATAACAACTTATTATTGTCTTTAGACCAGGATAATGACAACTTATTAGATTAGAGTCATTAGACCATCTCTTATTATAGTAATTAGACCATCTCTTAAAGATCTCTTAAAAGGTGACAACAACAAGCTATTACAAATGACAAATAAGACCATCCCCTAAATGATAATAACAACTCATTATATTCATTAGACCATCTCTTAAATGACCAACTACAATTCAGTATCTTAAATCTGAATGATAACATATTTATTTTATTTTTTCTCATGTACATGTACATGTGCTATAAAATAATCAGAAGTATATTCTTAATACTATATAATTTAAGATGATTCAGGTCATTTAGTGCCCATGATGTAGAACATTTGATATCGAAATATACCTGTAAAATAAAATGAAATAAAACAAAATTAAAATTTTGAAATACATTTTTATAGTACATTTAAAATAACATATAGTTTGTAAGCAGGTCTTGAAAAAAGCTTCATAAATTTGCCTATAATCTCATTTGAGTTGAGCCACCTATCTATGACACAATGTTGGCAATGGCAAAGTCATACTTGGCATATTTGTAGCATTTGAGGGTCTGTTAGGGGTGGTAGTGCAGATATAATTGTTGTTATAACAACTATGTTAATATATAGTGGTCAAGCATGAATGTTGTATTATTTGTTTAATAAAAATACACCCATAGATGGCACACCCAGGATTGAGAGGACACCCATGACTAAAATAAGACCAATCACTGTTATCTTGTTTCCATGGTAATCTGAATAACCTCCCTTATAAGTATTTATTACATGTCAGGTAGATCATAATTGCTTGATTTATGGCAAAAACAATGACTTGTGCACATTGATGGCAATATTGCACCATTTCTAATAGATCTCATACCTTAGAAGCGTATTGGTTCAAAAAAATTCCCAGCAGACCTAACATATCATACCAACAATGTGCCTATTCAGTCATCAATTCAATTGTAAAGTTTCTCTTGAAAAATAAATCTTTCAGTTTTGCTGAATTTTTTTAGCAGAAATTGCCTACTCTCCCTCCCTTCCATTTTTCCGATCACCAGGCGTAAGCGAAGCTCTCTTATTACACTCATGTAAGAAATCCTATTTGTCTTGATACTTTTTTAAGAAAGTGTTTGCAAATAGCAACAAACAAATGCTTTGTAACTTGACCAACATTTGGTATAATTTTGTTATACACCTGGTATAGTTTTCAAGAAAATTTATTTTAAAGAAACTGGCTAACTATACATTTTATCCTAAATTAATTCATTTTAGATTAGAGAATAAGTAAAAAATCAGATCATATACATGTATGCTTTGTAGATTCTAATAATAAACTAAGAATTTGGACCAAATTTTTTTTATCAACCAAGAATTATGTGAAGTTGATCCCAAATTGATTAATTTTTTCTAACAATTCCATTATCTGTATAGTGTAAGGCTCTAAATTGATCCTTTCTGTATTTTCAGGAGGACTGCAAGGTGCTAATTATTATCAATCTGAAGCAGCCTTTATGAAGAAACAGCCTCATTTCCATAACCCTACATACCAGAGACCACATTCATTTCATGGCAGCCATGCACCAATGCATGATGGCAATGCACCAATGCATGATGTCAATGCACCAATGCATGATGTCAATGCACCAATGCATGATGTCAATGCACCAATGCATGATGGCAATGCACCAATGCATGATGTCAATGCACCAATGCATGATGTCAATGCACCAATGCATGATGTCAATGCACCAATGCATGATGTCAATGCACCAATGCATGATGTTAATGCACCAATGCAGCAAGGCAATGCAACAAGACGAGGGACACATATAGTGGCAAACCCTGAACATGAAGCAACCTATAACACTCATGTGAATAATGGATTTGATGCGTCCAATAGACAACTCATTACAGGGGAAACCACTGACTCAACTGTTCTCAGCAGTGCTGTCTCATCAGATCACTTTCAATGCGAGATCTGCATGAAGAAATTTGTCAGTAATATAACACTGAATATACATAGAAATATACATACTGGTAAAAAGAAGAGTTGTAAAAGATGTGATAAGTCATTTTCAGACCCTGCAAGCTTGAGTAGACATAAGAAGAAATATAATCATTTCTGGTAAGAACAAACATTAATGATGTGATGTCATAAGACATCTCTTAAAGGGTGAAGACATCTCATTTTAGTCATCAGACCATCTCTTAAAGGGTGACGACAAGTCATTATAGTCATTTGACCATCTCTTCAAGGGTGATGATGACTGAATATAGTCATAAGACCATCTCTTAAAGGGGGATGAGACTTAAAGGGTCATGAGACTTAATCTTGTAAAGCAGGGGTTTCACTAGAATTTTTCAAAACAGGCTAAATAAATGAAAACAACAGGCAAAAATAAATGGAAATCATAAATTTAACATGGAAAAATTGAAAAGTGCCTGAAAACAACAGGCAATTTTGTGAAAACAACCAGTGAAAATCACCTCTTGCCTGCTGCTAATGAAACCACTGTAAAGGGTGATGACAACTCATTATAGTCATAAGACCATCTCTTAAAGGGTGATGACAACTCATTATAGCCATAAGGCCATCTCTTAAAGGGTGATGACAACTCATTATAGTCATAAGACCATCTCTTAAAGGGTGATGACAACTCATTATAGCCATAAGGCCATCTCTTAAAGGGTGATGACAACTCATTATAGTCATAAGACCATCTCTTAAAGGGTGATGACAACTCATTATAGCCATAAGGCCATCTCTTAAAGGGTGATGACAACTCATTATAGTCATAAGACCATCCTCTAACGGGTGTTGACAACTCATTATAGTCATTAGAATATCTCTTAAAGGGTAATGACAACTCATTTTAGTCATTAGAATATCCCTAAAGGGTAACTACAATTTTTGTATTTGTTTTTTTAAAACATGTAGATGTGCTATGTAGGAAACAGAAATATATTCTTCTTTGTATTTTATAGTTTTTAAAAGATGACTTAGGACATGTAGTGCCCAGGGCAATCTTAATGTAGCATATAAAAAGTGTGAATATGCCAGTAATGCCACAGAATATTTTTTCAGATATTTGGAAATTCAAACACTGCCATGTCTTTGTGATGTGGCAATTTGAGCTGTAAAATAAAGTAAAACAAAAAAATGTTTAGAGTGTATGTTGTGATTTTAAAATGCATTGCTATAGTATAGTCAATAGAATAAATATTAAAAGAATATATACTATTTTTGAAATTATTTCAATTCACTCTCCATCATTTACTTGTCTCATGATTATTGGAATATAAGGTCAGCATTATTGAAATTATCTATCATTGTTATATTCCACTTGCATGTTATTGGCTATTCCATTTCCAGTTGATATCACATCCATATTGTGCTTTGAGTTATCAGTTTGGATATTTCTGGTAAAATCATGTAATAAATCCAATATCATAGGGTCATTTTTATCAACAATTTGCAATCAATGCTTGGTCACTTTGCTAAATTAAGATTCTAAGGGAAACATTGTTTACTTCCAATATTTGCACCATCCCTTTTAATATTCAAATAAATACACTTCCTTGTCATTTAAGTATTTTGGTTGATTTTCCTAACAATATCTATGATACTTATACTCTGTGTGTCTCTTGTTTTTAGGTTGTTGTTTTATATATATTAGAAGACCATTAAAACTTTAACAATTTTCATTCAGATGAAGTTAATTAGTGACATTAATCTAATTATTAAAAATGTCTACTTTCATTGAGGTATCACTAAGAATTTATCATTTGGATCATCTATTCAAAAATGCATGACTTTACATTGGATAAAGGATAATAGAAAAATTAAATGTAAATTTTTAGGGAACACCTCCAAAGTGGAACACTATTTTTGGTACCAAAGGTATTCCACATGTTTTTAACTATCAATATTGTTCTATTTTTCCAGTACCAATAATTACGCTGGACTATAATGACATAAATCAACCCCGAAATCCATCCACTGCCAAGCCACAACCAACAAAATACACAACTGGCAAAAAGTTTGAGTGCAAGCTGTGTTTGAAATCCTTCTCTGCCAAGTGGAATCTCTACATACATATGAACATTCATAATGGAGCGAGGCCATACAAATGTGATATATGCGAGAAAGCTTTTGCCAACCCAGGGACACTAAATCATCATAGAAAAACACATTACATGGGCCAATAATGCCTCAGTCTGGGCCCATTATCAGACTTGGCCAATAATGCCTTGGCCTGGGCCCATTATCAGACTTAGCCAATAATGCTTGGCCCTTGTTACTTAGCCAATAATGTCAATATTGTCAGACTTGCCCAATAGTGCTAAGGATGGACCTTTATGTCAGATTTTGTTGCACAGATGTCCGAAATAAAATATAACATTGAAACATTTCAAATGAAATTTCTTATGTTTAGCAATTATAAAATATTATTATGGCAACATTTAGGTAGCATACTGTTGCTATGGCAACTTTTGTGCAGCCGCACCAAAAGCTTTAACTTTTAAAACTACTTTGCCTATAACTTTATTCACTCACCCCACGATAATGAGTATCAATGTCAGTTGGGTAATGGTTTGTTTTTGTAGTTGTTGGTTGTACTTTCACCTATTGGTTGTACTTGTATACTAGTAGTTGTGGGTTGTACTTGCAGTTGTAGGTTGTACTTGTATACTTGTAGTTGTAGGTTGTAGTTGTGGATTGTTCTTGCAGTTGTGGGTTGTACTTGTAGTTGAGGGTTGCACTTGTAGGTTGTACGTACTTGTAGTTTTGGGTTTTACTTGCTGTTGTGGGTTGTACTTACAGTTGTGGGTTGTACTTGTAGTTGAGGGTTGCACTTGTAGGTTGTACGTACTTGTAGCTGTGGGTTGTTCTTGCAGTTGTGGGTTGTACTTGTGGTTGAAGGTTGCACTTGTACGTTGTACATACTTGTAGTTTTGGTTTTACTTGCTGTTGTGGGTTGTACTTACAGTTGTGGGTTGTATTTGTACTTGTGGGTTGTTCTTGCTGTTGTGGGTTGTACTTACAGTTGTGGGTTGTATTTGTACTTGTGGGTTGTACTTGCAGTTGTGGGTTGTACTTACAGTTGTGGGTTGTTCTTGCAGTTGTACATATGCAGTTGTGGGTTGTTCTTGCAGGTGTGGGTTGTTCTTGCAGTTGTACAGGCAGTTGTGGGTTGTACTTGCAGTTGTGGGTTGTTCTTGCAGTTATATATACATGCAGTTGTGGGTTGTTCGTGCAGTTGTGGCTTGTTCTTGCAGTTTTGGGTTGTACTTGCAGTTGTGGGTTGTTCCTGCAGTTTTACATATGCAGTTGTGGGTTGTTTTTGCAGTTGTGGGTGGTTCTTGCAGTTGTACATGCAGTTGTGGGTTTTTCTTGCAGTTGTGGGTTGTACTTGCAGTTGTGGGTTGTTCTTGCAGTTGTGGGTTCTATTAGCAGTTGTGGGTTGTTTTTGCAGTTGTGGGTTGTTCTTGCAGTTGTACATGCAGTTGTGGGTTGTTCATGCAGTTGTGGCTTGCTCTTGCAGTTGTGGGTTGTTCTTGCAGTTGTGGGTTCTATTAGCAGTTGTGGGTTGTACATGCAGTTGTGGGTTGTTCTTGCATTTATGTTTTTGGAATAATATTCAAATCTTTTGTTCCATTGTATTTTTGAGACTTCATCACTGTTCATCCTTCTGTTACAGGTGCTGTCATGTATTTCCCTAGACCAGGGGTTGCTAGGCAACCACAGACAACAGAATCCTTGCAGTGCCATATATGTATGAAATCCTTCAAGTCACGCTGCAGTCTCCGCAACCATTCCTACATCCATACTGGAGAGATGCCATACAAGTGTGACCAATGCCCAGAAGCTTTCTCTCATCAAATGAAGTTATGGAGGCACAAGAAAAGACAGCATTCTATGCTCATTTAAAGCATGTGGTTGGCTTCAGTTTTTACATTGTCATAAACATAATTGTTGAGAAAAAATGCAGACACATATGTATATAAAAGAACATAGTCAGGCAGGAGAAAAGGGGAGGCTTCAGTTTTACCCTTTTACAGAAATTGTTTCTTTATGTTTTTTTCATTAAAAACTGTTTTTCATTGGAAATGATTTCCAAATGTAGCATTATACGTCCTATGTCTTCTATTCTATTGATTTTTGCCAGTGGTAATTGCCAGTGGTAATAATTTGCAATTATTAAAGAACAAGCAATTATCATCTCAATCAGTCTACTATTTTAACTTCTATGTCTTCTATTTATTTCAAAAGACAATTTGTTGTGTTATTTGCTGCAGTTGCTTTCTAAACAATAAAACGAGCATAAAAAATCTTTGTCTTGAATTGCTTCTTAAAGAAATGAAATACCAAAGCCACAATCTCTTAGTGTGACAATGATTTAGAAACAAATACATTTAGTTTTTAAATCTTACTCATTGGCGTAATATAGGCCTATTACATGCCAGCCAATCAGAAGACAGTTTGTAACATAATCTGCATTCTATATTTTCAAATAGATGAACGGTTAGTTTAGATTCAGTGGAATTTGTAATAGTAACGAATAGTTAAATAGGTGCACATGCAGGTCAAATTGTTGACCTAACAAAACTCTTGCAAAAAGTTTCTGGTTAAATTCTTGTACAGTGCACTTATATGTTAATTGCCATATCTGAAGATTTTAAGCACAAAACTAAATCAATTGTGTAGCTTATATGCATTTATGAATTTTTGGTATGCCAACCTTTGCATTTTGGCTCCCATTCTCATTCAATGCCTCATCATTTGTGCTAAAATTGTCCCCAGTTTATCGATCATTTGGCTTAAATCCTATTGTTCTTGTACTTGTATTTTGTTTATTGATTATAATGTTCTTTGTCATTTCAGTTGATGTCTACTCTATGGCAACACAAGATATTGCTGGGCAACCAAAGACAATAGAAACCTGGCAGTGTCAGATATGTATGAAAACATTCAAGACCCGACGAGTCCTTAGAAACCATTCATTTATACATACTGGAGAATTGCCATATCAGTGTGACCTCTGCCAAGATGCATTTTCCCATCAAATGAAGTTATGGCGACACAAGAAAAAACAACATCCAGTGGATCCTCAAATCTGGACTGAATAAGAAAAAGGAAGAATATAAAGTTTATAGGGGTAGTGGTCAGAAAGTGCATGTAGAATGTAAAAAGGAAAATAAAGTGATAATAAAAATGCAATTAGAAAATAATTAATGCTAATAAGTAATCTTTGTCACACTATAGATAATCATTTGCATATTGAAAATGAGCTAAAACAAGAATAACCCTAGATTCAGATGTATCGAAATTAGCATACCATGATACCATGTCACATTGTCACAACACACCAGCACAATCAAAGACAGTAATTTTTATTGTGGCACAATCAGTCAAGTACAATAAAACAATCCTTTATTATTGAGGCACAACCAGTCTAGCACAACCTAAGGGAACTGTTCATTATTAAGGTAGTTCAACAAGAGCAAGGGCAACAGCCTTCATTTAATTAGACGCAATCAGTCAAACACAACCAAAACCAATCATCCTTCTTTAGGCATAATCAGTGAAGCACAATCAAGAGTGACCATTATTTTTTTAGGCACAATCAGTCAACCACAATCAAAAACAATGATTTGCGATTGCAGATTGAAACAAAAAGAACACATGACTAAATTATAGTCATGGTCCTTAGTCCTTAATCCTTGTCCGGAAAATGATAACATTACTTTGAATTTCTTATCCCGGGTCTGTTGCCGAGTTTACAACAAACGAAAAGGACGAACAGGTGCCCGTTATTTGATTGGTCAATCGACCTGGCAACTGCCACGTGACCAAACAAATTCGCCATTTTTTCTATTAATCAAATTGGATCAGTTAGAATTAATCAGTTAAAATACAGCAAGATGGATACAACAAATACGTTTATATAACGAGAGATAATCAAGGTGTGTTTATTTTATATCTTTCGACAATAATTATTTATCGATCATCATCTAAACTTCGAAGTTTTACGGCTAAATGGCGACCAAAATTCTTGAAAATGAAGAAAAAATAAAATTTTAAAAAGCCAAGATTTTCATAGCAATTGTTTCGGTATAAAGTAAGTGCGTAGATCTATATGATCTAACCCAGGACCTTCAAAATATAGGTCGGGATTAATGATTTAATATGTCAAGTGTCGGTCATCTTTATCTCAGACTCGATGTCACTTAGAAATTGTATCCGGAGATGATGGAAAATTAGTCACAATGAATATCAATTCAAGGTCAAGGATCAAGAGCTCATGAAAGCAGACGCTATCTATAATAAGACTTATGCAACACAACCGTCACCCTGTTATTTAGGGTTATAAGTTTCGCAAGGATCCTGCCATGACCGTGGTAGTGTTATCGTGAAAGCCTGGCATAACCGTGACAATGTTATATTATATTGCAAGGCCTGTCATGACCGTGGTAATGTTAAAGCCTGGTATGACCGTGAAAATGCTATATTATATTGCAAGGATTGTCATGACCGTGGTAATGTTAAAGCCTGATATGACTGTGACAATGCTATATTTTAGTAGCATGAGAATACCGTAATAAATATTTCATCGTTTAATTACTTTAAATGTTTAAATCTAGAGTACTATACATGTAGAGAAAGAAAAGAAAAGACAAAGAAATTTTAGATTCATTAACTCATAATTCATTTCCGCAAACTATAATTCTAATCTCATTCAAGAATGTGAATATTGTCACAGTCATATCAGGCTTTAACATTTACCACAATTATGACAGCTTTGCAACCATTGTTACGCTCATATCAGGCTTTAACATTACCACGGTTATGACAGGCCTTGCAATATAATATGAAAAAAAAATTTAGAAAATGTCTATTTGCATTAGTGTACAAAGAGCATGTAAAAATATTAGAAAATGTCTATTTGCATTATTATGTCCCCACCACATAGTGTGGGGCCATATTGTCGGCCTAGGCGCGTCCGTCCGTCTGTCTGTCCGTCTGTCCGTCTGTCTGTCCGTACGTCCGGCAGTTTTCTCCAAAACCACTACAGATATCACCTTCAAATTTTCAGGGATAACTTATGAGTGCATACAGATGTGGATGAAAAAAAATTAACTCGATACCTACTTCCTGTTGGCCATTTTGAAGTCAAATGCTAAAATCCTTGTCTGCAAACTTTAAGAAAAACTGCTTCACAGTTGCTTTTAAAACTTTAACATCTTGTTCAGCTCACTTCATTCTAGATCTGATTAGGTTTTTGACCTGCTAGCTCAGTCATGTCAGCCATTTTGATTGCTTAAGAAAAGTTAGCGCGCGATAATACTTTGTATCATATTGAATGGTGTTTTTGAGTTTTCATACTTTAACTATTTAGTAGCTTTATAAATAATTTCAGATGTACTTTGCTGTAAAAGCCTACTTTATTGTTAACAGTAGTTATATGTGATAATTTTGTAAAAAGAAATCAGCAAAAACTCATAAGGACTTTTTTATTGTCGGCCATTTTGGATTTTTCGGTCCTAAAATCTTGTCTGTGAAGTCTTGTCTGCGCGTTTTCAGGTGAACCGTTTGGTGGATCAATTTCAAATTTTCAGGAATGATTCTTAGTATAAAAATCTAGATCTCATTAGTTTTTTGGCATTCTGGGTAAATGTCAAGGCAGCCATTTTGGATTTTCCGTCCTAAAATCTTGTCTGTAAAGTCTTGTCTACTCGTTTTCAGGTGAACCGTTTCGTAGATCAATTTCAAATTTTCAGGAATGATTCTTAGTATGAAAATCTAGAACTGATTAGTTTTTTTGCATTCTGGGTAAATGTCAAGGCAGCCATTTTGGATTTTCCATCCTGAAATCTTGTCTGTAAAGTCTTGTTTACATGTTTTCTGGTTAACTGTGTGACAGATCAATTTCAAATTTTCAGGGATGATTCTTAGTATGAAAATCTACAAACAGATTAGTTTTTTGACATTCTGGGTAAATGTCAAGGCAGCCATTTTGGATTTTCCATCCTGAAATCTTGTCTGTAAAGTCTTGTTTACATGTTTTCTGGTTAACTGTGTGACGGATCAATTTCAAATTTTCAGGGGTGGTTCTTAGTATGAAAATCTAGAACTGACTAAATTTTTGGCATTCTGGGTAAATTTTAAGGTGGCCACTTTGGATTTTCCGTCCTCAAATTGTGTTGGTAAAGTCTTGTCTACTCATTTTCAGGATAACCATTTCACGGGATCACCACTTGGTGGGGACATTTTGTACACATTTGTGTTCTTGTAAATGTACATGTATTAGAAAAGCATATCTATATTCTGTTTCAGGATGGACGGAGAAGATGAACGACTTGATGTGCCACCAGTCAGCCAGAGTGGCTCTGCAGTTCTTCACAAACTCCCAGCAATTGACACAAGCAAGACAGAGCTCAATGGAGATGTACAACGGAAAAAACATAAAAAGAAACGGAAAAAGCAAAAACACAAGGTTCAAATTGAGGAACCTCCAATTATGACACAAATAGAGGATAACTCGGGAGAAATCCGTCCACCTATTATTGACTATGTCCTGGTTTTTGAATATAAGGAAATTGATGACGAAGAAGAGAACAAGGATTCTAAGCTGAACAAAGCAAAAGAAAGGAGGACTAAGTTTGAGAAGTTAATGGCAGAAGAGAGGATTAAAGTTCAAATTGAAGACATTGGGAATTTGAGATTTCTGCTTCTAACAACATCCTTTAGTAGGCTATGTGAGGAAGCAGAGCATGTTAAATTAGAAATGCCTTTGGCAGAGGTAAGAGTGTGTACATTGTTCCTGATATTTGAAACTAAACCCTTTGAAATTGATGTATGACTTGTCCCGATCAGTCTCTGCTCCTATGATTTTTATGGCACCATCAAAAGTGGTGACATGTTGTTACAGTCTCTGACTATTTTGTGGAAAGTTCAGCTGAGCATCTGTAACAAGTGTGGAAGTGACATTTTGCATTTTCATGCCTTGTATGCTAGCAGCAACATTGAGAGAGATGAATTGAAAGGGGGGTTACATTGTACATTCACAATTTACCTTTCCATCTTACATATTTCCTCTTTCATACATATTCGCTAAACAATTCTAATTTTATTTGATTATTATTTTAACCAGCTCACCTAAACTATGATAAATATCATCGTAAATGTTATTAATTGATATATTTTATTCATGTTGTACATGTATATTCCAGGGCCGTATTGAGGACCCTGTCACTGGGTGCTGGGACAGGCTAAAAGACAAGTTGAGAACCGACACAGAGGACGATTTTGTCAGTGCCCCTTTCACGCTCCAGACACCAGATGTCTTCAAAGACTGGGACAAACCAGAGATATTCTTCCGACCTTCACTCAGACAGCTTTTAGTAAGTCGCTTTTGTTTCCAAGGCTGCCTTGGATATATAAAATAGACAAGGCAAATTTTAAAAGTTGTGCAAATAAACCACTTGTATTCATACAATGGCTAAATTCTGTATACTTGTTATTTTAAGTTTATTCTTCTTCATTTTGTTTTTGAATAAATAATTAATGTTTTAATCAGTATTTATACTGAACTTCTGCAGCTTTATTGTATCATGAAAGCATGAGATTACTTGTGATAAAAGCAATCCAATACTACACAATCTCTGTATAGAATTAAATGAAAAACTTCCCCATACCTTTTTCAATCCAACACTGCTCTGTCTCTCAGGAGATACACCTATTATGCTTTATTACTTTTCTACAATTCAATAACACCAGGAGTTATTTAAGAAGAAAAATCTAGGCTATAGTAAATAATTAATAATTAAATGATTACTCTCTCCCTTGTATCCAATCCTGCATTTAAATATTGTCATATAGTGAAAACAGTTAGTGGAACACCTCTGTAAGTGGAACACATTTTAAGTTATATAGACTATTGACTAATGTTAAATGAAAAAATGGAAAGTGAATACCTCTGTAAGTGGACCTTAATTTTAAATGAACCTCTAAAAGAAGAACACATATTAAGTGGAACACTTTTAAATTACTGTTTTCACTTATATACGTTTAACTGCTACGTACGGTTAACCATGTGTTTCATATACATTTATATCCAGTATATATTCATTGTTTATTAACCAAAAACATGGAGGTATTGTATACATGTACTATAATATTGATTTTCAAGGTTATATAAGAATTCTACCCATCCCCTTTCGTACTGCTCAGAATAATGCTAAACATGTTTTTAGCTCACATGATGAGCAGTTGTTATGGCCCACTTGTCTGTCTGTCAACATAGAAATCTACAACAACAATTCAGATGGTTTCATATTTAAAATGTGTTAATATAACATTGTCATTTGTCTCATAAACTGACGGTGTCAAAAGCTTGCCTTGTTTCAAAATGGCGACCATTTTTATTGTGGAAAAATCAGGGTTTCAGCTATTTTGTTCAGAACTCAACAAGTGTTCCGCCAATTTGCTTGAAATTGTACACATTTCCTAATTTATAGTTTATCAATAACATCTACCAGTTTGAGCAAATTACTTTAACTACTGTAGCCGTTTACTAATAGATTTCAATTCCAGGTGAATATACTCGATTTATGCATTATTGATTATATGTCTCACATAATATGTACCAGCTTTTAAAGCACAATGGCTATAGAATATATAATGAGCTGTTCATTGAACAGCCAACAGTTCATTTATGGAATATTGCACAATTTTTAATATCACATTTACTATTCTAGTACCTTAACGTCATTTCAATGTTTCACTTAGAAATTCTAAAAAAAATTGCCTTGACCTAAAGTTTTGCACGAACATTTAAAAAAATTTAAATTTTGCACGAGAAAATCCTAAAATGTTACACTAAGAAAATCAATAAATGTTTTCAAAAACTTTAAAAAAGCAAAAATGTTGCACTTAAAAGATAAAATTCTGAATGTTCCTTTCAAAGAGTCGCCACATCAAAAAAATCCTAAGATGTAAATGTATGTAATTGGTGATGTAATGTATCCATCAGAAAAAATAACTGGTGATGTAATGTATCCATCGGAAAAAATATTGAATCTAACATATTTTCCCCTTTAACTGCATTTATTTTTATTTTGTGTTGCAGACTAACCACATTCTTATCAATCTGGACATCACAAACAAGAAAGATATAGATGAAGATGAACCCATGTCTAAAAAAGGTAATAGAATGTAGGGGATGTAGGGGTATCTGAATGTATCATGGATCTAAAAAAGTATTAGAATGTAGGGGATGTAGGAGTATCTTGAAAACCTTTTGAAAATGTTTCAAGAACTTATTCAGTCATGAAAAATAATGTTAGATGATAATTAAAATATATTTGCAAATCTTTCACGGGCCTTTATAAAGATTACTCCTACTCTAATAAAATTAACCAATGGATTTCTTCTCTCTGTAAAGTAACTAAAAGATATTGTGTTGTTCAGCAAAGTGATTTTCATTGAAGATAAGAGGAGAAATAATCATTGTGTGAATTAATGGATAAATGGTATATATTTTTGTTAATCATTAATTTGATTTTTAGCGAATAAACAATTAACATGTAGACTTGGTGAGGCTACAGAATAGTTGTTAAATTTGAAGTTATATTTGTTAATGTTTTCATTTATTTCAGTTACATTAAGTTTTTGTTATGCCAATTTTTTTTGATAAATAGCAAGTTATTTAAATTTGAATATTTGCAATCATTAGACTTGTGAAAATGATACTTTTTATCGTACCTTAAAAGAACTACAATGTTAGTTTGGCAGGTTAGTGGTGGTCACTCACTTGTCAGCACATTTCCTGACAAACCATTTAACAAATAGATTTCCAGGCATTAGAATATTGAATTGAATAGTTTATGGATTAATTTTAGGGCAGACACTTTACAGTTTTAGGTACGATATTTATCCCTGTGTGTCTGGTAAAATATATGATCTAATTATAAAAGGTTTATTAAACCAGTGGGGTTACCAGTATCAGAGATTCAAAAATGTGAACTTTTAGTATTCACTATTCCAGGTCTTCCGTATTTGCTTCACAAAGGTGCCTATAAAGATGCTTTTACCATACACACGCCATCTATTGGGGATCCAGACTGCATAGAGGAGCGGGAAGAACGCCTTAAACAAAAAGCTGCCGAAACAGGAGAGAAATTCTCAAAAAAATCAATCGATCATGACACTATTGAAGACGATTGGTCAAAGTTTTGCCGAAAACCAGATGAACGGCAGTTGCTTAATGACACATGGACTAAAATCTACAAATTCCAACCTATGTGGAAAATCAGGAATTATTTTGGCGAAAAAGTTGGATTCTATTTTGCGTGGTCTGGACAGTTGATTACATCTTTAATATTCCCAGTTGTGTTTGGCTTGGCTATATTTTCCTATGGATTATATTTGAGGTAAGAAACATTTGCGAAAAACCTGTGTATCTGAACACCTATCTGAACACCTCTCAATATGACTTAAATTGAGGTCGAAATGATTTGATAATCGTATATATTACATTGGCGTAGCTAGGGGGAGCGATGGGTGCCCCCACAAAAGCAAAAAAAAGAGCAAAAACAGAAAAAAGCTATTTTGTAAAATTTGTTGAAAAAACATTAACAAATTATAGTTTGAAATGCTCAGAGTGCATTATATACAATGTAGATTTTAAAAAATGTCCATGGTTGAATACCCGTGCTCTCCTTTTGGTGCTCGCTTCGCTCACAGTGACCCAAAAAATCTCACCCCCTTGACAATTGCTGTTTACATCCATATGCCATGTATTATGTAATATACATATGAAAAGGATGCTTTTGGCGTCAAATCACCAACCTCAAACTTATTGAACTGTACAGGAGATTGTTGTATGTATATTTTGTTGTAGTATTATGTCCTATCAAGTTGAGAAAAACATCGTAGCTACGAATGCAACCACCACAAATTCCTCTATTTTGTTGTAGTATTATGTCCTATCAAGTTGAGAAAAACATCGTAGCTACGAATGCAACCACTACAAATTCCTCTATTTTGTTGTAGTATTATGTCATATCAAGTTGAGAAGAACATCGTAGCTATGAATGCAACCATTACTAATTCCTCTATTTTGTTGTAGTATTATGTCATATCAAGTTGAGAAGAACATTGTAGCTACGAATGCAACCACCACAAATTCCTCTATTTTGTTGTAGTATTATGTCCTATCAAGTTGAGAAAAACATCGTAGCTATGAATGCAACCACCACAAATTCCTCTATTTTGTTGTAGTATTATGTCATATCAAGTTGAGAAGAACATCGTATCTATGAATGCAACCACTACAAATTCCTCTATTTTGTTGTAGTATTATGTCATATCAAGTTGAGAAGAACATCGTATCTATGAATGCAACCACTACAAATTCTTCATCTGGTATAGCTGGCCTCATATCTGAGTAAGTAAATTGTTATCATATAAATGGTATATTGTGCTGGATTTAGTAGCTAAAGGCGCAAGGTGATCCACTCTTCATTACATTTCATACTTATCTGTTTGCAAAAACAAAATTCAATCAATATAGCTGACTTCCAAATTATGTCATTACTCATTTTCAGATTTTTACAACTCAAAGTCATCATTTATAGATTACTCCACTGATATAATTTTACACTATTGATATTTTATTATTTTGATACCAACTAAAATAGCAAGTTACACTTTTAATACCTTAGTACAAATATCATATTATGAACAATTAAAGAATAAAGAATTATTATTTTATAGTGCAAAAGAGCTGGTCTTTGATCTCCTTGATGTCATAAAAGAATCATTTGATAATGAAGTCACTCCATTCTTTGCCCTTGTCATGTGTCTCTGGGGTAAGTATATGTGTGCAATATGTGTGTACAATAAGTACATGTATGCAGTATACAATAAGTACACAGCATACAATAAGTACATTTAAGCATTATAAACAGTATGCAATAAGCACATATATGCAGTTTACAATAAGTACATATACACAGTAAACAATAAGTACACAACATACAATAAGTACATATAAACAGAATACAATAAGTACATATACACTGTATACAATAAGTAAACAGCATACAATAAGTACATGCATGCAGTATACAATAGTACACAGCATACAATAAGTACATTTAAGCAATATACAGTATGCGATAAGGACATACATGTATACACAGTATACTATAAGTACATATACACAGTAAACAATGAGTATTTAGTACCTATACACAGTTATGTCTCTTGGGTACACATATACATGTTGATAAATGATTGTTTGAAAACTTAAATATCTTCTACTGATTGAACCCATTCCCTCTTTTAAAAATTTTCATAATTGAACAAAATTAGAAATGACAACACAGAGTTATGGTTGTCATACATTGCTCTTGACAATAATATCATAGATTCTGCACAACATGAGAGAATGTTGGAAATGAAACATGGGGCTTAATGCAAGGCAGACCTTATAATCTTGATTAATAATCTTGATTAATATTTCCAGGTACATTGTTTCTTGAGGCTTGGAAGCGCAAGAATGCAACTCTAGCATATGAGTGGGATGTTGATTCATTTTCAATGAGTGAACCTGATAGACCACAGTTTGTGGGCACACATGAGAAACAGGTAAGAATGCAACTCTAGCATATGAGTGGGATGTTGATTCATTTTCAATGAGTGAACCTGATAGACCACAGTTTGTAGGCACGCATGAGAAACAGGTAAGAATGCAACTCTAGCATATGAGTGGGATGTTGATTCATTTTCAATGAGTGAACCTGATAGACCACAGTTTGTGGGCACACATGAGAAACAGGTAAGAATGCAACTCTAGCATATGAGTGGGATGTTGATTCATTTTCAATGAGTGAACCTGATAGACCACAGTTTGTAGGGACACATGAGAAACAGGTAAGAATGCAACTCTAGCATATGAATGGGATGTTGATTCATTTTCAATGAGTGAACTTAGACCACAGTTGGTAGACACACATGAGAAACAGGTAAGAATGCAACTCTAGCATATGAGTGGGATGTTGATTCATTTTCAATGAGTGAACCTGATAGACCACAGTTTGTAGGCACACATGAGAAACAGGTAAGAATGCAACTCTTGCATATGAGTGGGATGTTGATTCATATTCAATGAGTGAACCTGATAGACCACAGTTTGTAGGCACACATGGGAAACAGGTAAGAATGCAACTCTAGCATTTGAATGGGATGTTGATTCATTTTCAATGAGTGAACCTGATAGACCACAGTTTGTGGGCACACATGAGAAACAGGTAAGAATGCAACTCTAGCATTTGAATGGGATGTTGATTCATTTTCAATGAGTGAACCTGATAGACCACAGTTTGTGGGTACACATGAGAAACAGGTAAGAATGCAACTCTAGCATATGAATAGGATGTTGATTCATTTTCAATGAGTAAACCTGATAGACCACAGTTTGTAGGGACACATGAGAAACAGGTAAGAATGCAACTTTAGCATATGAGTGGGATGTTGATTCATTTTCAATGAGTGAACCTGATAGACCACAGTTTGTAGGCACACATGAGAACGGGTAAGAATGCAACTTTAGCATATGAGTGGGATGTTGATTCATATTCAATGTGTGAACCTGATAGACCACAGTTTGTAGGCACACATGAGAAACAGGTAAGAATGCAACTTTAGCATATGAGTGGGATGTTGATTCATTTTCAATGAGTGAACCTGATAGACCACAGTTTGTGGGCACACATGAGAAACAGGTAAGAATGCAACTCTAGCATATGAATGGGATGTTGATTCATTTTCAATGAGTGAACTTAGACCACAGTTTGTAGGCACACATGAGAAACAGGTAAGAATGCAACTTTAGCATATGAGTGGGATGTTGATTCATTTTCAATGAGTGAACCTGATAGACCACAGTTTGTGGGCACACATGAGAAACAGGTAAGAATGCAACTCTTGCATATGAATGGGATGTTGATTCATTTTCAATGAGTGAACCTGATAGACCACAGTTTGTAGGCACACATGAGAAACAGGTAAGAATGCAACTCTAGCATATGAGTGGGATGTTGATTCATTTTCAATGAGTGAACCTGATAGACCACAGTTTGTGGGCACACATGAGAAACAGGTAAGAATGCAACTCTAGCATATGAGTGGGATGTTGATTCATTTTCAATGAGTGAACCTGATAGACCACAGTTTGTAGGGACACATGAGAAACAGGTAAGAATGCAACTCTAGCATATGAGTGGGATGTTGATTCATTTTCAATGAGTGAACCTGATAGACCACAGTTTGTGGGCACACATGAGAAACAGGTAAGAATGCAACTCTTGCATATGAATGGGATGTTGATTCATTTTCAATGAGTGAACCTGATAGACCACAGTTTGTGGGCACACATGAGAAACAGGTAAGAATGCAACTCTTGCATATGAATGGGATGTTGATTCATTTTCAATGAGTGAACTTAGACCACAGTTTGTAGGCACACATGAGAAACAGGTAAGAATGCAACTCTAGCATATGAGTGTGATGTTGATTCATTCTCAATGAGTGAACCTGATAGACCACAGTTTGTGGGCACACATGAGAAACAGGTAAGAATGCAACTCTAGCATATGAGTGGGATGTTGATTCATATTCAATGAGTGAACCTGATAGACCACAGTTTGTGGGCACACATGAGAAACAGGTAAGAATGCAACTTTAGCATATGAGTGGGATGTTGATTCATTTTCAATGAGTGAACCTGATAGACCACAGTTTGTGGGCACACATGAGAAACAGGTAAGAATGCAACTCTAGCATATGAATGGGATGTTGATTCATATTCAATGTGTGAACCTGATAGACCACAGTTTGTAGGCACACATGAGAAACAGGTAAGAATGCAACTCTAGCATATGAGTGGGATGTTGATTCATTTTCAATGAGTGAACCTGATAGACCACAGTTTGTGGGCACACATGAGAAACAGGTAAGAATGCAACTCTAGGATATGAATGGGATGTTGATTCATTTTCAATGAGTGAACTTAGACCACAGTTTGTAGGCACACATGAGAAACAGGTAAGAATGCAACTCTAGCATATGAGTGGGATGTTGATTCATATTCAATGAGTGAACCTGATAGACCACAGTTTGTGGGCACACATGAGAAACAGGTAAGAATGCAACTCTAGCATATGAATGGGATGTTGATTCATATTCAATGTGTGAACCTGATAGACCACAGTTTGTAGGCACACATGAGAAACAGGTAAGAATGCAACTCTAGCATATGAGTGGGATGTTGATTCATTTTCAATGAGTGAACCTGATAGACCACAGTTTGTAGGCACACATGAGAAACAGGTAAGAATGCAACTATAGCATATGAATGGGATGTTGATTCATTTTCAATGAGTGAACCTGATAGACCACAGTTTGTAGGCACACATGAGAAACAGGTAAGAATGCAACTCTAGCATATGAATGGGATGTTGATTCATTTTCAATGAGTGAACCTGATAGACCACAGTTTGTGGGCACACATGAGAAACAGGTAAGAATGCAACTCTAGCATATGAGTGGGATGTTGATTCATTTTCAATGAGTGAACCTGATAGACCACAGTTTGTAGGCACACATGAGAAACAGGTAAGAATGCAACTCTAGCATATGAGTGGGATGTTGATTCATTTTCAATGAGTGAACCTGATAGACCACAGTTTGTGGGCACACACGAGAGAAACAGGTAAGAATGCAACTCTAGCATATGAATGGGATGTTGATTCATTTTCAATGAGTGAACCTGATAGACCACAGTTTGTGGGCACACATGAGAAACAGGTAAGAATGCAACTCTAGCATATGAGTGGGATGTTGATTCATTCTCAATGAGTGAACCTGATAGACCACAGTTTGTAGGCACACATGAGAAACAGGTAAGAATGCAACTTTAGCATATGAGTGGGATGTTGATTCATTTTCAATGAGTGAACCTGATAGACCACAGTTTGTAGGCACACATGAGAAACAGGTAAGAATGCAACTCTAGCATATGAGTGGGATGTTGATTCATATTCAATGAGTGAACCTGATAGACCACAGTTTGTGGGCACACATGAGAAACAGGTAAGAATGCAACTCTTGCATATGAATGGGATGTTGATTCATTTTCAATGAGTGAACCTGATAGACCACAGTTTGTGGGCACACGTGAGAAACAGGTAAGAATGCAACTCTAGCATATGAATGGGATGTTGATTCATTTTCAATGAGTGAACCTGATAGACCACAGTTTGTGGGCACACGTGAGAAACAGGTAAGAATGCAACTCTAGCATATGAATGGGATGTTGATTCATTTTCAATGAGTGAACCTGATAGACCACAGTTTGTAGGCACACATGAGAAACAGGTAAGAATGCAACTCTAGCATATGAATGGGATGTTGATTCATTTTCAATGAGTGAACCTGATAGACCACAGTTTGTGGGCACACGTGAGAAACAGGTAAGAATGCAACTCTAGTATATGAGTGGGATGTTGATTCATTCTCAATGAGTGAACCTGATAGACCACAGTTGGTAGACACACATGAGAAACAGGTAAGAATGCAACTCTAGCATATGAGTGGGATGTTGATTCATTTTCAATGAGTGAACCTGATAGACCACAGTTTGTGGGCACACGTGAGAAACAGGTAAGAATGCAACTCTAGTATATGAGTGGGATGTTGATTCATTTTCAATGAGTGAACCTGATAGACCACAGTTTGTAGGCACACATGAGAAACAGGTAAGAATGCAACTCTAGCATACGAGTGGGATGTTGATTCATATTTAATGAGTGAACCTGATAGACCACAGTTTGTGGGCACACGTGAGAAACAGGTAAGAATGCAACTCTAGCATATGAGTGGGATGTTGATTCATATTTAATGAGTGAACATAGACCACAGTTTGTGGGCACACATGAGAAACAGGTAAGAATGCAACTCTAGCATATGAATGGGATGTTGATTCATTTTTAATGAGTGAACCTGATAGACCACAGTTTGTGGGCACACATGAGAAACAGGTAAGAATGCAACTCTTGCATATGAATGGGATGTTGATTCATTTTCAATGAGTGAACCTGATAGACCACAGTTTGTAGGGACACATGAGAAACAGGTAAGAATGCAACTCTAGCATATGAGTGGGATGTTGATTCATTTTCAATGAGTGAACCTGATAGACCACAGTTTGTAAGCACACATGAGAAACAAGTAAGAATGCAACTCTTGCATATGAATGGGATGTTGATTCATTTTCAATGAGTGAACTTAGACCACAGTTTGTGGGCACACATGAGAAACAGGTAAGAATGCAACTCTTGCATATGAATGGGATGTTGATTCATATTCAATGAGTGAACCTGATAGACCACAGTTTGTAGGCACACATGAGAAACAGGTAAGAATGCAACTCTAGCATATGAGTGGGATGTTGATTCATTTTCAATGAGTGAACCTGATAGACCACAGTTTGTAGGCACACATGAGAAACAGGTAAGAATGCAACTCTAGCATATGAGTGGGATGTTGATTCATTTTCAATGAGTGAACCTGATAGACCACAGTTTGTAGGCACACATGAGAAACAGGTAAGAATGCAACTCTAGCATATGAGTGGGATGTTGATTCATTTTCAATGAGTGAACCTGATAGACCACAGTTTGTAGGCACACATGAGAAACAGGTAAGAATGCAACTCTAGCATATGAGTGGGATGTTGATTCATATTCAATGTGTGAACCTGATAGACCACAGTTTGTGGGCACACATGAGAAACAGGTAAGAATGCAACTCTAGCATATGAGTGGGATGTTGATTCATTTTCAATGAGTGAACTTAGACCACAGTTTGTAGGCACACATGAGAAACAGGTAAGAATGCAACTCTAGCATATGAGTGGGATGTTGATTCATATTCAATGTGTGAACCTGATAGACCACAGTTTGTAGGCACACATGAGAAACAGGTAAGAATGCAACTCTAGCATATGAGTGGGATGTTGATTCATTTTCAATGAGTGAACCTGATAGACCACAGTTTGTGGGCACACATGAGAAACAGGTAAGAATGCAACTCTAGCATATGAATGGGATGTTGATTCATATTCAATGAGTGAACCTGATAGACCACAGTTTGTGGGCACACGTGAGAAACAGGTAAGAATGCAACTTTAGCATATGAGTGGGATGTTGATTCATTTTCAATGAGTGAACCTGATAGACCACAGTTTGTGGGCACACATGAGAAACAGGTAAGAATGCAACTTTAGCATATGAGTTGGATGTTGATTCATATTCAATGAGTGAACCTGATAGACCACAGTTTGTAGGCACACATGAGAAACAGGTAAGAATGCAACTTTAGCATATGAGTGTGATGTTGATTCATATTCAATGAGTGAACCTGATAGACCACAGTTTGTAGGCACACATGAGAAACAGGTAAGAATGCAACTCTAGCATATGAATGGGATGTTGATTCATTTTCAATGAGTGAACCTGATAGACCACAGTTTGTGGGCACACATGAGAAACAGGTAAGAATGCAACTCTAGCATATGAGTGGGATGTTGATTCATTTTCAATGAGTGAACCTGATAGACCACAGTTTGTGGGCACACATGGGAAACAGGTAAGAATGCAACTCTTGCATATGAATGGGATGTTGATTCATTTTCAATGAGTGAACCTGATAGACCACAGTTTGTAGGCACACATGAGAAACAGGTAAGAATGCAACTCTAGCATATGAGTGGGATGTTGATTAATATTCAATGAGTGAACCTGATAGACCACAGTTTGTGGGCACACATGAGAAACAGGTAAGAATGCAACTCTAGTATATGAGTGGGATGTTGATTCATTCTCAATGAGTGAACCTGATAGACCACAGTTGGTAGACACACATGAGAAACAGGTAAGAATGCAACTCTAGCATATGAGTGGGATGTTGATTCATTTTCAATGAGTGAACCTGATAGACCACAGTTTGTGGGCACACATGAGAAACAGGTAAGAATGCAACTCTAGCATATGAATGGGATGTTGATTCATATTCAATGAGTGAACCTGATAGACCACAGTTTGTGGGCACACATGAGAAACAGGTAAGAATGCAACTCTAGCATTTGAATGGGATGTTGATTCATTTTCAATGAGTGAACCTGATAGACAACAGTTTGTAGGCACACATGAGAAACAGGTAAGAATGCATCTCTTGCATATGAGTGGGATGTTGATTCATTTTCAATGAGTGAACCTGATAGACCACAGTTTGTAGGCACACATGAGAAACAGGTAAGAATGCAACTTTAGCATATGAGTGGGATGTTGATTCATTTTCAATGAGTGAACCTGATAGACCACAGTTTGTGGGCACACATGAGAAACAGGTAAGAATGCAACTCTAGCATATGAGTGGGATGTTGATTCATATTCAATGAGTGAACCTGATAGACCACAGTTTGTGGGCACACATGAGAAACAGGTAAGAATGCAACTCTAGCATATGAGTGGGATGTTGATTCATTTTCAATGAGTGAACCTGATAGACCACAGTTTGTAGGCACACATGAGAAACAGGTAAGAATGCAACTTTAGCATATGAGTGGGATGTTGATTCATTTTCAATGAGTGAACCTGATAGACCACAGTTTGTGGGCACACATGAGAAACAGGTAAGAATGCAACTCTTGCATATGAATGGGATGTTGATTCATTTTCAATGAGTGAACCTGATAGACCACAGTTTGTGGGCACACATGAGAAACAGGTAAAGGCCACATACAAATAACATATTTGCTGAACAGTTAATGCCTACGTGGACGGTGTTGTCAAATAATGCCTATAAGGGACAATTCAATATTTTTTTTTGTAATTTTAACAGGTTAGCATTTAGACCTAATCTTTCATTTTAGGCAATATTAATATAGAGTTGAAAATTACGTTAACATCAACCATTTTTTCAATAATATTTTTGTTATAGTATTTTATGTTACACTATTTTATAATAATAAAGAATAGTATACATACATTATTCTACATTACCTCTTAAAATACAAAATGTATTTTTCCCTCGTGAAATTTTGACAGTCTTAGGCGAAATATTTTCTGTAAATTACAGTTACAACAGGTTTCTGTTACAGAATGGAAACCGCCACACCCTCGGAAAAGCGCCTTTTTTCAAAACGTGTTTTACTACATTGAAATTCCCTTGTCTTTAAGAAATCTTTAGTAGTAGGACTGACTGGATTAATTCAGTCTTGAAGTACAAAGGTTATCTATAGATGACTTGATTGTTCACGTATATTGCCAGTTAAATTGAGTTCATTATTTTGAGACTGGAATATTCAAGTTTTACCAATAATACTGGAATATCCAAGTTTCACTGGTGATACTGGAATATTCAAGTTTTACCAGTAATACTGGAATATTTAAGTTTCTCCAGTGTTCTCCAGTGTTTCTCCAAGTCTCTCCAGTGATACTTGAATATTCCAGTATTACTGGTAAAACTTGAATATTCCAGTATCACCAGTGAAACTTGGATATTCCAGTATAACTGGTGAAACTTGAATATTCCAGTATCACTGGTAAAACTTGAATATTCAAGTCTCAAAATAATGAACTCAATTTAACTGGCAATATACGTGAACAATCAAGTCATCTATAGATAACCTTTGTACTTCAAGACTGAATTAATCCAGTCAGTCATACATGTCATACAACTTAAGATATTTTAAGGACAAGGGAATTTCAATGTGGTACACGTTTTGAAAAAAGGCGCTTTTCCGAGGGTGTGGCGGTTTCCATTCTCTAACAGAAACCTGTTTTACCCATATTATCAAATATAACTCATAATATCATTTCCAGGACCCTGTGAATCCAGAGGAGACCATGTGGTATTACCCATTGACGAGACAGGCTGGTTGGTTCCTGACCTCTGGCTCCGTTCTCATTATTATGGTAAGTACATGTTTATAGATTTTTAGATGTATTGAAACTTGACAGTTTCGAATTGTAATTGTGCAAAAATTGCTTTATTCCAATTAAACAATTTTTCAATGAATTTCTTGAGTTATGGATCTACAGTTTCAGAAGATAACATTTAGTGTCAATACATGTAAGTCATCCTTATTCCCTGGAAGGAGCGAGTAAATGAGCAATGTTGCGCTAAAAATTCTAATGTACTCATTTTAAGTGGAATATTGATTTTGGTTTGACTGTTTGAGTACATTTATGTTAGGGATTGGATCAATGATAAGGAAAGGTTGCGCTGACATTTTGTCCAGTCCCAAAAAGAATTTGCTGCCAGACCTCCACATCAATATTTGATCTTGACTTGAATTGGCTGCCAGACCTCCAACTCAATATTGAACCTTGACCTGAATTGGCTGCCAGACCTCCAACTCAATATTCAACCTTGACCTGAATTGACTGCCAGACCTCCAACTCAATATTCAACCTTGACCTGAATTGGCTGCCAGACCTCCAACTCAATATTCAACCTTGACCTGAATTGACTGCCAGACCTCCAACTCAATATTCGACCTTGACCTGAATTGGCTGCCAGACCTCCAACTCAATATTCAACCTTGACCTGAATTGGCTGCCAGACCTCCAACTCAATATTCGACCTTGACCTGAATTGGCTGACAGACCTCCAACTCTATATTCAATCTTGACCTGAATTGGCTGCCAGACCTCCAACTCAATATTTGACCTTGACCTGAATTGGCTGCCAGACCTCCAACTCAATATTCAACCTTGACCTGAATTGACTGCCAGACCTCAAACTCAATATTCGACCTTGACCTGAATTGGCTGCCAGACCTCCAACTCGATCAATATTCGACTTTGACCTGAATTGGCTGCCAGACCTCCCAACTCAATATTCGACCTTGACCTGAATTGGCTGCCAGACCTCCAACTCAATATTCGACCTTGACCTGAATTGGCTGACAGACCTCCAACTCAATATTCCACCTTGACCTGAATTGGCTGACAGACCTCCAACTCAATATTCGACCTTGACCTTGATCGCTGCAACATTGAAAAGATTTGAACTAATATTTTGATCACTTCTTGTGTGTTTTGAAATTTTATGTTTGGAAATAAGACCAACACTCGCGATTGGAATTCTGAGGTGAAAAACTGGAGGCTGTTTGATTTCGAATTTTGTAATCACGACATAATGACATGACTCTTTACCTGTTTCTCATGGCAGAATATCGAAATGGAACCCTGGGAGCTAATCCTCCTTTGTCCAGTCCCTTATTTGTGTTAGTTCCTCACTACCTTTGCAAGTTTTTTTTTTAGTATTAGTATATATAGAGTTTATATATTGCAGATATTGATGGTATTCATCAGTGTAGCCTCAGTGATCTTATACAGGGTGATAATGATGGTGGATTACTGTCAATATATGAGTGCAGTCGAGTGCGTTCTGGTCACCACCATCGCAGGGTCCTTACTAAATGCAATCTCAATACTCATTCTGGGACGTATATACGAGTTCCTAGCAGCCAAATTAACAGAATGGGGTAAGTAATATATGTGCCATAATACCATACCTTCATCAATGGTATGTTGACAGATTTCCCCCATAAAATAATGTTAAGAAACTTTATTCATCAGAACATTTTCATCTCTCTTTATTTATTTTTTCTCATTTAACTAGTTGTTTATACTTGGTTTTAGTTGCTCATATGTATTTAAATATTCTATGTTGTATTACATTTGTGGTGTTCATTTATATGCTATATAAGATGCATTTACTCTACTTAAAGCAATAACCAAAAACTGAATGGAAAACAGTAATGTTTTTTCTATATTCATATATTTTTACTTGCAGAGAATCACCGTACCCAGACTGCCCATGACAATGCACTCATCATCAAGCTGTTTGCTTTCCAATTTGCCAATTGCTACTCATCACTCTTCTACATTGCTTTCTTCAGAGGGGTAAGTTCTTAGTTCTAGCTAACTAATTATACACCATTTAAAGGTTTACGGGAGACCCCCCCCCAAGCAGGGAGGGTCAGGAATTTGACACAGAGTATTGGGGTGGGATTCTGACTTATAACTTTTTAAATGCTTATTCAATGTTATTTTGTTCAGAACTTTTGATTTGTTTCAGAATCAATATTTGAGATTTCATCAAAGGTCAGGAACAGTTATTCTCTATTTATCGCATCCTACGACCCCCACTACGTTTGAGGTCTTATGTGCGAATCAACCACATATTAGTAGTATTTTCTCCAACTTTGTAAAAACATTGACTGACCAATGGTTCGCGCGTACAACCACAATCTAAAGTGGTCGTAAGGATTCTATAAATTCTGTATACATGTATTTTGACCCAACCTTGAACTCTTCTTTTGTACAGGATCCTGGAGAAAATGGTGTGTTGGGATTGGGACCTCAATATAAAGATGACTGTGGGAGAAACAACAACTGTATGTCCATGTTGTCTTTCCAAATCCTCATCCTCATGATTGTCAAACCTGTTGTCAAGTTCTCTAAGGATATCATTCTGCCGTAAGTAATACAACTCTCATTTGGCTTTTTCATTTGTTGATGCTGTGCAACTAAAAGTGTTTTCAGTTATCTCCTCTCAATGACCCTCAGTGACCTTCAAAAGGTCAAAAGTTTGTTTTTTCTAAATTATACATTTTTGGATATTAATATTCAAAAGATAATTATAGGAAGGTGAAAAAATATAGGAGAAGCAGTCATTAAATCATCCGAAGTGCTCATCTCACCAGGCATCCATTATTATTTGTACCCAATGAGGAATGCAATCACCAATATACTTAATGTGTATGCTATAACTTGATCTGTCACAACCAGTTCAACAAGTGAATTATCAAGCACTTTACTAAATCTTACATTTTAATTTGTTTTGAAGGTGGCTGAAAGAGCTTTTCAGGAATCGAAAATGTTGTCGAAAAAGTAATAAAACTGATCCAGTAGATGAGACAAAAGTTAAAATTTACACCCCTCAGCGCCAAAAGATCCGAGACTACATTGAAGCTGAGTACAAGAAACCGAAGCTTGGTGACTTCACATTGGGCGAATACACTGAGAAGGTCATTCAATATGGCTACCTTATGGTAAGTACAGTAACTCTGGTTATAGAGATGATCCGAATGCCTCATAACTCATTTCAGAGAGTTCATCATACATGTCAGATCAGCCTCTGTCAACTCTCAGATTTCTTTAATCTAAAGAGGCATTAACCAGCACATGGCCTTTGTCAGTCATTAATATGTTCACAGAAATATTTTTGGAGATGCACTCTTTATGAGTAGCATCACAATGAATTAGCTTATGCATATTTTAGAGTTGAATGATTTTAGTAGCACTCATAGTGAATGTAGGCCCATCAATAGTAATACAATATCATAAATTCTTTTACATTGAGCACTTATTATTTTATTTGAAAGATATGTAAATATCTGTTGCATATTACATCTTCATGCAATTTTTGTTTTCAGTTGTTTGCCTCTTCATTTCCACTGGCCCCTCTGATAGCCTTTTTCACACATTTGTTTGACATTGTCACTGATGCAAAACGTATGCTTTGGTGGTACAGGAGACCCCTTAGTGTCATCGCAGATAATATAGGTAAGTCTCTTCTTCATATGAAATTCAGTTTAACTTGAACCTACATTTAAAATTGAGCTTAATTTTTAAACTTCTTATAAGATTGAGCTTAACTTAAATCTTCTCATGAAATTGAGCTTAACTTAACATTTCATATGAATTAAACCTTGAGCTTAACTTAACCTTGAACTCATTCAACTTTCTGTGTTTATGTAATGTACTATAGTATGAGAGTCAGGACTTTAAATGTATCTGTACCTGGAACTAATTGGGATTTACAGAGGTATAGTGATTTAAGCATGTACAGTAAAACCTATCAAATGGAACACCTCTATATGTGGAACACCTTTGTAATTTGAACACCTTTCAGAGTCCCTTGAGCCATTGACTTAATTTTAATGAACCCCTTTACTGGAACCCCTAAGCGAAAGTAGAACCAAGAGTGTTCCACTTAGACAAGTTTTACTGTACATGGAAATTGATCATAGTGGACTAAACACAGTACATTTATTTATATTCAAATTGCTCTTTGCCTGCAGGGATGTGGTATGGGATCCTTCAATTCCTCAATGTGGCAGGTGTAGTGAGCAATGCATTCATCATTGCATTTACATCACAATGGGGAAAGCAATACAATGAATATGAGAAGCTTTGGTTAGTCATCTTATTTGAGGTACGTCAACATTTTATATTAACTTTGTGGTTCTAGATAATTGCACCTGTTACAACAACCTAGCAAGGTTCGTGAAAGCTTCTTCGATATTTGAGGTGTTTCACGGGCACAAATATCCTAGCTTTTTGTCAAAATGCTCCATACAATTTAGTCATGTTGCGTAAAAGGCTCCGATGTTACATGAGTGTCCATTATGTGGCTGTTTTTAAATTTATAACTGATTTTTAGTTTTCAATTAACTATTCACTTATTTTTAGTCATTTTAGTAAAATGTAAGCTTTAATGTTTATAATCTTCTTGTAACTGAAATATTTAATATTGTAATTCATTTTGACATAATAATGCAGTTGACATTTTCTCTGTTTGATAAGGCTATTCAAAGTTATTATATGTTTAACATTATGTAAAGTAACTTAATCTTAGGAGGCTGGGAGGGGACATTAAACATATATTTAACTTTGAATGGACGAAATTGCATGTTTGTTTCTATACTAGGTCGAGTATAAGATTCCAAAGGATTAGATTTAGATTCATATATTAATGATGTTAATTTTGAGTTTCAGCATATTTTCAGGTAGATGTATATCTAACCATTAAAATATCAATGGTGATACACACCTAGATGTAATTCAAAATTTGATTTCATCAAAACTGACCTACATATGATCCTCACTATAGTCCATAATTAGGCGGCCCCAACCTATTAATTTTATAGATATTCTTTATTATTTTGTTAAATCCATCTACCTTTCATTTTCAGGTAGATATGTATATCTAAGCAGAGGATCTAAAATTCTGATTCCTTCAGAACTGACCTACCTGCAAATGTTACTGCATTAATGACATTGTATTATTTAATCCATCTATCATCCATTTATTCCTTTTAGCACATTGTGTTCTTAATCAAGTACATTCTCGGCGTAATTATACCAGACGTACCCAAGGAAGTCAAACTTTGGATGAGAAGGGTAATCTCCAAGCAGATGCTTAAAATACCATACCCCTGTACCCATAGACATTGCCTTTAGAAATGCAGACCCACCCATCCTGAAATATATTTCAACATGCTTTTAAGAGAGGCCAAAACAGAATATTAGAGAATATTTGAGTTAATGCTCATGTTTACAAAATGGCAGTGTTTATGGCTGTAAGTTAGACTGAATCATTTGAAAAATGTCACTGGTGATTCTTTTAATCCAAGATGGCCGACAGTATAAGGAGATTTTGACGAAGCCAACTGAAACCTGGTGGGTCTGCACTTTTATTCAGTGGGATGGGAATACATGGCACTTTATTTAGCTTTATTGTATTGTAGTGTCGTGTGATGTTGGCAACGTTCTCTATGCATATTAGTTAGAGAATCATACTATATATTATCAAATCATCCCCTCCCATTCACCCCTTTCCATTGCACATATATCTTACACATATACACTGTACTAATTTTGAAGATGAAAAGTATATTAATTAATGATTTTTCCTGCATGATAGATACATATTTCTACTACTGATTCGAACAAGCTAAGTCAGCCCAAGGACATTGCATTTATGAAAGATACTTTGCAAACAGCACAAAATTAAGAGACATTAGAATTTAATTATTTTACAAAGTATGCATTTATTTACTTAGCACGCAGTTATAGCTGTGAAGCTAATCTTCCATATTACAATACCAGATATGCCCAGAAGTGTAAAGAGAACACAAAGAAGGGTACATTGCATGTCAACTTTTCAATTATAACAAAGTCACAAGAATAGATATATTATAAAGCCGCAACAATATCACAAATCATAACAAAGTCACAAGAACATATTTAAGTCACACCTAGGTCACAAACATATTTAAGTCACACCTAGGTCACAAACATATTTAAGTCACACCTAGGTCACAAACATATTTAAGTCACACCTAGGTCACAAATCATAAGTAACAACAAAAAGTGTTCCAAAAGCCCAAATTATTCAGAAGTAAGGTGTCTACATTTACATGGCTTTTAACATGGAACCCTATAGTGGATTAAAATGGGACCCCAATAAAGTACAAAAAGTATTCACATGGAGAGGTGTTTAGATTAGAAAGGTGGAAAGGATACACAAGTTTTACTATACTTTATTTAATAGCTTTCATTTGTGGATGATGCAGCCAAGTTTCTGCTGCCAATTCTGCTTCTAGAAGGGATTGCCTCATGGGTTTCACGTACAATTTTACATGTAATCCAGTTTATTAACAAGATGTTTAACTTTAGAATGGCTAATTTTTAAATAAAGGTTACACTTGAAATGGGATTTCTACATGTTAATGGTAATGAAACTGCCACTGATCACCTATCTACTTGCATAACAAAACAATTACATGTGGAATACAGTTCAAACCTATGAGGCAATACCTATTGCATATAACTGTAATACCAATTGCATATAACTGTAATACCTATTGCATATTACTGTAATACCAATTGCATATTACTGTAATACCAATTGCATATTACTGTAATACCAATTGCATATTACTGTAATACCAATTGCATATTACTGTAATACCAATTGCATATTACTGTAATACCAATTGCATATTACTGTAATACCAATTGCATATTACTGTAATACCAATTGCATATTACTGTAATACCTTATCACAATGGAGTTTTTACTAGTAATTTAGAAGCTTCATTTCAAATTGCATGCTTAAAGATAACATAATGCTTCACAATTAATTAAGTCATCTTAGCTCACTGTCGCTTAGTTCTTGATTCTCCTGTCACTTGTAGCATGCTGTCTTTCTGGTGAAATTCATCCTTGCAATGTTAATTCCCGATGTACCAGCGAGTGTTAAGTTGCATAAGAAAATGGTGAGTTTCGAATACTTTCCTTTGTTTACCAATTGCACTGAAAAAAATTGCACTGTTTGTATAGGGATACATTGACAGCCATTTGTTTTTCTTTCAAAATGGTGGTCATCTTTCAAAGTGATGGTGATCTTTCAAAATGGTGGTCATCATCTTTCAAAATGATGGTCATCTTTCGAAGTAATGGTCTTCTTTCAAAGTGATGGTCTTCTTTCAAAATGGTGGTCATCATCTTTCAAAACGATGGTCATCTTTCTAAGTAATGGTCTTCTTTCAAAATGGTGGTCATCTTTCAAAATGGTGGTCATCATCTTTCAAAACGATGGTCATCTTTCCAAGTAATGGTCTTCTTTCAAAATGGTGGTCATCATCTTTCAAAACGATGGTCATCTTTCCAAGTTATGGTCTTCTTTCAAAGTGATGGTCTTCTTTCAAAATGGTGGTCATCTTTCAAAATGGTGGTCATCTTTTAAAATGGTGGTCATCTTTCAAAGTGATGGTCATCTTTCAAAATGGTGGTTGAGAACCAACAATTTAAAGTTTTTCATGTCTATAGATTGGAACCACTAATTTCAGTGAAATTCAGGCACATCAAGCTTATTCTTTAATCTAATGTGATGAAAAAGAACAATTAATTAATTAATTACATTAATTGATCATGGACATCCAAATGAGAGTACTTGTTTTCTGATTTTATTGTATCAATTGCCAAAAGCATGAAAGTACCAATCGCTTCACACTTTTGGTTCACAATAATTGGAGAAATTAATTTTTCAAAACTTAGGACATGAATCGTAGAATCTTCAAGAGATTCTTCCTTTCTTGAATTTGAGAATGCTAAATCCATATAAAAGCTAGTTCCACTGCTAAGGGGAATTTCAAAGCCACAATTCCTTGGAAAAATGAAGTAAAATTGATGGAGTCAAATGAGTTAGATTATCTATTCCAGTTTACCATTTTGTCAGAAAGGCTGCTAGCTGTCAATGTATCTTGAATAGACTCTCACTGAGTTTGGTATTAATTCAAACCCCTGTGCACTGCCAATCTCAAACAGTGCTATGCAGTTCTGTGAAAACAGTACTGTATAGAGCTGTTGCTTAAACAGTGCTGTACAGTACAGCACAGCACTTGAACTGCGCTGTTCAGTACTGTTAAAACATTACTGTAAGAAGATAACGTGGATTAGGGGATGTATTTCTCCTTTCCCATGCATTGCATTGATAGATAAGGTGGGGGTGACAATAGACATGGTACAAGACTTGTATGTTTTAAGTGCCCCTATAATTTATGAAAAATTGAATAGTTTTGCTATTATACAGGGTGGTCAAAAACAGAAACCCTGCATTTTCCTTATATCTTTGTCATTTTGAAAAATTACTCCCTGATATTTCACACATTTGTACATCATTCAATTTCCTACCAATGTTTCCCGACAGCGCAATAGTGGCCACTGGGGCATGTTCTTTAAAGTGCTGTAATATTGTGATTGTCACTCTGGTGGTCATGAAATAAAGTAAGGTGGTAGGAAATTGAATTATGTACAAATGTGTAAAATATCAGGGAGTTATTTCTTAAAATGACAAATATTTGAGGAAAATGGTGTAAGGGTTTCCATTTTTTTGACAACCCTGTACAATTTTATATGGATTGAAGCATGCTTACATATATAAGAGTTTGATGTCAATGCTATATAAAAAATGTATGTTTTATTTATTTATTCATTCAATAGAAAATAGTAATTACTGTATTGACCATCAAGTCTAACAAAAAACTTTCATTTTTATGTCACGACCAATCAGAGGTAATGTTTGTTATAGCCATTTTGATGGCCTACATTTGATGTCAGTGCTCAGTGTCTGTAACAAACTGTTACATTTTGTAACAATTTGCAATAAGTTCCCAGGTGGTGACATTTTGTTATGTTAATACCTTGTATCAAGGCTTGTACCTACTTAAGCGCCTCAGAAGCACGGTTGATTCTTTTATGGTTAAAGTTAGGAAACTAGTAAGTTGTATTTTTCCTCATAAATACTCACTATCATTCAATACATGGATTAACCATACCTTTTACAGGAGAAATACCAAGTGTCTCGTATTCTCCATGAGGCCGCAGTGGATAAGGCTCTTAGCAAAAGTTCACCAGATCAGCAGTCTATGTACAGTCAGCTAGGCTCGTAAGTAATCAAACCAATTGTAAAAGCAAGATTTTGTCTTTATTCTTTAGATTAGAGGTAATCTTTGATCAACCAAATTAAAATCGGAATATGTTGACAGAAAATCAGGCCATGAAAGCTAAGCTAAGATCTTTTTTTTGTCAAAGGAATCGTGATATTCTGATAATATAATATTGTAATATGGATTATGCATAAAACAAAATGAAAGAAAGATGTAATTAAGAATAAATGAGTGCAACATTCACGGCAACAATATAAATTAATTTCATAATGAATAAAAAACTATGAGACTTATTTCTAGATAATTCTATTTTTCCATTTTTATGAGAAAGGTGATCGTTTACTTAACTGCAATGAATACTGCCTTTTAGAGCTCCCGCCAGTAAAGAGAGTCTCTCTCGTTCCTCCAGACTTGATTCCCAATCCCAGAGGCCTGAAGCCAATTCCCCAAGGCCTACCCAAGATGAAGATATGCTTTCTGAAAGTGGACATCTTAGGAGACGGAAAAATAGGTAAAATATCAGTCATTTTGAAGACATACATATATATGGCAAAAATAGCTGTGGGAGGGTGCCTTTTGGTATATACATGTAGTAGTTTTCTATTGTAGTTTTATTGTTTCTTTGATACAACTCTACAGTATTATCTGTGTTTTCAAATGTTTGATAATTGAAAGTTTGGTTGGCTTAATGTAGTGAATCTCAGCGGAATGGGAAGTCAACTGTTTTTGTGAAATCATGTACCAATAAGTGAGTGCCATTCCATGCTGCTATGATTAAACAGGCCCATAGCCAGGGGGGGGGGGGGGTTCGATGGGTTCAAGCAAACCCCCCCTCCCCTGGCCAAAAATTCTTTCAAAATCATGTAGTTTTTCACATGTTAAGTGATTTTGGCCATTTTTGGACCAATATTGTCAAAAGTGAATCCCCCCCTGGAAATTTTCAAAAAGTGAACCCCCCTTGACAAATCCTGGCTACGGGCCTGTTAAATGTTAATGGATGCTTCAGTAGTCTAAACTATAATGTGATACTTTTTCAGCCCAATGAACCGAGAAGAAGGCAATGATGTAGTCGATGGTCCTGCCCCTCTAAGGAGACCAGATTATATGGACTCACCACAGGGCTCCACAGCAAGCATAGGTCAGTCATATGTTAAATACATGAACATCTCATGTCACATGTGTACGTGTAGCACATCTCCCACGTGTAGCACATCTCTCACGTGTAGCATATCTCTCACGTGTAGCACATCTCTCACGTGTAGCACATCTCTCACGTGTAGCACATCTCATACGTGTAGCACATCTCTCACGTGTAACACATCACGTGTAGCACATCTCTCACGTGTAGCACATCTCTCACGTGTAGCACATCTCATACGTGTAGCACATCTCTCACGTGTAACACATCACGTGTAGCACATCTCTCACGTGTAGCACATCTCTCACGTGTAGCACATCTCTCACGTGTAGCACATCTCTCACGTGTAGCACATCTCTCATGTGTAGCATATCTCTCACGTGTAGCACATCTCTCACTAGCTTTCTATTTTTTTCTTCATTTTTGAAGTATATCGAGATGAGTATCAAAATGTACCAGTTGCTACACATGGTTGAGAAATTAAATATTTCTTGCAAATAGTTAAAAGTCTATTCTCTCCTATTTGATGATTTGGAAAAGAAAAATTATAGCAAAATTGGGATTTTTCAACCAGTTTTTGACATTTCCCAGTCAGAGTAAATGAAATGAGAATTTTTAGCTTTTAAGTGAGACAACCAAGACAGATGAATAAATTTAATTGAAAATAGAAATATATGTACAGTATTTCACAATACAAATTATGGTGTTAGACAGCCAGTTCAAGTATTTAGTGTTAAAATCATTGTCTCTCAAATTAAGATCATTGTTCTAGATCGTGATGATGCTCAGCTATTACCTACTAAGAAGAAAAACAAGAAAAGTCCAAGAAAAAAACGAAATCCAGATGTTGGTGACACCAATTTAGATGATTCATCACCAAATATGGGCATGGATGACAATGGATCACAATTGCCGAATCAGGGCGGGGAACTGGAAATGGATGAGATCTCAAATAATAACAAAAGGTATTTAAGAGTAGTTAAGAGTCGTTTAGCATGTGTTTGATTTGGCCGAAAATCAAAGCAGAACGTATTAACATATTAACAGTGTTCTAAAATCCAGGTTTCAATAGTGTTTTAGAATGGTATTAATAATTGTGTTCTGAAATTGAAGTATAGGAATGGTTTTTCTGAACTTCAAGTATTAACATTATGTGGAAATTCATTTTTTGGGATTTTCCAGTAACCATAGTTACTAGTAGATTTCATATTCTTGAGGTACAAAATGTGTGATTGTTGGTTTGAATAGAATATGTTTTCAAGCTCATGAAGAAGGGGTAACCATGGGTTCCAATTTCTTGCATTTTGTCTTTCAACTTATTAGTTTCAAAATTGCGTTTTTAAGAAAACGAATTCACAAGAGCACATTAATACGTCACTCTGAAAAGCCACAATTCATGTTTGCTAAACACAACATTATGAGAATGGATTGTAAAAAAACTTGGATTAATGACTTTTTGGGACGAAAAATTAATTATTTTGTTTTTGTCTGGCATAAATGGAACCTAAGTTTTGGTGCTGAACATAAAAAATGAAATTATTTCAATTTTGTCTAAAATAGTAATCAGTCCAAGTATTTGCTGAATTCAATTTTAAGAAATTCTGTTCACTTAAAAGGGAATATGTGCTCTAAATGTGCTATGTTTACATATTCATCATACAGCTTCGTACTATTTCTCTTACAGACCACAAGCTCAGCAAGTGAGAATTCACCAGTAGCTTGCTTTTTGTCACCAAATAATGCTGCTTTAGCATTTTAAATTATATTAGTGGTTTGGGTGCATCATAAGAACTTCAGTTCTGGAGGATAAAATTGAATTATGAGTCATTTATGTGACTTTATATACTGAAATAAAATGGTTGCTCTCATTATAATTTAATATGCAAGTTCTTATGTTGCACCCATATTTATTTTAGAAATGTTTGGATCAATGTCTATACTGTTTTAGATTGTTTAGCTTACAGGATGCTTCTTAGGATGTATTAATTATTGTTAAGATATGTTCATCATGATGAAGCTTAGATAGGCTGTATGTTTGAGGTATTAAGTACATAGAGGTGTCTTATCATGTATGCCTGCATGTATGTAATAGACTATAACTTTTATTTTCATAAAGCATGATTAAATTGAAAAAAGCTTGTATTTAGGATTCGTATTCGGTTTGAAAAAGCAAACCTATAATTGAGTGTATTCCAAGATAAACCAAATCCCTCATACACATCTTTCAATGTATGTTTAGAACTTGTTATATTTTGACAGATATGACTATGACCATGGGATAACTCCAAAGAAAGTATCATATCCTCCCCTTCATAGAAGGTGTGTAATGTGTATGGAACACAACATTGATTGATTGTTAAGTTTGTGTCTGACCATTGTAATCATTTATAATACAATACTGCACATGATTTCTCTAACCCCCCCCCTCCCTCAGTCCTTTAGCCTACATACAAGTACCATCTACACCCAAGCAGAGATTTTGAGATAAATATGATATATTATGCCCAGATTTTAATAATTTCCAGCTATTGCATGTTCCATTCTTCCATCTAGCTTATATATGAAATAATTAAGGTACACTGCTGGTCATGTTTCCCACTCAGCTCAATTCTAGCCAGCTGACTTCCTTAATCTCAATCAGATATGCTTGGCTTATTTTAGTATTTGTACCTGGGTAGCATGCTTTTGGTTTGAATTAGAAAATTATCCTAAAATATAGATTATACCACCCAGGAATAGCCTGACAACGGTTAAGTCCGGACATAACCGTCGCTTCAATTCTTCAATCACTTGGTCCTCGTTTCATAAGACTTTATCGTCGTAAATTCTGTGCATGATTTCATATGATACATCATCACAAGAGCTTAATACATGCACAAAATTAGCGACGATAAAGTCCCATGAAATGAGGACCAAGTGATTGAAGAGTTGAAGCGACGGTTATGTTCGCCATTTGTGACAACGGTATCTGACTTTACCGTTGTCAGGCTACTCTAGTGTGATACGTGAACTAACTTAACTAATGACAATGGAAATATTGAACACTGTTTTTGGAATTTGTGTCATTTGTGTTATTCTTTTAAAACTGTAATACACATGATTTCTCATACCCTATGCTGTTTTGATAACTAACATTTGAAGGTTTAAAATAACAGTTTAAATAGCAGTAAAGTAATCTGAGGATACTGGATTTTTGTGGATAATGGACACCTTTATTTCTGTTTGATTATTTTCACAGTGAAACATGTTTGAACTACACTTCAATGTAAAGTTATGTTCATGTATATTAATTGTTTATTTTTTAGCTCCCACCCCTGGCCTTAGCGGCCGTGACTCCTGGTAGAATGCGTAAACATAAGAAGAAAAGGTGCTTATTTTTAATGCTGATACTTACCTTACTTCATAAATACATGTACAGTCAAAAGCACAACTCTTAGAAAATATGGCAACATTTCAGGCCCGGGTTCCACTGAAGTTAAAATTTTACGAAGGGAAAGTGATTTTACATTATCTAAAATTGAGAATGGTAAGGTAAAGTGAGAAACTGGAAAATAAATTTCAAAAAAGCATTTTAGGCAAAAATCTAGCCCCAGTTACTGACCAAGGCTTTGTTTGCCTTAACAGAGTTAAGAATCTGCTTTTGAGTACATGTATGTGGAGCAAAAGTTCAGTTTGAACAATTCCTCAATACTGATTTGTGTGTTTGACTTTTACTGTTCTTTGTTCTATTATTCAAATAAATATAGTAGCACCCCTGTGAGGAAAACTGTTGGATAATAAATAGTCTTAATCCAACAATTTCATGAACAATGATATCAATTTTAGGGATTTTGTCAGACAAATCCTTCTCTCACTCATTGAAAGAGGAGTACTGAGTGCAATAATTACATAATTTTTTAAATAAAAAAGTAAAAGCTTAAAAGTATGGAAATCAATGGGATCTCCAATATGTTTCAAAAGGGCCTAAAAATGTAGCTTGAAATATTTTACATGAATAATCCACAGTTTTATCTCACACTCATAACATTATCAGTAAACCTCTTCTTGAGCTCCCCAAACCAATTAGAGCTGGTTTTGTTCATACATGCACCAAAATGTGATCTTAATTGGTTGAACCTATGGTGCTCTGATTGGTTTAACAATTAACTGTACATGATCAGAGTATAGTATCCTAACCAATAAGCTTGGAGTACTCAGGGTATTTAAACTACAATGTTGTATGTTTCTAGGGAGGTGGATGAAAGACCATGGTACTTAAGCCAGGCAACCCCACATCAACAAAGATCTGAGCCTTTACGCGACAAATCCCACCTACGTCGGGAGTTTAATGCATCACCGTTACCTCCAGTACAGCCTATAGGATATGGTAACCAAGGCAACTCGTACCAAGACAGTTTTGCATAATGCAATACAGAAACAATGGAGGCAAATGCAATGTAATAGTGGGGTCTTGTTTTAAAACACGAAATAAAGTGGAAAATTAGAACAGCGTTATAGACTTGTCAACACTCGGTGTATAGAAAGGAAAATACAAATGTATATGAAACTTCTTCATTTTTGAAAGAAATGCTCTGAATGCAAAATTATTTGAAATATTTTAAGTGCAAATATTTGAAATATACATGTAAGTGACAATATGGCATTAGTAATTCAAACGCAGGGCTAACACAGAAATCATCCCCAAGTCTCTTCAATGCTCAGAATGTGTACCCATGCATTCAGAAGACAGGGGATTTCAGAAAATACATGTACCAGGTATAGAGTCAGGCTATTTATATTATGCACAAAGCTGAGTTTCACTCCAAGAGAAACATGTAAATAATGTTATCATTTTAAAAACTAGTATTTTATTATTTTTCCTGGATGTGCCTTGATCTGCATCAGGTTATTCAATATATCCCATAATATACATTATACCGTCCAGTCCACGTAACATTACTAGCTAGTGATCTATATCTTGATATTTTCTAAGTGCTTTGATAATGTATACTCAAGTACATGTACTATACTTGGCTTGACTACCTTCAAATAAGTTTTTATTTGTATGAATGACAAAAGTACATTGACAAAACAATGGAGATCAACAAAGGTTGCTAGTTGAATCAACTGGCAAATGGAGGTAGAGAGGTTAAGACGTATCTCAGAAAATTATCAATGTTATTATCTATATCCATTAAAGATGCAATATTTTTATGTTTGTTAAAGATGTACGAGGGTTGATCATAAAGTTCTCATAACATATCTCCAATTCCTTTATTTTTCCATGTTTTCACAAAAAATAAAATGTTATGATCAACCCTCGTGCACTGTATTATGATGATAAGTATCATTGTTCATTGTACGTTTATCATGTGATATGTTGGTAGTTTATTTCAATATTATTCACACAGTAATGTGATCATAAAAAGATAATAATCAAAATGAACTTGAATTGTGTACATACATTTTGTAAACTGTGTACAAATACTCATTTATTTTAATACTGATGAATTGACAAGAGAAACAAAAAAACATGACTTCTCAGGCAAAAGATAAAACTGGTTATTTAGTTATGTAAAGTCTGTTTGAATTTAATTGTGAACCATTTATACCAATAAAATATTTGTACAGGGTAACCAGGTTTTTGTACACAACTGTTTTATATTTTACAAATTTTCTAATTTACTCTGTAGTTCCGTCCCATGCTAGATTTTATTATAGATTATGTGATATAATTTGTGATATAAAAGTATTGTATATAATATAACTTTGTTGATGTATTATGTATATATCTATTTTACAAAGATATTATACCTTTTACAAGTGTACATTTGTTTTTCTTATTTTATTTTGATATTGTTTTGAGATGAGATACTTTTGAATAATTATTTTATTTAACCTCCTGAATCCAGAGCATTTTTGTATTTTTTCTATATTTTCTAATATCAGTTTGATGAACTAATAACTTGTAATAAACATTGAATGATGGCACACATAATTTGTGTATATTGAATCAAAATTGCCAAATTTTCAATTTCAGTAAGAAAAAAATTGCAAAAGATATGTCTGGTCCATTGTTCTAGATCCGAAGGTTATTATTTGTGACAAAAATATTCTGGGAATTTTAGAGGTTAAAGAATTCTGAACTGTGATTTAGAATGTACAGAATAAAATCACTTACGCTTCAATATAATCTGGTTGGGCTTGAGATGCAAAGCCAAAAACTTGGGATTGACACCGGATTAACACTGTGTTCCATAATCCATATAGACCTTTCCAAAATCCTACCAATTTACTACACCAACAGAGTGTCCAGATTTATGATGTCATGTTTTATGAGGTTTCCACAATTAGCCATACGTTAATCTGAGTTTTGCTTTGAAGCATCTCGCGTACCTACAACCTATCACATCATGCATCTAGCCAATATATCCTCATTTTTAGGGGAAATGGCAGTATGTATTGGAAAGGCCTATTGCAGGATTGTAATTCTGGGTCATTATATAGTTTAATCAGAGCATCGCTATTTGAAGATATAGATGTGATAGGCATTTGAATATGTAACCATAAAACATAATCTGTCTAAAGGTATTCTCAAGTAATTTTTACAAGATACCTGTTTTGTGCTATACTGTCTGTATGTCATGTATGTACCTGTGTGTCTAGCTAGTCTATCAGGAATTATATGATTCTAAAATTATAACGATTATATTTTCTTGAAATAAATTGATTCATTAATGAATATTGGTATTTATGTTACAGTAGAGTGTAAAGGATGTGTCCAGGTATATACCCTTTTGGTCCCTCAGTCAAATGTATGTGAAATATGGTTTTTATTACTGTCCTAGTTATATTTGATAAGTATATTTACTTTTTCATGAGATTTGATGCATAATTAACCCCCTGCTGAGAGTCGGAATAAGTATCTTAACAAACAAAAAATAGTCATCATCATAGAAAAAAACACCAATGGCAACATGTATGACATACAAAGAAGAAATAACTTAAGACCCATGAAGAATTAAAAAGAAAATCATATTTTTGAAATATATTTAAGGATTACAATTTTTTTCAAATTTTTGAATTTCCCGTCAGTTTAATTTCAAGGGGGAAAAACAAGATGGCTGCCATTTGATGTAAGAAATATCAGAAAAAGTTGCTTCACTTTTTGTTTTCATAATGAGCACAGTTTTCCGGTTTAGGTTTTTTGACTGATTCTGACTCTTCATCACCAGGATCATGTATAGAGATTATAAAATTGAAACCAAAATGTTGTGTTCAGCATGAATTTGACTGAAATATGTGTAACTTCACCAACACAATTGAAGTCTCAAAACTGGATGCTCAGTAACTTTGAGTGACTATAATCCCTTGATTACCCAGATAAACACCTATTCACTTATCCAGAAATACCATTCAATGTCTATACAAAGAAAGTAAGCAATGTTTAGGTGGATATATTTTTAAATAAATAATTGATTTAATATTTACCATTGATTTTTTTTCAATTCTGACAAAGTGATATGCACTGTATTCGATGCCAATATTCTTCATCAATTGTGATACAAATTGATATTTTTGTTATCCCAGAAGAAGGATAAGATATTGAAGTTTAATAATATGTGTGATTGAGTTTGTTTTTCAGACATTACAATTTTCAATATTTTCTAAGTCGATAGCCAGACTCATTCCCAGACTCATCCTTTCGGTAGGTTTCTACTCTTATCTTTGATTTCCCACAACTGCAGATATTTGGGCATCATCCCTCACTGACCATTCATGATAATTGAAAAAAATTTCTGCCTCGTTTTAGCCATCTCATTCTTTACTATAAACATATCAATACATATAAGTAAAACAATATTGTCCTTATTTAGAGCCCTTTTCTGTAAACTTATTGATCCACCAGTGAATGTTTACTGCTATATTTATAGTGCAGAGGAATGTTTATAGTATAGTAATATGCTATATGGTACCCTCCCCTTCATAAGTTTGGCAACTGGAAGCTTTCGGAAAGTAGCATTTCAAAGCCTCTTAATGTTTGAATCTTTATTTTATTTGTTGATTACAACAGTTAAGAAATTAATTATAAACTATGAATTTTCTTAAATCACCAATTAAACACAGGCTTTGATAAGTGATCAAAAAGTGCACTTCCATTTGCACAGATGTTGGCCAGATTGCTTTGTAGTAGGATCTCATAGGCTCAAAGAATAACACAGAAGATGCGTCACTAAATTGGAAAATTTCAAAAAAGTGACCACCTTCCAAAACGTTCTTTATACAAAATGGTACCTGCTTCCCCGTGACAGATTTTGCACTTATTTTATAGCTGAGATCTTCATCTTTCTATTTCTACTTGTTTGGTAAAATAACCTATGGACGCAGTTATTTGACTTTTAATACGGCAAATATTTTTCACTTGATCCAGACTCTTGTGTGTCCAAGTATCATTGTACTGATGACGTCACATTTCTGGAATCACGGGAGCGCCATTCAGATTTGGACAGACAACAGTCCGGCGATAAAATATTACTGTTTTTGGCCTCTTATCAATGCAGTATTGATTGAATAACGGTCATTAGTGATAAAAAAGTTAAAGAATTACAAGACACTTCGATTGAGGTATGATTTGTCTCATATTTTTCAGAAATGGCTCCACAATCGTCATTTTAAAATTTGAAATTTTCTGAGGTGTCTCATCTTGAGGAATATTTATTGAGCTACTGATCCTTCAACAAAAGAATCTGGCCGGGATTTATGTCCATTTGCCAAACTTATGGAGGGGAGTGTAATATACTGTACCATATTTCAATAATAATAAATGAACAAAGGCATATTGTTTAGTGTTATTACACATCTCCAAGATGGGACCTCCAGTTGCCAAACTTATGGAGGGGAGTGTAATATACTGTACCATATTCTAGTAATAATAAATGAACAAAGGCATATTGTTTAGTGTTATTACACATCTCCAAGATGGGACCTCCAGTTGCCAAACTTATGGAGGGGAGTGTAATATACTGTACCATATTCCAGTAATAATAAATGAACAAAGGCATATTGTTTAGTGTTATTACACATCTCTAAGATGGGACCTCCATTTGGCAAACTTATGGAGGGGAGTGTAATATACTGTACCATATTCCAGTAATAATAAATGAACAAAGGCATATTGTTTAGTGTTATTACACATCTCTAAGATGGGACCTCCATTTGCCAAACTTATGGAGGGGAGTGTAATATACTGTACCATATTCCAGTAATAATAAATGAACAAAGGCATATTGTTTAGTGTTATTACACATCTCTAAGATGGGACCTCCATTTGGCAAACTTATGGAGGGGAGTGTAATATACTGTACCATATTCCAGTAATAATAAATGAACAAAGGCATATTGTTTAGTGTTATTACACATCTCTAAGATGGGACCTCCATTTGCCAAACTTATGGAGGGGAGTGTAATATACTGTACCATATTCCAGTAATAATAAATGAACAAAGGCATATTGTTTAGTGTTATTACACATCTCCAAGATGGGACCTCCAGTTGCCAAACTTATGGAGGGGAGTGTAATATACTGTACCATATTCTAGTAATAATAAACGAACAAAGGCATATTGTTTAGTGTTATTACACATCTCCAAGATGGGACCTCCAGTTGCCAAACTTATGGAAGGGAGTGTAATATACTGTACCATATTCTAGTAATAATAAACGAACAAAGGCATATTGTTTAGTGTTATTACACATCTCCAAGATGGGACCTCCAGTTGCCAAACTTATGGAGGGGAGTGTAATATACTGTACCATATTCTAGTAATAATAAACGAACAAAGGCATATTGTTTAGTGTTATTACACATCTCCAAGATGGGACCTCCAGTTGCCAAACTTATGGAGGGGAGTGTAATATACTGTACCATATTCTAGTAATAATAAATGAACAAAGGCATATTGTTTAGTGTTATTACACATCTCCAAGATGGGACCTCCAGTTGCCAAACTTATGGAGGGGAGTGTAATATACTGTACCATATTCCAGTAATAATAAATGAACAAAGGCATATTGTTTAGTGTTATTACACATCTCTAAGATGGGACCTCCAGTTGCCAAACTTATGGAGGGGAGTGTAATATACTGTACCATATTCTAGTAATAATAAATGAACAAAGGCATATTGTTTAGTGTTATTACACATCTCCAAGATGGGACCTCCAGTTGCCAAACTTATGGAGGGGAGTGTA